TTCGTTTTCGGCGACCTGAACACTCCCCTAGATCCACGACTCGACTCTTCCAGTCCTGACTTGCGCTACAGTCCGGGTCGTTCCAGCTGTCTTGAGTGGCTGTCACGACTAAGTGTTGTTGACGCATGGCGGATCCACTACGATACCAAGCGGGTATTCACTGGTCCCCTTCCCCGGAAGAACCGGCTCGACTACATCCTGTTGTCCAAGCCTTTCTTCGATCGCTTCTATCATGAATCCAAGTACTTTGTGCCACAGCATGCTGGCGACCACCTAGCTCACAGTGTGACTTTTCGGTCTGGCACTCAGCTGCATGGTCGTGGATATTGGAAGTTTCCTCGCTACTTGCTGGAGTATCCAGTGGTGGTGTCAGCCATCGAGCGGGAGGCAGAAGCGGTTCGAGATGTGCTCCGCATTGCGTCCAACCCTGGCAAGGTCTGGGAGAAGTGGAAAGCAAGCATAAAGTCCCAGCTGCAAGCAGTGCAGAAGAAGCTCCGGCAACAAGACACTCACGCTATCGATGCGGCTCGGATCCATCTTGATCTGGCCGCTGCGCGTTATCGTGACGTCTCCAGTGACTCGTCCCGGGAACACTTCGATGAAGCAATGCGAAATTATCGAGAGGCAGTCACCCAGACGAGCCAGTACAACCAGGACACTGCTTTCGACTTCCAAGCAGCCAATTCTGAGAAATCAACCAAGCACTTCTTCCGTCCGCTGGATACAAGCTTGCGCCGGGTCTCGATCGAGGAGGTAATTACAACGAGTGGGACTGTCTCATCAAATCCCCACGAGATCGCTCTCCGCTTCCTGGAACACTGGGGATCAGAGATGGGAGATTCCGCCAGTCCAGCAGGGCGAGCTACTCCACCTGACGCTGTCACGCAACGCAAGCTTCTCGACTCAGTAACGCGCACCGTCTCGGAGGTAGACCGCAACATCTTAAACGCACCAGTCACTGGTGCCGAGTTGGCGAGTGCGATCCGCCACATGAAAGCAACGTCAGCTCCTGGCATGGACGGGCTGACGGCTGGTTTCTACCAGGTGGCTCCTGACATATTTGGCGAATGCCTGTCCATAGTGTTCAGCGCTTTGCTTCACCGCGGCGCGCTGCTCCCGTCGCAGCGTAAGTCTGCAGTAGTGCTTCTCCACAAGAAAGGGTCGCGTGCAGAACCTGGGAACTACAGGCCCATCGCTCTCGTACAGGTCGACGTGAAAGTCCTGTCGAAGGCACTGACTTACCGGCTGCAGCACGTTATCCCCGACTTGATCCATCCGGACCAGAAAGGCTTTGTCAAAGGTCGGTCGATCCATCACCACATTCGATTTCTCGCTGACATGCAAGACCTTGTGACAAGCCAGGACGAAGAAGCGTATGCGCTGTTTCTTGATTTCGAGAAGGCTTTCGATCGCGTCAACTGGGACTACATGTTCCGCCTGCTTGAGCACATGGGTTTCGATACACAGTTCACGCGATGGATCCGGTTGCTTTACACGGATCCTCAAGCGCATCTCATCATCAACCAGAACATTCAGCCCGCGTTGTATCCGACGCGAGGCGTGAAACAAGGCGATCCGTTGTCTGCTCTTCTATTCATCTTGACCATTGAGCCTCTTGGCAACCTGCTGCGCTCCCACGAGGAGTATGGCGTGTGTCTGACCTCAGACCACACCGCCACGAGCATGTTCTTTGCTGACGACTCGACGCTTCTGGGCAACTCGATCGTGCACCTGCAAGCCCAGCTTGAGGTTGTGGCGGAGTACTGCGACGGTTCAGGTGCCAAGCTCAATCTATCCAAGTCTACGCTACTAGCGCTGAACCGGAACCGCGACTGTCCTATACTCCCCGGTGTGCACGTATTGGGCCATACAGAATCGGTGAACTACCTTGGTATCCCGTTCGGACAGACATCGGTTGATCACGCTCTCTTGGCTCTGCTTGAGCAAAAATTCTACGACGGCTTTAAGCTCTGGTATCGTCGGGCACGGACGGTTCGCGGTCGCCTCCTGGTCGCTCAAACGATGGTGCTCTCTCGCCTGTGGCATTACACCCAGCATGTCTCCATTCCGGGGACTATTGTGAAACGGTGGCAGTCCATGCTGAACAAGTTTGTGCTCAGCCGAAAGCACAATCGTCATGAGTCGCACGTTCAATTGATTCCAGCAGATTTTCTGTACCAGCGCCGTGCAGATGGTGGGCTAGGTGTACCATGCCTGGCAGCCCATCTCAAGCGCCAGCGTCTCCAATTTCTTCTGCAGTTTATCAGCGCCGCGACAGCGACAAATATTCGCAACTGGACAACAGCGGGCTCCAAGCTGCTGCTGCTACTTCTTCCATGTACGGACCGGTGCAGTGTCTTGGACTTCCTTACCATCTCTCCGCTGCGCCATGGCAAAATGATATCGTGGGGGCAGGCTTCTACATGGTGGAAAGTGATGTGGACATCATGGTACAAGATCCGATGGGAATTTACATGGCATGACCTTCCTCCTGAAGAGCGCTCTTTGTACGGTCTTTATCAGCCAATTTGGTTTCACTCCGACGCCATGCTGCACTATGAGCAAACTCAGCGAGCTTCAGCGAGCGCAGCGCATCGTCGATGTATTGGTATGGTAGTCGAACCGCAACGGAGCTTCCGGCTACATGTGTCCAGAGTCTTCCGAGTGCGGTCGCTTGCTGACTTTATGCGAGTGGGGGGCGTTTGGCCGTCGCAGCAAGACTTTGTACAACGTCATGTCGACTTCTCGCTTGGGTCAGTGCTGCCTGGGAAACAGGCACAATGGCTGCGCGTGTTGTACAAGGAGACAACCCAGATCGTGGAGCGACTTGGAGCGACGAGACTGGTCTTACCGCCAAATAGCAGGAGAAGACATTTTCTTCCTTATCTAGGATGCAGCAGTGGCGACAAGGTGTGCCTGATTCCCTTGATCCCAAGATCTGCGCTGCTTCGCGTCGTGTGGACACCACAGGTGCCGACACAACAGCACCCGATCACGATTCACTCCCAGCGTGCTGGAGCGGGGAGTATCCAGGCTTACGTACGGTACAACAAACACCTGCAGACGATCTTGCTCCCTGTGTTTGCGGACCTGCAATTTCGCCTCGCGTTCCGTCTTCTGCCAGTACGCTCACGGTTCTGGTTCTTGGAGGCAGCCAACCCGCGCATTCGCATTTGCGTTCGTGCTGGGTGTGACGCGATCGAGACGGAAGAGCACTTGTTCTTCAGTTGTACGCTCGCAGTACAGCTCTGGGATCACATCCACCAGATGATGTCTCCTTTCTTCAGGTCTCGTGCAACGTGGTTGAGGATTGTGTTGGCTGAAAAGCCGAGAGTCCGTGATTCGTGGAAAAACGACGAGGAAGTGGTGTGCGATGTCTGGCACACGCTTCGAGCAGTGGCTCTCCACTTCCTCTGGACGGACCGCAACCGGTGTCTCTTCGATGGCCGAAATCCCACGCCTGCGCTTCCTGCTCTGCAGGTCGTCTTGGCGACAGCTTGCGCTCACTTTCGCCATCAGCTTCGTCGCCTCGACGACTCTGGCCAGCAGGCCCGGCAGCACACGGTAGTTGCCGCAATGTCACACTCGCCGATCTTTCGCGACTACATTAGCCAAAATCCGTCTGCACTGGGTATCCGTTATCGTGCTGATACGTAGACGGGGGCACTGTGCCCCACCAGCGCCACGATCCCTAGCCAGCTTGACAGGAGGTGGCTGCATTTATTGAACGGCTACACAAGCCAACAATAACTTTTACAACACCGCCAACAACAATAACAACACCAACAACAACAATAACAACACCACCAACACCACCAACAACAACAAATCCAACAACAGCAACACCAACAACTCCAACAACAACAGCAACAATAACAACAGCAACATCAACGACACCAACTCTAACACCACCAGCACTCACTCACTCCAACAACAACAACACCAGCACTACCAACACCACCAACACCAACAGCACCAGCAACAACAACAACACCTGCAACAACAACAACAATAACAACACCAACACCGACACCACCACGACACCAACACCAACAACAATACCAACCGCATAGCCACAACAACAACAACACCATTGCTATCAACACCACCACCTACGCTACAACAGCACCAACTACAACAACAACAACAACAACAACAAACAACACCGGGCGCCATCACACGCATCGGTCCACGCAAACCGCTCGGCAGTTAAAACTGCGAATTAGAAACATTTCTAAGTTTAGAAACGCGTTTCAACATTCTTACATGGACACGTCGGGGGTCACACGCCTTTCCTGCCGTAGCTCCCAGGTACCAGTGGGACCTCAGCCGACGTGTCGTTTCTGGTCGACACGTCTGCGGCAGGTGAGACGACTGGGGCGAGAGGGCGGCTGCACGTGATGCTATTGTGCATTGCCCATTTCGCATTGACTTATCATTTTAAGTCGGCTTATTTGGAAATTAAAAAAAAAAAAAAATTTCTAAAAGCCAAAAATACGAAGCCAATTTCGGACACGCACACACAAAAAAAAAATTTATAGTATCAGGGTAGGTATACTAGTGTATTCTATTAGTCTTGCAGATTGATTAGTCACCCTGCCTATTTTATTACAATATAGACAAACTTTCAACTGAGCTATACGACCGGCAAATGGTAAAGTACAATACGGGCAGATTTGTCTCTCTGTACCTATTATAAAGACATTGAAGCAACAAGAATAACGTGTACAATGGCACGCAATGACGTTAACAGTGACAGAAGCATTCCTGTTGGCAAAGCTTCTATTAGAGCATACAGTTAAATAGCAAAAGCACGGAACCAACCAGACCTCCCCAAGCTTTCTGCATTATCCAAGCCCTGAACAAACGAGGCCTAACGCAGATCGTCTAAGCCTATATGTCTGCTGTTATCAGGAACGTTGAGATCCTGCGTCTGTTTACTTGACTTGGAAATAGATCCTTCAACTTTTGTTTTTCCTGCATCGTCACTTTCTGCTGCCTTAGGTCATAGAGTCGATTAGTGCGCTGCGCATGGTCGTCGCGATGGAGGTAGGCTGAGCATTCTGAAGCTTGAAGATACTCTCGACTACCGAGATCTCAGTGGAAGTGGTGTCAAGACCACAAAAAGCAGTCCAGTCATTCACCACAAGACCAGCACCAATGACATCACTACCACGATTCACTGTACCAGCAACAACAGGCACCTGTAACAGTGAGCTCAGCTCCTCTTGGTCCTCAACACTCGTACGTGGGTGCACAAGACAGCCCTGATTCGACAACGCGCTGTAGCTGCCCACAAGAGCATTGCCCGCTACTGTCTGACGAAAGACCTCTACGCCAAGTGTGTCAGCTACTATCTCCTCTGTCTCCCGGTCCAAGTCCGTGTGTACAAGTGCTACATGGTCATTAGCGGCAATACAATTTCCCAAAGCTGAAAGTCGCTCCTCCACACGCTGCACTACGACCGAGTCGGGAAGAGCGTTTCGAATGTGCTGCATTTCTTGATCAGTTGTAGTATTAGGCAGCAACAGACCGCGCTTGTTACCTACAGCCACACGACCAACAAAGCGACAGCCAGCAATGCTTGCATGTACTACCGGAATATGATCAGCCAGCTCGGACTCGAACGTGCTGTAAAAATTCTCAGATCCACCCACGCATACGAGGCAGTAAGAGTTGGTGAGCTTGGAAAAAACGCCAATCTCATTACTATTTTCAAATTGACAACGAATGGCCATAGTGTCTTACTGTATATAAAATGATCAATAGAAAAAAGAAAGAAAGAGAGAAGAGGGAGAGAGAAATAAACGAGATAAAATCAAGAAGCTTTCCAATGGACGAATGAACTGCTTGCTGCTTCCATAACCACCAAAAATTCTTTAATATCACATCGTACTTAGTATAAATAAATAACTGCTAAGCCAAAAAGATAATTCCACGAATGAGAAAAATCCGTCCTTATGTTGAAATTAAGCTACATATAATTAATTATAGACAACAAACTACATGACTATCACTCTCAAGCGTTTTTTAACAACATTCCTTCCGATACTAAGCAGCTACGAGGACGTCATGATGATCAAATCTGGGTCAATAGAAGTCATCATAAACTAGAACAAGAAGCTGTTAACATGCCACAATTGCACTATTGCTTGCATTCATGTATTGCATTCGTACTTGGTGCCTTCTTTTCGCACCAACTTTGTACGTCTATCACCAAGATTTTCGAGTTTCACCGTGCTGCATCCACCTCTTGACCTGTTGATCGTTTCCATTCATACGCCCCTGCGACGAGCAAGTATGGCAGCCAATTCACTATTGGCTCCAACAACACTTCCGTTTGTAGCGGAACTTTGAACGTTTTCGCCAAATTTGCGGGCTGAGTCCATGGACGCCTTGGTGGACTTTTTTACAGTCAGTGCATGCTTTCGTGCCTCTTTCTCAGCCTGCTTCTTAGCTTTCTTTTCAGCAACGCGGCGCAAACGCTCTACCTCGCGTTCACGGCTACGCTGCTCTTGACGCTGTACTCTGATAGCCAGTTCTGCTTCGCGCTGCCTTTCCAGTTTTTTGCGACGTGCTTTCTCTCGTTTCCGACGCTTGCGAATGTACTCGTCAGGCACACCTGGTGCAACGTAAATCTGTATACTGTTTGCATCGCCTTTGATAATGTCGTGTTCTGATGCGACAAATTGAATTTGCTGTGACGGTGTTTTCGACAGCCCAACGCTTGCTGCCCGCCGGAGACGAATGGAATCGCTGAAACTGATCGGCGTCACGACATTTGCTAAAGACCGTATCGCATCTACAAGCGTGACTGCTATCTCAGTTTTCTTCTCGGACAGAAGTAGTTGATCTTCAGGCATTTCGGTGCACATTAGCCCAAGCACCTTGTCATAGACGCGCACTGGCGTGTAAAATCCTAGATCTGGCACCACTTCCAGTTGTTTGCAAACATCGTTGCAGTAGATTTTACCAGTGTACCGACAATGATGTCGTCGGTTAAACAGCCCAAACTTTTTTCCTGTAGCCATGCACACCATCGTAGACTTGTTGTCCATCCAGTTGCTCTTGTTTGGTTCGACAAAAAGTGGTTCTTGATGCACTTTCAGAACAAAGTATGGATCTGCTAACGTACTCATCGTAATTTCTTCAATAGCTGTCAGCCGAAGGCGACGACGGAGATACACCAACGGTGGCAACCATGCGCTTTTCGGGTCTAAGATAGGTTGCCACGTGCGTTTCTCCATCAGGTATAAGAACTGATCCGTAATGATGACAATTCGTCCTACCACTGCTACAGGAGATCCTTCAGGCGAAACCCCAGCTATCGGACACACCTTCTCAATCTCATCCAAGAACACGATTTTTTCAGAATCCTTATAGTGCTGGATAATCTCCATGACCGCCTCACGAATAGCATTGTCGCGTAGATAATCGCCGTCAAACGGACGATAAATACTCACGCGCTGTCGTTGCTTGTTGTTGGATGTGTATAGCTTCGTAATGTCGTGGCTGAGTTGCAACAGATGCCGGCGACCGAAGTATCTTTTCCATGCCTTTTGAATTCGCATCGCAAAAGAACCTAACTTTTTCTCCCGCAATTTCTCTAGCTCAAAGAAGATTTCAGGAGTTTGGATAAACACCATTGTCTTGCCAAGTTGAACCTCATTTTCAAGCTGTGGAAGCAATTTTGTGGCTGCACGCAACACTGCTTGAGTGCCCTTCTTATCTGACCCACGAAACTCAGGGTAGGTCTCTTTGCTAAGCAAACGAAAGCGATCGACAAAACGCCCGTAGTCTCCACGGTAGGCATAACCAGCGCGACGAACTTTTACGTTCTCAAGAAGTCCCAAATACTTGATCTGGTGAATTACACGACGGTCATCAATCTTATTCGACTGTTTCTGATCGTTGGACTTAATGCACCGCACATAATGCGGTGTACAGTCCATTAATGCAGTCACAAGCGCGTCGCATTGTGTGCGAATCTTGTACCCGGCTGTATTGGCCATACGTTTATCGTTGAAGTCGACTTTTTCGGGAAAAATGTAACGCATTAGCTTATTGGATGTCTCGCTAATGATGAGCGCGATGTCCTTGCTCAAAAAGTCCTTGTTGGAATCTCCAAAACCTTCAATATTATATTGCACATCACCTGCATAATGTTTGATCTCGAAGGTCTTACCACGTTTCGAGAAATGTGGATGCAATCCATGGATTCCAGCCACCTTTTCTAGAAAATTGACGTCCACACTGTCTCCTTGACGAGAATGCATCGTTTTGACGGTGTCATCTAGAATAAGAAATATGCCAGGCGTAGGACGGCGCGCTTCAATTAAATCGCACACGACCTTGTTGTTGAAGAACGGAATTGGTGACCATGCAATGCCCTCGCGTGCATATTCTTCTTGCTCGCTCTTTAATGTAAGCTCAATGAAAATTTGCTGCAGTTTTTCGTTCACATAATTGATACAAAACTGTTCAAATCCGTTCTTGTCAAAGATTTCAAAACCGTAGATGTCAAGAATGCCAATCTTAGTCATTTCGTCAATATCAAGATTCTCGCCATGTTTCTCCGCCTTTTTCTCAATATCAAGTGCATGGTTCACGCGCTCCACCAAAAAGTCAAATAATCGGTCATACACAGTCTTGGCAATGGAATCGCGCTGTGCCTTGGCTTGACTAACATTCTGTGGCACCTCGTACGATTCAATTTTGCCTCCAGGTGCCATTGTCTGCAGCAGTTTATAGCACAAAGCGTGTTCCAGACGCGCTGCATCCAGCCCAAGTAACTCACATGCAATCTGCAAACTCTCACGATCCCGCACAGAAGATCCCTCTGCATCTCCGACTGTCTCAGGCTGAAACTGCACGTTTCCAATTTGCAACACTGCCGCCAAAGTCTGAATCACAAGTTCCATTTGCTTGCGCTTAATACCAACATGTTGCATCGCTGCCATGGTCTCTTCAAAATCCTGTGCATCGTTCACATCGTCTACATTGTAGCATCCACTAGCTTTCAGATAATCATAGTTTTCAGGTCCACCTCGATCTAAATACATTTTCTTTTTTGCAACAGAAGGTAAACCAGCCAATACTTGATAGAAAATATGAAAATTCCTTTCTCCTTTACCAGGTTTTACAACTCTTGATTTTTCCAAGAGATAATTGGTCACTTTTCCACCTTGTGGTCGTCCTGCTGAATCAAAAAAGAGCTCAAAGTACTTCCCAAAGCGACTGGAATTATTATTGCGTAAGGTTTTTGCATTTCCAAAAGCTTCTAGTAATGGATTACTCTCTAAGAAAGTACGTTTGACTTTATCCACACCTGTACCACTACCACTAACACCTGCAATATAGTTTTGAATCTGCTTTGAAGCTTCTGTTTTACCAGCACCACTTTCTCCACTAATAATAACACACTGATAATCTTCTTCACTAAGCATTGTACGATACGTTTCTTCAGCCGTTGCAAACACGTGTGGTGCTACATCAATGCGTGCTTTATGCATATAAGTCCGCATACTATCTTCACCGTAAATATCAAGCCATTTGTATGGATTTACAACCACAAGTACATGACCAATATACGAATAAATCACATCAGCAGCATGACGAATTTTTAAATTCTCTAAAATAGATGCTTCACTCACAGATGATAATAATACAAGATCATCAACACCCACAACAACACGTTCATCACTGAATAGTGTTGCATGTTTAGATACAGCAGAAGACACTTTATTTCGTCGCCCCATTAGAGATAGATAGAGAGCGATAGAGATGGATAGAGAAATCGATGGATATTTTGAGATACTACTATATATATCGTAAGAAAATAAATGACATAATGTGTCCTTGTTTTGTTTTGTATTTTTCGATTCGGATAAAACGTTGCGCGACGGATGTGAACTTGCGTATGTCACATAATAGATGGATTTTTTTTAGCAATTATCCGAAATATGTCTTCCTATGATTTGGATTTGAATATTTGAGTGACCCAAAGCGTCGATTGAATGAATGGTCTGTAGCTAATGGATTGTGAATGAGAGAAAGGGGATATACTCTGGGATTAGGTGAAGGATACTCGTTTTTTGTGTTACAATCTACAAACCAGTTTTGCGGAGTTGAGTCACACGATCCAGTAACGATAGATATTATAGAATAAAGTTGTGCAGCTAGTAAGAGTTATTTAATCGTAGATGTTCGGTACAGCAAATCTACTTGTTCTTAAGCACGACTCAATACGAAAATCAGATCAATTTAGAACGTATACATCCATCTAAGGTAACAACTAGAGCTCAGGTTTGCTCCTTTGTCGACCGCTTTAATGTCTTCGATTGAAAAGAACGTGAGCAGAAAGACTGCCAGCTTTTTATTCTTGTCCAAACAGACGTGAATGATCCTACGTTTCTTCTTTAGCTCAGGCAAAACTTGGTATTCTGGATAGTAAATGATCTACTATGAATTTCAAAAGACACGTCAGTTGATGTTATTCAATAGCGGCCTCGTTCAGTCATACGCAACTAGTAAGTTGTTGTAGAAGACGTACTCCAGGCTTTACCTTTTGCGACAATATCAGTGTCTACGATGCCATGACGATGGATCGTGAAGCGTCGTGCATTATTAAAGCACCGAGATTACATAAGGCATGCCTGAGAATCTGTAATGCATGTTCTGTCACCGCTGACGTGATTGAAATTACCTATGCATCATGCAATCAAAATATAGATCCTTAGCCTACGATAAAGGGGTAAAAGTGCTGGCACTGGTCTTGTTGACACAAGGATGCTAAGCATTTTTCTTTTCAACTGAAGCATAATGGCAGTGACGCGTACAGCACCGTGCGACTAGAGTGCATGGTCGATCAGTTTTATTCACAACAGTAGCAACAGCAGGGCAGTAATACACATCAAGAAGATTTTGCCATCTGATCAGCGGCCCTGTCACGAATTCCAGCCGTGTTTGGCCTTCCATCCAATCGTACAACTACTTTTCTGTCCATAAGGCAGAATTTTGCTGCTTGTCGAAGGCTAAAAGTAAGGATTAATCATGTGGATCTTCGAAGACTGACGTCAGTCCGTGTCGCATACTTTGTGTAACCTGAGTTTGAGCGTTATAACAACAGTTGGCTTTGGAAATAGGTGCTTGACGACGTTACTGACAGAAGTTACCATCTGGGTGTTGTTCCTCGACAACTGTGCACGCATTACTCGCTCAATCAAGTACGCTTCGCTAAGATGATAATAGAAAGGTGTGCCATACCAGGTGGTTCTAGTACTCTCTTCTACAACGCAGCCGTCAATCCACGCTTTCTGGCGTGCTTTGGATGGCAATCACCAACAAGTAGCTCCTGTCAGTCGCCACAACGGGCGTATCTCAACAGCCGTCACCATGCTATCAAATGTTCGGATGTGTTTTGTTAGTCACTGTAAGATTCATGTAGCAGACGTTTTTATAGTGGTTCGCCGCAACAATTGTTCGTAAAAGCAACCGTTTCAAAGCTGGTGTATTTGCTCTTTGCTCAGGAATCGACAGTAATACATAAATTTATACTACGTGTTCATGAAACTGAGTCACAACTGCTGCAGTGTGTGTGTGTATCTACTACTGATGGGTAGACATTGACATACATTGCATTTACAATAAAGTCTCTCGCTGATTTTGGCTTCATGTGTGTGTGTACCCGGTAAGAAAATCGTCTCGCAGTCTGTACATGAGCCTCAATCTAAGATCTGTTTCTGGACAACAGACTTTTTGCACAGCCATCTTGACAAGCTAGCAACAAGCAAGACGAAAGGTCTGGACACACGGGTGTTTGTTTCAACCCCGAATCGGCGACCATTTGCTTGAAAAAAAACTTGTGCGCGAAGACGGCTGCAAAATAGCGATGCCAAGTTTGTGACTGTAATCTTACATTGCTCCTTGACGGCTTTCTCTCGCTATATTACTTACTTTGTGTGTCGTTGTAAGGCTTGGCTCTGTTCATCTGAAAATGTCTCTGGCGACCGACCCCCCTTTCTCTATGGCCAAAAAACCCAACCACTTCACCACTTCAGCCAGACAAACCCGCACACTCCAACTTACCACGGCGTAGACACCCAGACACTCAGTCAGTCACTCAGTCACTCAGTCAGCCAGTACCAGTCACTCAGTCAGCCAGTCACTCAGTCATATATACCACCATATTGTCTAATCATAGTCTTAAATCTGACCATCATGGCATTTGCATCCTGCTCCGTAATCAAGACCCTGCCGCCTATAAACCATGTATCAGCTACGCCTTCAAAAAAACGCACTGGCAGTCCTTCTACTTCTGTGCGAGATCGTACGGTTGTTGTATTTGACTGGGATGATACGCTCTGTCCAAGTTCATGGCTTCACGCGCATGATCTGTTACCCAAGTACCGTGGCCACCAGATTTCTGTCACACCAGAGCAACGGGAGGTGCTTAATTTCATTAGTGCACACGTTGCACGGCTTTTACAAAAGGCTGTAGCCTATGGTCCAGTGTTTGTTGTGACCGCTGCAGAATACGGGTGGGTTGAAATGTCAGCTGCCTTGTACTTACCAGACGTACAAAGTGTACTAGCACTTGCAGATGTACACATTGTATCTGCTCGAAGCTGGTACGAACAAACCTTTGGACTTGGTGGTGACTCAGCGGCTTGGAAGCAGGAAGTCATGCAGCTCATTGCACGCAAATGCTTTGCAGCCGCAGCTGCTCAGGAGACAAATGTCAATGGCAACCGGACATTCCGGCAAGCAACTACTACCCCACGAGATGCTTATTTCAACTTCCTTTCGATCGGAGACTCAATGGCAGAACGTGATGCGTGTTTTGCTGCGGTCGAGAACGTCTGTCGCACATTCGCCAAGACGCTCAAGTTTATCGAGCATCCTACTGCCGAGGAGGTGCTGCAGCAAGTAGAGCTCACATACGATTCGTTTGAGCAAATGTGCGGCTGGGATAATAATCTCGATTTGCGGTTGTCTCGAGCGCAGTTGGCAGAACTGCGCGGTTCGCCTATTTAAACAAGTGCTGGTCGCCAACCTGCTAGTTGTGCGCAGAGATACTCGTATACTATGGCTTGACCAACTGTTAGGAACTAGAAGATTTTTAGACACTCAGAGCTTTGTGTAGAACGAATACGCGGGCAATGTTATAATATCTTGGATGAATTCAACACCTTACGACGCAAAGGTCATGGCAACATGACTTGAAACGTTTTTATACTGGCCGAAGCAAGCATCGACAGAGTATGAGACCTAGCAGGTCATTGGAAGTTTTTCCATCACGTGTAGTTAGTGTATTCTTTGGCAATAGTGTACACGAAAGAAGTTCATGAGGCCAGTGATGGAAAGGAAAAGGTAGCTCATGAACGCCAGAAATAATGCAGGCAACAAGCATGTGCAAAGCGCAAGCGTCGTGAGAGACAGTTATCAGTCGAAATGTACTTGCAAACGTGATAGTGTAGGTCTTGCTTCTTGTTTGGTTATGGGGACTGTAGGGCAACGGTGGAAGAGCAGCGACGTTTGCAAGAATGTGAAAAGGTTTGAAGGTAGGAAGAACATCTTGTAAACCCTGGAAACGATAAATGGCAGGTGATTGCTGGCATCGAGAAACAAGATTTGCGGTTTGCTGGAGCTTTTGGCAACACATAAACTACGAGATGATGGGCAACTCTGGTGACAACACTGCAAAGATTTGTAGGTTGAAACAAAGAATTAGGACGTTGTTATGTACCTCTTCGTGGAGCGATGAAAGGATAAAATCTTGTCATTGAGAGCACCATTGGGGTGGTAACAACGCGTTGTATGCGTCTCCTACGTGCTGGACAGCTTTGTGGTGTTATGCACAAGTTGTGTTGGCCAGACCGCGGTGTGGAGTCACTTAGATCGCCGATGCTGGTCCCTGCGACGTAGGTACATTCCAGCTTTAGTTGTCCTTATGCAACTGCAAAGTACACATCAAAGCTATTGCTTCCGGAATGATACAGCCTGCCTGCCATTAATTCAGGTTCACCTCACTCAGCTTAACATCATCTTCAGTACCCAAATCTAACTGCTGGGTGCGAGATGTGGAAGAAGTCGTCGAAACAGATGCGGGGAGGGCGGTGTTCTCACAGACAGCATCATCGAGTGGTGTATACTGGTTTCTCCACCGCTTCACCAGCGCGACAACTACAACGATGCCGATTACGATGTTCGACATTACTGCTGCTACCAGCAACACCATTGTGAACGTGCTCATTTTGCCAATTCCGAACGTTGAGGTTACCGAATCGTTGCTCACATCGACCATGGAGGAAGTGTTTGACTTGCCAAGCTGGGAAACGTTGAAGTGATCTTCGAGGGTTTGTATGAACATGGAGATAACCGGAAAATTGGGCGTGCCGACTCCGGAAATCGCATCCCATCCAGCGGAAGCACTAAATGAGTCTTCACACGAATTGCTTACACTACCTGCGGCCCCGTTGTTTCCTACGACCACATCGTGAAATGCATCAGACTGGGTCTCTGCAAGATAGTAGAGCAGAGGATTGATGAATCCCAGCGGACTTTTCCCAGCGTTTAAACGCACGTCGTTCCATAACGTTACCATTGCGCCAATTACAGGCGTAGATGCTGATGTTCCAGACACGGACGAGAGTCTGCCGCGCATGTGTATATAAAAATTCGCGCCCAGCGCCGATACATCAGGATACGCACGTCCGCTTGCGTTGAAGAATCCTGGGGTGGTCGGAATATTCCGAGTCGTCAAGTATCTCTTGACCGCTGTGAGTTGGTATTCTGGAGTCGGATAAATGCTGGAGAAACCGCTACCACTTGTAATAACTCCGCCGTATTCAACGCTGCAGACCACTTCCTCCTTTGTACGGAAGAACGGCTTTATCGATTGCTGCGCGCTTGTTAAAAGCATCGTGGCACCGACTGTGGTGATGTATGGACTCGACGACGGCCACTGCGGACCACTTTGCTTGCATATGTCTTCTACTGGCACCTTTTCAAATACAGGGCGCAACCCCCTCGCACCGTCATCGCCACTAGCTACGAGCACAGTCATTCCACGCAGTCCCATCTTAATAAGAAGAGTATCCAAGGTGCGCGCGTAGCCTGCTGAGACATTGAAAATGTGCTCTTCGTCATCTGAGTAGCTAATTGAAACCACAAATGGAGGGTTTGCCAGTGTTAGCACGTCTTCAGCAAACTCAACAAACGGTTCATCTTCCACTGAGTACGGGTTGCTGCCATTCATAGTCCACACAAATGTCGTTGCGTTGCGGCCAACACCTGTGATGAATTGCAGGTCTAATGTCGCCTCCATGGAAGCTTCTTCAGGGCGGTTGACTCGATCACCCTTTTGAATAATTTGTGGAGGGCTTTCACCTGGTAAAAACTGCGTGAAAAAGGCATGTAAGTCGTCCGGATTATACGACTCATTGTAGAAGGACGGCACGCACTGCGTATTGCCTGGATTTGTCACCACGAGGTCGTGGGGGATACCGTATGTCTGGCGAATCAATGCCAAAGTATCTCCTTGACTGTTGTTCGTATCTGTTACTTGTGAAGAAGTAGCTCCAAGCGCTCGCAGTCCCAGTGGATGTGTGTTTACGCTCAAGAACGACACAACATCCTTTAGATGATCTGGCACTGACACAGCAGTCGATGCTCGCATTAACCTCCGCTGTCTCAACGACGATACTCCACTTTCCACCTCTTTTGCTTTGTAGCTGTAAAGCTCCGTTTCTAGCAGTCTTTCAATATGCTTTACCTTTATCGGGATCTTAAACAGATTTGACGTGACCGAAAATGTCCCTGTACTGTTTTCGTGTGAAACATTTGCGACCCACGCGCGCACCGCCTCAAGCGCTCCATCTAATGGTCGTGAAAGGTGATCAATGTGTTTTTGAGCAAGGTATTGACCGTATTGCGCATGTCTGCAATGAAAACAAACCAAAACAACTCCAAGGTGTCAGTCAACTACAACTTCTCCCATTTGAAACGGTGTCTACATAAATGATCATAGTAATTGCAATACACACGTTGGGTTTGAGACATCGTAGAACGCTCGTTCCAGCGCTTTGAAGTCTCCTGGATATAATCCAATCACCAGTGGCACAACGTGCTCGGGATGAGCGCGATCCTGGAGAACGTAGCGGTCACTCGAAAAGCCACGGAAGCGTGAATATGAGTCATCATGTACTGTGGCAGTAGTGACGGATATAATGGACCATTGCATCATCGCTAGTGGGAGCAGCCATATTGATCTTACCATCTCGCCTGCTATAGTTTGTTTCTCAAATGAAATGCTCCACGTGTAAAGGAGGCAAAGAAGCACGATTTGCTGTGATAGTTTTTGTACTGAATACATACAAGCAAGAGTAGATTTATACCTACAATGGCTGAATGAATACAAGGTCATTTATTATTTGAATGCAGTATTTTGCTATCTGCAGCAGATCATCAATGCATGAATTGAATTGCATACCAATGGTGCTGGTTATTAGACACTCTACGTACGAACTTTGTGACTAAATTGCTTTTGGGATGGCCACAGCTACTGTAAAACTAGTAATCGCTGCAGTAACGCTGCAAGTTTGTACAGCAACTCAAAGGCAATTTTCAGCAATACAATGATCACGACGGCAGTTAGCAATCATAGCTAGACAGTGCTGAACCTAGGAGAAAAGCATTTACCGTAGTAAAATAGGATTGAATGTAGCTGAATATGTCACGGAAGGCGGTCTACACAAATTGCGTTTGTGATAGCATTCAATCTCGTGCAATCTATATTTTAGCAAGGCGAGAATGGTCAGTGGAGTGTCATCAACATATACTAGGATGAAAGTATACGTTGCTTCCAGCTTAGAGCGCTCATTGATGCAATTAATGGGACGTGGTCAGGATCTTCGTGTAATGGTGCATGTACATTCTTGTGAACGACTGATTTTGCCTCCATGGCACATTTTGTCACAGGATAATGGCCTCCGTCAATACCCTTTAAATCATACCATACCATCCAGCTTGCATTCATTTGGCCAGCAGCCGTCCCGCCCAAAGAAAACGCTATTCGTCTATGGTCAGGCAGAGTATCTCTCTGGATCGCCGTATGTTTGTCCGTTGATTTGCGTCGACACTTATCGAGCAAATTGATATCGCTACTAAGCAGCCCAAGTGCAGCGCTTCATCAGCACTTCACATCAAACCTGTCCCCGACTGTGGAGTACTGCGTGCATCAGGCAGATCTGTAATGAGTAGCCAGGTTTGCAACAGCATTCAGAAATTTGGCGAGTGAAGCCAGCAGACGGACGACCATGCTGCTGCGATAAAGCGGATTGAAAGCTTATGGAAGATCGCCCTTGTTAAACTCAAACTTGGGTTTATAGGTAGCCAACCAGGTGAAGCTAGCTGAGACAAGCAAACTTGGAGTTTAGGAAGACGAAGCAGGAATTGGCCAAAAGCACTTGGTTGGTGGTGAGCAGCGATGTCTGGGAGACAGCAGAAGACTGACGTGTTCTGCTACACGTAGACGGAGTGGAGTTCATGAGGCCAATGTGCAGCGAGTTTTTCGCATGCTACGGGCAAAGGATGGAACAGGATCATTCTAATCACCATCTTCTTTTCTCCTATAGCGTGACATACCGTTGCTATGTGCTTGTACTTCACGTAATGATACGAAATCCTGACACTCACATCATATTTTCGATTGAAAAAAGTCTTCGACATCGTCAGACATGAAACCTCATTGTTGTTTTTGCCAGTTCCAGCACACGAGGACCTAACGTGCATCACATTGACCAACTGTACCCTATCTTGCATCTTAGCCCCCCTCTCTTCTACGCAAGTCATCCGCTATTCGACCTCCATCCGAAGTGGGTTTACCTTGCGACGTTGGTTGCCCTTCAAGCAAACGCTTCGCGCCATCCGAAGTGGGTTTACCTTACGACGTTAGTTGCCCTTCAAGCAAACGCTTCGCCCATGCCCGACGCCAAGGCGGTCAAAGCTTTGGAATCCAACGTTGAGTTGCTATCTCGCTCGCTGTTTGCTACGACCGACACATCAGCCAAGAGAAATTTGCGGCGTACCAAGAACAATGCTTCTCCTGATGGCGAAGAGCGAGGTATTGATGCAGCCAACTGGAGTAAGCTCGTCACTGAGTACGGTGAACGGAATTTTGCCTGGGTTGCAAAGTCTATTAATGTGATACAAGAACGCATGGAGGAAATACAAAAGCCGCTAATCAAAATGTCTTCAAAGGACGAAGGAAAGGAGTATGCTAAGACCTTGTCAACAACCGACTCAAAATCTATAACGTTCGTTGAAAACAACAAGAAGAACTTGCTAAAAAAAGACTTAAGTGAGCCGATCGAAAACTTACGTGAGATGTGTTATCAGTGACCTCACCCCCCACTTACCCGCGCGCTGTGCCGCGTTCGCATATAATAAACACACGTTATCTGAGGTGCGTAATTTCCAGGAGTCTTGTGTGTTTTTGTCTTCACCTGCTCAAGACGCCATGCTATTGATGCCTTTGCTCCAGTAACTCACACACAAAACTCTGCAACTTCTACGGCCATGAGTAAAAACACACACCGGCTAATTGTATCAGTGAAAATAACGCTGCAGGTCGGTTACCAAACATTGACCAGACATTGGTAGAGCTCATGGAGGACAGCTCAGACTCGAAGCTCTATCAAAAAATTGCATGCAGAACACAACTATGATTGCCATATGCGTGACAGAGATACGCAGGGTCGATGTGATTCTTGACAAAGCTTGCGGCTCAAGTCTATTGGGATGATGGGAATAGATAATGAGAACAGACTTCAAGACAAACGCTGCGTGCGAGTGATGACCATGACAATACCGTTCACCAGTTTGCTTGTATTACTGACCGCACACATCGAAATCGTAAGTATTCTACAGCATAATGGCTTGCAGCACCGACTCGCAATTCTGGTCAGGACTTCAGTCTTGGTGTGATAATCATGGCGTGAGGGTGTACGCATGTATATTTTGCAGTTCTAACATGAAAGCATTTTGTTAAGTGCTTTACTGCTCATAGCTCAGTACACAATCCTATCGCTGGCAATGTCTGTCGCGACGATTGATTTCGTTGAGAAGTAAGTGAGGGTGCTGAAGCTGCGGGCGATGTTAAAGATGGACTAGTAATTTCACTACAAACGTTTTGCTATCCGCTATTGATCAACAATCGGCGATGTTGCAGGGTGTGATCAAAGCATTTAGCAAGCTAGCTGATGACAGCGCTGTGTGGGTATGACAGCGCTGTGTGGGGATAACAGCGGTGGCACCATTGACTGATTGTCGTCTACTTTGCGTCAGTACAGCAACAAAATGACCGACCATCTACACAGATTCATAGTCGAGACGGCAAGTAGGAAGTGACTGATCGTCACTATGGTTGTTTTGATGATCAGCAGCGAGTGACGACCGACCCAGTCTTCCACAGCAACGGCTAAACAAACACCACCAGGCTCGGCAATATCTCGTTACTGAGGGGAGAGAGAGGAGAATGTTGCCTATGGGTGCAGCTCGTTCAGGATACAGTGACGCAGAATGCATTACGCGTAGATACCAATAAAACGCATTGGTAGCAGCCATTTGCTTCAAAGTAGTAGTCACCACGTTTAAGACATGCTTTCGAGTCGAGTAAACTCGTCAGTCACCAATTCGCTCATCGGTCGAACATGCTCTTGTGATATATCTGTTGATGCACGTAATAGAAAGGTGCAACACTTGCACGTGTTCAATCATCATTCAGAACAAAAATGTCCTTGACATCAGAATTGAGGTCATTTTATCATTGCGATTGTCCTCATTAACTAACCTCTATAAACTTTTAATCAACACTAATATCCGCGAACATTGTTCGCTTGCAAAAATTACTCGCCAGAGCACTGCAATGACCGCTTCGACGCCTGTCTTATCCCCTCCACATTCTGAAAATTTGCAGGACTTTACAAGAAGACTGCAAGATAAATACGATGAGTTCTGTCTTGAAATAGATCAACTAATGCAGGAACAAGCCGCGCGGTCGACTTTGGAAAAAGAAGCACGATTGCGCGAATTGGAATTGCATAAAGTTCAGCAGCGGAGCTCCCAAGTAGCTCAACAGGCTTTCAAAGATCATATGGGTCTGGAAAACGAGCTGGAGGATGAGGTAGCAATGCACAAAGTGGCAGTAGTAGGTAGAAATGCTGCCACACAACAGAACACGGCGCTGACAGTGGAACTCAAGACGATGGAAGCAAACTGGACAAATGAGCTGGAGGAAAAAGAGAATGCACTTGAAAAACTGGAATTGGCTGCTGATGAAGTTCATCGACTCAAGGCTGAACGAGAACAGATTGTGCAACGCACAGAGAGCGATGCGAAACGTGTGCGCGAGCTGTGGTGGCAAATTGCACGAGAACATGAAGTACGGGTTGAAGAACTCAAACAGGAGCTGCTAAATGCTCAACAACTGCCAGCAGGCGCAAAGGTTACTGTAGCAGGATATCAAAAGAAGATTGCTAAGCTGGAGGAAGAGCTACGGATGACGTGGAAGGAGAAGAATGCGTTCCAGGAACAGCTCTTGTCTGCAAGAGACCACTTTTTGTCGGCACAAAAGGAGTCCGACCGAATGAAGGAGGACAGTTGGAGGAGTGAGCAGCATCGGATTACACTGGAGTTACAAGAACTGAAGAGTATGTGCAAACTGCATGCACAACAACAACAAGCAACTGTGAAGAAGCGAGACGCGGCGATACAAACACTTCGCAAAACTGAGGAGGCATTGAACGCAAGCACTGAAGAGCTGTTGGCCCTCAAAACCAAGTTTGCCAATCTTCTGGATAAACATGAAGCACTGACGGCTCAGCTAAAGCAAACGGCTTATGCACGCGAGGCAGAGCTCATTTTGCGCGCCCAAAAGCTTTCCAAGGGTAAGCGCTACGCTGAAGAGTTAGCAATGCTACGGAAAGCAGAAATATCAGGATACAAGCGGGTAATCGATTCGGTGGACGCCCGTCTAACAGAGACGCAGGAGCTGAGCGAATCTAGTCAACGAAATGCCTGGTCGTTGCCACAGGACGCTCGCAAGGTAAAATCATCCTTGTGCATTTATCGCCATTAAATTTCAAAAATCGTGATGTGTAATGCGGTTGCAAAAGGAAACGTCACTGTTGCTCTTACAGATTTCATCTACACGATTCCCTGCTCTAAGAACGGCTCGTCCGCACGTACACGATCGAAGCTAAAGCGTGAGCAGTTGATCGTTTGAAAAACTCCGTAGAGAACTAGCTCTGAAATCGCACGACCAGCAGCAGGAGACTGCTGCAGGCCGTGACCACTAAACCCGTTGACGAGGTACATATTTGGTACGTCTGGATGCAGGCCAATAATCGCATTCTGGTCAAAGGTATTGTAGTCGTAGAAGCCAGCCCACGCACTCACGATCTTGACAGCTTCAAACTGCTTAACGCGGTGAGCAATCGTTGGCCACACCTGCTCCTCAAAATGTTCGTGATCAGGAAAGTCCAGCTCGTCCGTAGACTGTCCATCATAATCATTCTCAGGTTCGGGTGACCAGCCACACACGAAACGACCACCTGAACCTTCACGTCGAAAGTAAACTCCGTTTGTATCCACCACGAGTGGAGTTGCAGCATCGCCCTTCCAGATTTCTTCCGCATCACAGTGGAAAGCAAAAACGGAGCGCTTGCGAGGTCTCACCGGATAATTGAAGACACCGCAGGCCTCTAATAACTTGCTCGACCAGCACCCCGCAGCATTTACTACGACACCCGTACGAACCGGATTGAAATGCGTGCCTCCACATTTATGCGAATTGTTGACCTCGATGTGCACCTGTTTGATCTGATTTTGTCCATCAAGTTCAAAGTGCTTGACCTCACCTTCTAGGACATGTACACCCAGGGACACACACTTGCGCTTCATGGCATTTAGGAATGCCCAGGGATCGAACCAGCCCTGATCCTTCATACCTAGGACAGCTTTCTCAACGCCTTCTGTGTTAATCCACGGAAAGCGCTGTCTCAGCGCCACCGGGTCCAGCAGCTGCACATCTGCGCCCGCAGCTTTTTGTGTGGTATAGTTTTTATGGAGAATATCCGCTCCGTGCTCGCTTGCTAAAAACATATATCCACCTTCAACGAACTGTACATCTGGAGCGTCGTGACCGTCCACCTTCATGTTCGTGCCAATGTTGCGAAGGAATTCAGTGCCGTAGAGACTCATTTCAATATTCTCTGTCTCTGAAAATTGATGACGGATACCACCAGCGGAGAGAATAGCAGATGCGTACTTGTACTTTAACACCAGAACAGTCAAAGATGGTCAAATATTAGTGTATCCAAGCAGCAAAAGAGCAGTCTTGACGTACGCAAGGGTCCTTCTCCACTACGGCAATTTTTAAGTTAGGAGCCTCAATAGCGAGGTGGTAAGCCGTTGAAAAGCCCATGACACTTCCACCAATCACCACTACATCATAGTACGGTATTGCACCCGTCGAAAAGGAGCGTGTAAAGCGTAGAGACTTTCCGAGTGCGCGCGTCAGTCCAGTCTGTAGCCTGCAGAGAACGAACGACACGGACATGGTAAGAATTATTAATACAATCAAGACAATGGAGAATTGAGTCTTGACGCACATCTTGGTTACAATCATCGTAGAGAATTAGAAACTGAGTTCATGAAGACGACGCGCGGAAGTCGAGAGACTCTGGTTAGTTTGAGACAATTTAGGAGATGAAGACAAAAATGACGCGATGGTGTATACGCTTGTCGTCTAAAACAGTATACGGATATACAAAGAAAAGGCAAGAAGCATTCTTCAAGGTGGGTCAGTATCCTTACAATTTGTATGGAAGGCTGACCCGTTGATTACTCCGCTTATGTATCATCTCTGGATAAAAGTAAACACAATAACTTCAAAATCGTAATCTGGTGATAGGACGTCAAGCGTCATCGCCCAAAGCACTGGAAAAAGACTATTCCTACAATCTCAATTGGCAATTGACCCTGTTTTTATATGCTAAAAAATAGTTTTTAGTGTCAAAAGTACTACTAAAAAAGACTCTTGTCTAGGGACTTGTACTACACGTTGGTGAAGACCTCATTTTAGTCACTTTCCTACTCCATCACAAATCGAGACACGTGGTCCGGACGAAGAACGTCTTTCAAAGCATCAACCTTGTCATACATACCAAATTGACCACCCGTGTGCACAAAGAGAATTGTTTTTCCTACAAATTTCTACAACAAAAAAACGAACGTCAAACGTAAGTCGTTAACAAACGTAAATTCATTATACTTAAAACAATCGAGTTCTTATCTTACCTCTGAAGCCTCATTTAGCTCTTGAATAAGATGGAAAAGTGCCTTCCCCGAGTATACAGGATCCATGAGCACTCCAGTTTTACGACATACGTTGTAGACAAACTCAAGCTCGTTAGTGGTGCTACGAGCGTAGCCCATACCTTGAGCATTAGTAATCTGAAGAAATTCACGTGACGAGATCTCGGATAATGCTCCCATTGCAGGCAGAATATGACCATCAATGTGGCTGTGGAAGTATTTATCATTGTCACACACAATGTATGCGTGCACTGCATTAAAACACGTGTATGTGAGCAACTGCAGCGGACAATTACATCGTTTGGCACATCGTACCGGGAATTTTGCCATCAAAGTGAAGAGCTGCGTCTGGATAAGCCTTGGCATACAGATACGATCCGAGACCAATTCCAGCCGCAGTTCCTCCACTTCCACAAGCAAAAGCAATGTCGGTAATTGGTAATTTGTATTCCTATCCACCATCAAACATTAGCTCCTGGTCGCTCCTGACGCTAGTATCAATACGTACGTACGCATGCATACCTTCAGTTGGTTGTTAATCTCATCAATAGCATGAACGTACCCCCATGTACCCAATCCATTGCTCCCGCCAACCGGGATATCATATGGACAGCGGCCTTCCTCTCTCAACCGGTCACAAGTGCGCTACAAAGCACAAGAATAATAGTCCGAGTAGGTTTCATCTCGATACGAACAAACCCAGTAACACACGCGTAAACGGGTCACACCTTGATCATAGCTTCACTGCCATATTTACTGTACTCCTGACGAGACATTTGTATGATAGTGGCGTCCAGCATTCTATCCTCACAACACATTAGCTTTCTTATCTTTCGCATCATTGATTGAACGACTAATTACCGGTTAAATAGCACGTTTCCAATCAGTCCTGGATCATTATCTGGTCTGTTCGAGCGCAATAGCAGATACGAGTCGAGTCCGAGCATCCTAGCAACAGCAGCTGTAGCTCTGCAGTGGTTGCTTTGGATACCGCCACATGTGACAATGCAGTCGGCCTTTTGCACCAGAGCGTCAGCCAGCAGGAACTCGAGCTTGCGAATCTTGTTCCCAGATGTCTCCATGCCACTAAAGTCATCACGTTTGATAAACATATGCACGTTATCAGGAAGACCTGGTGGTGAAAACGAATGGATTGGGGTTGGGAAGTGACCCAAACACAGCTTTTGAATCGGGGGCTGACGCAGTGCAGATGCCCATACAGGCGGCATGAACGGAAGAGACTTGAGCATTGTCCAATATGTGCCAAGGTTTGCCAATCAAGCCAATCGCAGTGAAGAGTAGTTAGTTTATTCAGCGGTCGAGAACCATTTTTGACCTGGAGGGTGAGTTGAACACATGCGAGTGTTAGAAGTTGCTATTACATGCATTGCCATTATGATAGTATCTGTGTCAAAGCATAGTGCAAACAATCTCATATCGGGACAGCACTAACGTGATTTTCAGTTATGATAGCGATCGAACCAAGAGGTGACGGACGGTTAGCGATACAGCAACAGCTTGAGGAGTATGAGTGTATGCTTAGTATGTTTCCCAATGAGAATGAGTTGATTGTCGACGAGGCAGCTAAAGTAGCACTAGAAGAGTTTGTCCTTAACGGTGATCAAACTGCTACGTTGCCACGGATTCAATACACTCTTTACTACAAGGTAACATATTGCTAACGAGGATATAATCATTAAGTTGATGGGCTGATGGGCTGCATTAACAAGCTGTGCGTATGCAAATATAGGATCTACCCTTTGGTCGTGAGACGCCTGGTTTGACGCTCATATGTCCTCCTAGCTATCCAGAAATCAAGCCGATGTTGTTTGAGGTGAAATGCCCGCAGCTTTCGCGCATGGAAATGGAAACACTAAACTCGGAGTTGCAAGAATTAGCTACTGCCGCTTGTGAAACTCAAGAAGTGGTGGGACTGCAATTGTACCAGCATATGCACGAATTCCTATCTCAAGTGCAGAGCGTTGACGACGAGCGAGATCGAGACGTCGTTGGTGTTGATCCTGAGAACACTTCAACGCCGATGGTGCTGGGCCGACGTGCCATTTACTTTCATCATATCATTGCGCTCACGAAACGGCGCGTAGTAAAAGAATGGGCTTTGGAACTGAAGCTTGGAGGCTTTTGTAAGATTGGATGGCCGGGTGTTATCATTGTCGAAGGCATCGAAGACAACGTTCAGGAATATGTACGTCGACTGCAACATTTGCGCTGGAAGCAAATGACAGTGCGTGGAGAGCAAACAGAGCAAACGAAAGACGTCAATTTGCGGTGGCTGCTTCCACAGGGTATCCAGGAATTCCCTGAGAATGGCATGTCGGACTTGGCAGCAACGTGTCGTGCTGTAGGACTAGAGGAACTTTTCCTCACCACCATGAAAATCTATGGTCGAACGGAAAACAAGGGAGAGCGCTAGAGCGTAAAATCCACAAAGGACACCACAACTAGCAAGTAATGGCATCCGCAATGGAACAGCAGACCGAAACATGAGAATCAAGGGCTCTATAATGGTATCTACTCACACTCTTTGCTTCTTGATCTTTCCAGCGCCTGGATCCTTGTCACGCTTCCATAATTGCTGCTGAGGCTTTACATTATCTTCTTCGGTTTCACCGTCGCTGTCCGTCTTTTCAACAGCCAGCTCGCTTTCACAAACCGGCAGCAAGCTCTTCATTGCCACAATACTAAAGTCCACGAGGTATGACTGCTGCAGCATACGGTCAATGCGCTGGAAGTGACGCTCACTGTAGGCGATAAGTGCTTCCACTGTTTTGGCGACACCATCCAGAGATTTCAGACGGCTTGGAGGCAGTTCACGCAAAATTGTGCTCAATAGCACTTGGCAGACACTCGAATTGCGAGCATTTGTGTTCCAATCACGCAACCACTCCATAAGCGTCGTTAGCTTTTCATCTTCTAGGCTGTGCACCACCGGCGCAAAAATGTCCTCAGGAGAAAAGTTGTCTGGGTCAATAGGCTTGTCACCAGGAAGCACTGGCTGATCCTTGTGTCGGGGGCCTTCAAGCAGATCGCGAAGAATTTGCAGCATACGGTTTGGATGATTAAGCTCGAATGCAAGCTGCAAAGCATCCATCAGTTTGTTTTTGCGAAGGCAGTTGAAGAGCTCCTGCTCCTTCAGTAGCTTAGCATCACGATCGTCCTGCTGCGCACGATCCTCCTCTTCCGTAAAATCGCGCCAAAGATTGATAGTTGAGTCTGCACCACCGCTGACCATCTCAGAGCTGTCCTTAGACACAGCAAGAGCCCAGATTTTGTCCTCGTGGTTGTCGAAAGTGGCCTCGCACTCGTTGCTCTTGATGGTCCATAGTTTTACAAGTCCATCGGCACCAGCAGATAGAAGCTGCATGCCAGCACATGCAAACTGTACATTCAGCACAGAAGCCGTGTGACCCTCAAACGTCTTGAGGCACGTAAAATCCTTGGCAGACCACACCTTCACCGTCTTGTCGCCACTGGCAGATGCAAGGCACTGATCGACAGGAGAGAATTCGACAGCCCAGACACCACGTTTGTGGCCACGGCAAACACCAGCCAATGTCAAAAGACGGCCAGCGCCTGCCTGCTGCGAATGCCATACCTTAATGAGCTTATCTTGCGACGCACTGGCAATAAAGCGATCGTTCGGTGACACCGCCAATGCGTTCACGTCCTTATCATGGGCCTTGACAGTACCAAGCGAAGAAATCGTCAGTTCTGTCGGAGCAGGCTTCGCAGGTGTAGCATACAATTCAGCAAGTGGCTGAAGGCTCCACATCTTAAGTGTCTTGTCCGAGCTACCAGTCACAAAAAAAGCAGCGCCAGTGGCAAAGCTGGTTACCCGCTGCGAAATGGCAATGGCACCAAGAGCCTCAGTGTGACCCACACATTTTGCAATACAACGCGGCAAAGTCTTTCCCATCTTCTTGCCTCCAGTAGGTCGCAAGTCCCAAAGTAAAGCCGTTCGATCCTTGGAGGCACTTACAAGCCACCGACCGTCTGGAGAAACCTCCAGGGCCATGACAATATCCGCATGACCTGAAAGAAGCTCGCAGGAGAGAGTATTACGGTTCACAAGACGGATCTGCTCACTGTTTGTGGCCACTACCAAGACATCCGAAGGTGCACCGCTCGCATCAGCCTTTGGAATATACTTGAGATTGAGAATATCATCGTTGAAGCCAATAATCTGAGTCCGACGAGTCAAATTTTCATCAAAAACAAGGAAGTTCTGTTCGGATGACACAACCACTACCTCACGACGAGTAGCACTTAGCAGCATATCCGTGTATGTTAGTGCTGACGAAGCGTCTGACTTCTGCGTGAAAAGGATCTCGCAAGCATTGCCGCTGCTACGCCACAGCCGCAACACACCTTTCTCTCCAGCACTTACAAAGTGGATTGCTTTTGCATCCAGAGACTTGCCAGAAGCAGCATGCGTAACACACTTGAAAGTCGACGGCAAGACCACAAGTCCTTCTACAGCTTCATGCACCACCACCGTCTTGCTAAGTCTCTGATCGCGTAAATTCCAAAAGTTAACAACCTTGTCACGTCCAGCTGTTAGCATTGTGTATCCATCTTCCGAGAACGCAACACTGGTCACAAGACTCATGTGGTCCTGTATACAAGCCACTTGCTTTTGCGTGTACAAGTCCCAAACACGCACCGTAGTGTCGTCACTGGCTGAAACAAGAGAAAGCCGTGCAGCATCGGGGTGAAACTGCACGAGTGTTACAATACCCGAATGGCCACGGAAGTTATGCGTGCAGAAACCCTTGTCCACGTCAAAGACTTTAACTGTACGATCACTACCTCCCGTGGCTAGTAACGTCCCTGATGGATCAAATCCCATTGACAGCACAGGCGTGTCATGGGCCTTGATAGTGCGGATGTACTTTAAAGTATCAAGGTCCCATATACGCAGAAGTAAGTTTCGGCCGGCCGTCACGAGCTGGTTCTTTGTGCCTGGACGTACGGCGAATACTAAAAAAGACTCTTTGGATTCTTCGTCCTTTACATTCTGCTGCAGTGTGCACTGTATCTCTCCAGTCTCCGCGTCAATGATAGCGACGTCATCATGCAACATGCAGGCCATGAGTGCGCGGGGAGCCGCGTCGACGCTGGTGCGACCATTGAAGAGCTCCACTTTTCCACCTGTATACACACCTGCATGTGACTTGACGGTACGCCATATTTTTGATAAACCCGAGCGGTTCGAGTAACTACCGGATACACCAGCAGAAGCCTGCGCTGAGTCTACAAAGCTGCTCATTTCTAGTGAATATTGACTGGAGTAAGAGACACAAGTTGATTAATGTGTACCACTTGAAGTATTTTATAAATTTATCACTGCTATGCCGGTACTACCGGTAGAGTGGTTGCTACCACACATCGCATACGTATAAACCGGTATCCACCTTGCTAACGTAATTGATTGCTAATCACAAGCCGCTGCAAAGGCTGGCGACGTGACCAAGCTGCAAAAGTTGCTGGATAGTGGCGTCAATGTGGACGTAAAGGACGAAGATGGTCTTACTTCACTGCATTGGGCCAGTTCCACTGGATGTTTTGATGTAGTGGAGCTACTACTGGAGCATGCACAAGTCTTTGTCAACGTACAAGACGATGCTGGATGGACGCCACTGATGAGTGCTGGCTCTGCAGGACATTGTGAAATTGTTGGAGTACTACTGAGAAAGTAAGAGAGTATTCTTTTGCGCTTTGAAGATGATGTTACAGCGTGAAATGTTATAATCTTCCAATTGACTGTGATTCAAATTTGCCGTCGCGCGCAGAGGTGCCGATGCAAACCTCGCCAATGAAAACGGACAAATCCCGTTGCACTACCATAGAGGTATTTAGATGTACAAACATTGATGGAGAATTTAATCTAATGGTTTGTTGTTTACTTGGTAATATCCTTGTGGGTGGAAAATAGGACGCCAAGAAATTGCGGAGCTACTGTTGGACTATACTCGGGATGTTAACCATGCGGTGAGATAAAGCTGTGACCTTTTTGTCTCACTGGGCTCACTGTGAATGAACGATATATGCATTCTAATTGACGCGTGTCACTGCAGAACTACCGGAAACCCCCCGCGCGCGGGGGGTCCCCCCCCCTTTTTGTCCCCCGTCCTTTTTTTTTTTTTTTTTTTTTTTTTTTTTTTTTTTTTTTTTTTTTTTTTTTTTTTTTTTTTTTTTTTTTTTTTTTTTTTTTTTTTTTTTTTTTTTTTTTTTTTTTTTTTTTTTTTTTTTTTTTTCCTCTCCCTCTTCCCCTTCCCCCCTTCTCTCTCCCCCCCCCCTCCCCCCCTCCTCTCCCTCTCTCCCCCCCCCCTCCTCCCCCCCCTTCTTTCCCCCCTCCCCCCATCTTGAGATGTAGCAGAGCTTAAGTTCATCACCTTCTGGAGAATGTCTTCAACAGCGACAAGAGGGAGTTTATGCTGCTGCTGATGTACACGATCATACTTAACATCTGCATGAGTAGTCTTGATAAAGCAGCTTTATGTTTGGGTAGTGGCCACGTAGAGCACTAGCGGTGAGTGGGGTATTTGTAGAGAAGCGGCTACGCTTAATTTCGGAGCCTGGCAGTTGCAGCCGTTACTTCGAACATAGGCACCACAGTGAACAGCTTTTTCAAGGACGCAAAATATAGCTAACTTTGAGCCGCGTCCTGTATTGATTACCACCAATCCTAGCTGTATTGATATAGATTCCTCCTAATTGTCTGTGCAGAGGTTTCCACAAAACGCCGGGAAGAACATGGAGTGGTCGAATCTTCTTTGCCTGCTGTTCGTGACACGCCACGAAGACGGCGGATCTCTTTCTGGAAGTTTTCGGCTCAAGACTGCGTCCAACAGAAGTCTTGTCGATCATTTTCGTGCTATCAGGCGCCTGGGCATTTGCAATATTGACAATTGTGGTCGCCAGGTCGTTCCACTCACTCGCTTGAATAGCTGCAGTTTTAGCACTTGCCGCGTTCAAAGCTGCACGACTTTGTTGAAAAGGGTACTAGCACATAGGTCAGCACAAGAGCAACAGGTTAGCAAGCACGTCAACAAACACATCAACATTGAGCATCATACCTTAGATCGGTTGACTACGAACACATACGTGACGCAGAGATCAGGCTCAAACGTTTTGGCTCGTGGGTCCGTCGTGCGATGGCGATAGCCAGGAAATAGACGAATATCAAACCTCCGTCGGTCCTTCATGACAAATCCTGCATCCTTGGCTTGGTCCTCAATGAACCAGTTGGAGTAGGGGGGCGCGTCTTGAGCGTTACGTGAGCTTCTCCATGCAGCAAAAGTCGATTTCGTGCACTCTCAAAGAAGTTAAGAAGCAGTGCGCGGTTGATATGTACGCGTTGCTGTCCACTGTGTGGGAAATTAAACACAATGTACTGAAAAAAGTCCGGAATCATCTTCATACCCATTCCAGTCTTCACCTGTCGAGGCAATTCAAGTAGCTTCGTAGCGTCCACATCATGCAACACAAGACCTTGCGCAGACTTTACAGCTGCCATACATTCCGGAGCGTTTGAATATTTATTGCCGACTTCTTTTTCCGAGTCAAAAGACGTTGCAAAGACCCCACGGCCAGTGCCGCGGTGCTTGACGAGGCTGCGAGAGAAGGAAAAATCGCCGTCCCCAAGCACCAACACGGTATCTTCAGGTGCGTATACCTGATTGAATATCTTCTGTGGCTTTTGACGTTGCCGTTTCGTATTGCTGCCTGAGCTCATGCCACCATACACCTTAGAAAACCGACGCTTCTGCGACAAGGCGTCGCTCTTATTGCGTGCCATTCGATGTCAGAAAGAAGAGTCAAACAGAAGAGTTGCGCATCAAAAATAAAGTTGCTACAAGACCGACGAGAACAAGAGACCACTTAACACTCTTTATCTATACCCTCGCCTGTGAGCCCCATACTTTCGTCACGCTAATTTTGAACAAGTTAAGGAATGACCTGGATTTGACCGTCTGTCTATGCTTGGCCTGCCATGGGCGCATTTTTGGCCTTTCGTAAGATTAGCTGTAACAGCTTAAAGACATGTATAATACAAAAAGCTTGTAACTTCATAGCCACCTCCCTCTGCTTCCTCCTATGTTTGTCGTCCATGCATCTTAACATTCTATGATTGTGCTTGCCTGTACAATGGCCTCATTTTGATAAGGTTAGTGCGAACTGGCTAGGTCTACGCGATAATGAAAGCGTTCTTACGCTTAATTTCCATTGTAAAGAGAATAATGCTACGGCTGTACATAAAGGACGTTTGAACTTGGAGCTTGGCATGATTACAGGCGCCCGGGACAGGAGACTAACGGTCTGCTGCTATTTGTAAGTTGAATGTCCAGTGGAATATACCACAGAATATTAAGGAGAAAGGTCTATCTCTTGCATTGATCTTACGCCAGTCGTCTGAGATCTGACCGTAGAAGGTACTAATTAATCCAGCCTTGTCGACGCTAGCTGAAGCTTGTAACTACTCCGTGGTAGATACTTAGACCGCCCTTCACCGAAAAGATGGGCCATTACACGAAGCGGATCCAAGACTATTGAGAAGACAGTGGAAGGTGCTGCAGCTCGACATTGAGGACCAGGACGGCAGCTCTCATGCCACTTGGAGCCATTGTCATCCCTGTTGGTTTTGGTAAGTACAGTTCGTTGTGGTCTCGTCCGAAGAACTCATAGTCAATTCATGTGGCAGGTATCTTCTTTTTACATGTTGTAGCCAGTTGGTTATCGGCGATACCTGAGAAAATGTTGCGATTAGTTTTGATGGAGCAGAGAATCACAAGAAACCAGCCACGTGCCAGCGCAGATCAACTACAAAGATTTGCTCTGGCACGTGGCACTACGAGCTCATGAGCTCAACTCGTTTGTACCCACCGTTGAATGGGTTGAGTGCACATCTCAATTATCACAGCAAACATTGAACGGTATTAATCATTCTACAGTTTGACTTCCACTGCTCTCTTGATTGCTACTCGTATTCCTCCTGATATTCGGTAAACAATGAAGACCCCAGCTGTTATCAACCTTCTACTCTGTTCCTTGCCTCTCGTCAGTGGAAAGCAGGCTGGAAAACTCGTCGAATATGGCTTTGTCTCGCCACTTGACACCCCCTGTGAGACCGAGTTCCACCCTGACCAACTTGACGTTGCCTGGGTTGAACTTATTGCGTCAAACACGATTCTACGGGTGAACCTGACGACCGCCGAGCAAAAAAGATTCCATCTTAATAATCCTGCTGGGCTCCCCAGTGGCATGGAATTCATGCCAGACGACAACTTATGGTTTTCCGAAGTAGTCGGCAACTGCATGGTAAAGTTGAATCCCAAGGATGGCAGCATGACCGAATATCCGTTCCCTTGGACCAATATTTTACCCGTTGACGCTCTTCCTGCCGGTATCCGCGTCACCATCGATGTCGCTGGCAATCGCGACCGTGGAGCGTGGTTCACATCCGTCGGTCTCAACGCCATTGGCCGGATTGACATTGACACCTTCAAATACAGTCTTTACCCGCTACCAAACCTGCTGTCGGGTCCTCTCAATATACAAGGTGGCCCAGGCAGCACCATGGTCTTCTCGGAGATCTTAGGCAACCGGGTCGGCATTATTGATGTCCACACTAAAAAGATTACCGAGTTTGAAATTCCAACACCGCTGTCCCTAGTTCAAGGGGTCACGACAGACGCCGATGGTCTTATCTGGTGGACCGGTACAGGCGCTGGAAACTTTGGCACTATTGATGTGAAAACGGGCAAGGTAACTGAGATGTTCATCGCCGACATCCGCGCCGCGGGCAAATCGACCGTGATTGAGAATGGTCTTCCTAGCATTGGTTCTTCCGGTGCATTGGCATTACCGGGTCCAATTCGTGTCGGCAAAAATGGCAAGATCTACTTTGTCGAGGGCAATCTGGTCCTTCTTGGAAATCGCATTGCCGAGTACGACCCAAAGACGGGGCTACTAAAGGAGTATGTCATTCCTTCTAGCCTCAGTGGCCCTTGTGATCTCAACAACCAGCACCCAGAAGCCATATTCTTTGCAGGGTTTACAGGCGGCAATCTTGGTCGGCTGAATTACTAAGAGCGGCAGCTGACAAGCCAGGCCAGGCGCGCCGAGCTATAACGACGGGAAGTCCGCCACTATACTATGAGGTTCATAGTGTGTAGTTTAATACTCGGCCTTTTGCTAGCTGGCCTTCTGAGAGCAGGCTACAGACATTAGTGTGACCTCCTACATGCACTTCGCTCGTTTTGCATATGACTTGATCTGAGATCGTTGTTTTACATGCATGTATGCATTCAGCTGTCATTCGAGTCTATGAGTTGCTATGGCTTGAAGCATAGCTCATTCAAACGGCATTCATTTACAAACACCTTGCCACTGATAGTCTAGCGCAGTAAAGGTTTACCACTAAGTCCCTGTCGCAATAGAGGCCACATACCCATCAGAGCTATCTTAGATTGACAAGGTGTGCCGTTGCTAGAGCTATTTAGTACCTCTTACTCCTTATTTTCACAATATCATCTATAATAAAAAAGGAGTCCGGGAATCATCCTACTTGCTTATGCTGGGCTACGTGAACCATACCGACTTGACATCATCTTGGCCAAACATCTTTTTGCACGTAGGACACTTGCGATTGCGTGATTTCAGGTTGTTTTCAATGCACTCCTTGCAGAACATATGGAAGCACTTGGAGATGATCACGTCCTTGCGCCGGTCCTGACAGACTGAGCAATTCACGAGTTTCTGCAAGTCACGCAGCTCAAACCGCTCGAGATCGGTAAGTTCACCCGTAGACGCCAATTTAGAATTCTGCACTTGACGTTGTATATCCTCAATCTTCTTGCTAAACGTCTCACACTTCTCGCACGGCTTGTGCTTCTCCTGCAGCAATTGCTGCTCGCGCTGCGACTTTTCTGCGGTCTCGCAAATCTTCTTTGCTACTTCGGCATCTCGCAACACCTTTCGCTTCTCAACATCTGAAGCCTCACGTTCGGCTTCAATTGTCTTCACATAATTTTTCATCTTCTCGAGTTCAATCTCCTTCGCTTGCAACGATTCCTATTAGCATGAAAACACCATGAAAACAAAACTCTCATCAGCTGTCTACTTTAAAAGTGCACAAACAAGAAGTCTCACAATGCGCACCTTAGATGACTCGATGAATATCTTTTGGTGCTTGTGCACGGTGCTCAGAGATGAAACCTGCAGACGGACAGCAGCTAGCTCTTCAAAACAGTGCAATTTTGCTTGCTCCTCCCTCGCAAGCAAAGTGTGAAGCTTCTTATTGGCATTGCGCTTTTCTTCAATCTGCTGAAAAAACTTCTTCCGGCTATGGCGCAATGAATCTACGTCTTTTGTTATCGTATCAATCTCCAGCAACAATGCATCATTTTCTTCTCGTGAAGCTTCACTGGATGCCTTCATATCCTCAATCTTAGCACGTAGCTTTTCTCGGTCAGCATTGCATTCGTAATACTCTTTCCTCTCTTGTTCGATTTTTTCTTCCACTTCTGATAACCGCTTTAGTGCGTCTGACAGTTTTTTACCTGCGTCCTTCCTATTGAAAGTCAACATATTGTCAGAGCTTCAAAACAACTAACTTAACATAGGCCTGAATCACAACTCGCGTACATCTCCGCATGTTTCAGCATGTTATACGTCTGCTGTAATTCTAGTTTCTCCTTGGTCAATAATGCCACCTACATCATCACACAAACTTGGGACGTCAACGATTGAGCTAACAGAAAGTCCAGAGCAAAGAATACAAATCCACCTTGTGTGTCAGTATCTGGATCTCGTGATTATCTGCCGAAATTTGAGATTGATCCGCCCGGCTCCGCTCGCGCTCCATTTGTGCCTTCAATTTCGCATTTTCACGCTTTACTGATTCCAGTTCCGGTTTGAGTTCCGATAACTTTACAAGCAGTACGTAAGTAAGAATAAGAGACTTGCAATTTTCTCAAACTAAGCACACACCTGATCTCTGTAAGTTGATGCATTCGAGATCTTTTCTCGTAGGGATACGTTCTTTAGATTCAACCCATCGATCTGTGATTTTGTTTTACTCATTTCCGCCTGAATTTTTATGATCTTCTTTTCCCACTTCTCGGTCATGTGGTGCTTCAGATCCTGAACCACGCACAAAAACGCAACCACGTCCCATGCAAACAACATAAGTCAACAACCCGTCAAACTGCTCTTTCTGTAAGTACAACAAGCCCCTTACCTTCGATTTGTAAAGAAGTTTTTTGTACTCTTCGTCAACGTGAGTTTTCTCCTCTTGAAGTTGTTTGAGCTTCTCTTCGTGATCCTGGACCAACGCAGCTTCGTCGTTTTTCCACTATCAAACAACAACACGCACTTGTAAGGTAACAAGCCTCAATGAAAATTCAACGATCTAATTATGTACCGCCACTTCCAGTGCCTTGAACTTTTCCAGCTCTCGTCGCATTAAATCAAACTTTTGACGCTCTTGGTACAGCTTAGTACTCAAGATTCCCATATTCTCTCTCAAAGTTGCTATCATTTTGGTGTGCTCCTGCTCTTTTTTTGCAAGTGCTTCCTGCTTCACCGTGTCAGCACTCGACGGCTCTGACGTCGTTTTCTTAACCGATTGCTTACTATCTGTGACTTGTTCACTTTTAGTATCGTCGTCTTCGATACGATCCGTATTTACACTACCCCGTTGCTTAATAAATGCACTCAAACGGTCGTAGTCTCGACAAGCTCGATGGCGCTCCGTTTCCTTGTATTCCATATCGCGTTCAAGCTCAGCTATCCGAGTTTTGCACTAAATCAAGAAACGCATCAGCAATCAGCCGCAAACATCCATCTGTCCTTACATTGACACTAAAAGACGTACCGCCTGTAGCTGACCCTTAAGCTCTAGTGTTTCCGCGACTGCTGCTCGTTTATCTTGCAAAATATGGGCATACTCAATAGGTTTCGTCTTGTTCTCAGAAATACTTCCAACTATAGTAAGCAATTTCTGCAGCAACTCTTTCATTTTCTCCCTTTTCTGCTTGAGTTGATTGTGTACTTCTTTTTCCATACTTGATATATTATCCATTTTGATAAATGCATCGTCGATGGCATCATCATCTGTAGGCAATGACACATCAGCATCTGGTTCTTCCTGCTCTACGTCTTTGGCTACAGTAGTAAACCACTCTGGCATATTTAAAACCAGCTCCTCAGCACGTACACGGACCTGTCCAAAGTCATTGACAGTATCTAATGCTGCAAGCCATCCCTCTTTGGACATTTCATCTGATATAGCAGAGATATCTACTGTCTTTACTGCAGACAATATCTCGTCCTGCAGCTGAAACCACTGCCTCCTCAAGCAGCGGAAGGACGCGCTAGTTATCCCTCGTGAACGATACAACGCCTCACATTTCTCGGTCAAGTAAGCAATACGTCGATTCTTCTCCTTTATGTCAATCTCCAGCGCCTTATTTTTCTCTCTCACGGCCTCAATAGTATTCGGGTTAGCCTCAGGCGGCGTGTCATCTTCCAGTTTAATCTTCTTCGGCGCAGATACACCCCCCAACAACAGCGTCTCGCGCCGCTTTTTCTGACTCACGCCATTCTCTTGCGTCTGAGCATCAATATCCGCCATAGTTCGTTCTTACGTCACTAATGTGAGTCTCCGCGACTCTCGCCGTCCGCTCGAATCTTCGCTCCTTCCTCTCCCTGTACCAGTAGTATTATAACTTATTCTTCTTCTTGAGCAATTAAATCAACGGTTTTATAGTAAAATTGATTTTAATTTTGACTCTTATTCTTGCTTGCACCTAAAACCTCAAAAGAGTACGGAGCACCAATAAACTGAGTGGAAAAATACTGATAAAGAGCGCCGTGGTAATGGCGAAAAGCAGCAAAGTGCGGGCTTTTGCCTTGCAAACAATCTTCATCAGACACAGGCGACCAAACAAAGTCATCACGAAACCTAGAGGCACTAAAAGCTTGGCTAGATTCAGATCCAACTTGCCCCAGAGAAAAAAGTCAAAACACGCCACTGGAATATACACAGAAGAGGAGTGAAAATTAGCATCAACATAATCAATGCGGTCCATGTACTTACTGCCACTGACAAAGAACACAGCAGTAGATGACATGGCCGACGCTGCAGCTGGGGTAAAGTTGACTCCACGCAGCAAACCCCGCGTCGTCTCTTCATCTCTTACGCCAAACGCTCCTCCAACCGCTCCGATTACCAGTAAACGAAGAGGCAGCTTTCTGATTGAATCGGGGGACCACTGCGTAAGGATCATTAGTATCATAGTCAAATGTGATTGAATGAATGACAAAAATGGTCACATGTTACCTGGACTTCATTCGGCGCGAGGATAAATCGTGGGTGTTGCTGCCTCTGGTGCGTCGCTACAACTTCTTTCATCTGATAGTGCGAAACAATCGAAAGGAAGATGAATGGCAGCATGGCCACAATCAGGAAGAAGAAGGATGTTGGAGGAATTCCGAGCGGGCTGGGAAAGTATTTGCCACCCTGTAGTGCTATGAGAAGCACCGTGGCAGCAAAGAGCCCAAAGTTGAACCCCAACTTACGCCAAGGAAGACTAGCCTTGTACTGGAATTCACCGTCATCGTCCTGTGATTTTAATACGTTTAATAATGATCATGATGCACCATCGCAACTCAAAGTGGTGTACCTGGAAGCTCATTGATAGTGCACCAAGTAACGACATCGAGTCGCTGCTGCTGCACCACCGCCAACCCTCATCATGGCCTAATGCACGAGTTTTCTTGAGCTCTTCCTTGCCATTATATGCCAGGTACACAATCAGCGCAACGATAAGCAGCCAAGTAGGGAGCCACTTGATCATCGATGCGCCAAAGCCAGCTCCCACTACATAAATGATAATCTTGCTGGTTATTCAATGCCGCAGAGACAAGCCGATCATCAAATCATCCATTACTTACTGAGTAGCATTGGTTGCATGACTAGAATAACATCCCAGTTAATCAAAGAAGAATTCGAGTTGATCGATTTCTTCCAGAGATTCAGAAAGAGATCACAAACAGCTTCAGATAGTAGCAACAAACCATTAGAAACAAGCAGAAAGCAAGCAGCTTCACCAAATAACAAACTCACCTCCCCCAAAAATGGTCACACTCGTAAGCGGAATAGCCTCCTAAGCATTTCAATCACAGCACACTTGTAACAATAAATAATTCTTCGGACGTGGATGAAAGCTCGACAGTAACGTACATCTGGCCCAAGCTTAAGCACTAATATATAGACTGCATCCAGCACAGCTGCTCCACCACCTGACTTGGATCCGGATACAACGAGAACCACTAATGCAGCCAATAGAATCCAAAGCAGCTGATAGAGGCTCTCAATAGAGCGCAACACATTACGCGGTTCCTGGGGCACGTCCACAAGTGGAAACGTCGGGATGGGAACAAACTTGACAGGTCCTTTTTCATCTTCTGCATTATTCTGTGCTGTTATTAACGCTACAGTGAGTGTCACTGCTGCTAGATTGCGTACAAGAGTTCCTAGACGACACATGACGTCCTTGTCTTTGTAAAAATCTAAAACGCCATATTTGTGCGTTGTGATTGGACAGTTTTATTGGTCAAAACAAAGTAATTCATCAAGTTTTTATTTTTTGACTGTTAAATAGTCGACGAATAACAAACGACTATTGGCAAGTGTCAATATGTAACACTGTTTGTACCACCGACAAGCAGTGAGCAAATAACAATAAATGGAAAAAAGCAGCTGAAAGATTGATGGTTACCTATAGAAGTAGTGGTTCATGAAAGATACCTCCTTCCTCAATGTCAAACATTCCGTGATAGCCTCGGTTATGAATGAAATATGAAGAACCGATGGATGACAATGTCTACGACAAACGATCATTGGGACTCGAGAGCTGGTATTATCATCAATATCCGCGGGATGTATCTTAAAGCCCGACACATCAGTCTTCTTGCAGCGATTGCAACTCCCTGCCGGGACATGATTGATATAAAATTATCTAAAGACGCTCTCCGCAGCCTCTCTTATACTTCCAGATTTATGCTGACACGAGCAGCTTGCGTCTTAAAGATCCATTTGATTTCTTCAAATACAACCTTAGCACAGCCAAAGTTAAATCAAGCGTGCTTTCGGTGCAAATACGATCGGCATCTTCTACAGAGGAAAGCACAGGGCAGAGGGGCTGGTGCTTGCATCCATACTGTTAGAGAGACCTGGAAATGGGATCCCGGCGAACGAGAAATCGTCGTTGAGTTCTACAGTAAAGCAGGCGGCCAGTCGGCCATTCTTTGCAGAGTTTGTCCAACCAGGGTATGCTGATCGAAGTACAATGGACACGCAATCACCTAGATTAATGCGTTGCAGCAAATCTGTAGAGCTATCAAAGTATCGTCGATGGTGGCGAAAGTTTCTGCCGGCACGTAGATTCGGGCAGAACGGCACGCGCACCGTCTCTCTGCTCTCTCCCTCCGCACTTATCGACGTGACCGCTATTTCACACCACGAATGTGTTGCTATGTACGTTCCATTGTGTTCTCGCTGGTCTGTGGCCCAGCCCTGGTCCTTTGAAACGCAGTCCGCTACCAGCAATAAGCACTTGCTCACGTTTATTTCGGGTGGAACTCTTAGTTGTTCTGCAGTGGGTAGCTGCAGCTTCAAATACTCTTCATTCATATTACTTTTACCACGACGTAATTCTGATGTTTCAGCTTGGAACACAAGCATTACTCCTGCAAACTCGAGAATACTGTTCACCACGTCCACTGAGAGTTGATGCTGCGCAATGACAGACGCAATGTACAGGATTTCGTCTATCGAGCGCGATTGAAACATCGGATGCTCTTTCTCTGTAATTTGATTCGCTGAACCAGTCAAGAAGATTGCGTCGTCCGCGAGGAACACGCCTTCGTCAGTATCAATCGCCATGCTGTTTTCTCAGCTTGCGCTTTCTTGAAGCAGGTGTGAATTCTAAGTGTGCTACTATCTTTTCAAGCCGTGAGAAGCAATTTAAGCCAATCACAAGCAGGTTGAAGTGCCATTCTAAAATGCGGTAAAAAGAAGGGTGTCCGTAGCACTTGATTGAATGACAATAAATCACGGTGTTACTTTTTATTTACGTTTGTTGTATGTTAGTATCGAAAAGGAAGTGTGTGAAGCGAATTGTACAGTAAAATTTAGCAATTAGTGTGTCATATTGACAAAACTGGCGCTGCACATGCGCATAAGATAGTTGATACATTTTTCTACCTACCTCCTTGAAGAATAATGCTCTTTAAGTGTATAGAAAACACTGAAAAAACTGGGATCGGCTGCCAGACTCAGAAATCCCTTTTAAATATAATGATAAACGAGACAGCGTGTTTGCAAGGTTGAAAAGAAGAAGGTTTAGACTCAAGCACAAAAGTAAGTTTTATACCTTCAAACGATGCAACGCAAGGAGAAGGACACGCGCAAGCTTCGCCCACAACAGCTCGTGTTTTCTACTAAGAAAGTGGGACGTAAGACAAAGACTCAACCGAAACAGCAACTATCGTCTATAAACGGTGATGCAAAGCCTGCTATACAGTCACACCAACGTGAGGGTAGCGTCCCGTCCCATGATGCTCAAGAGCCAGCGCGTCACCGTTCTAGCCGCAGCCATAGCCGCATGAACTCCGTAAAGCACATGCGGCCGTCGCGTGCGTTGCTGTACGGTGATCGCGCAACGGTAGCGCAATGTGTGCGGGTGATGGTAGAGCGGAAGACGGACGCTGCTTTGCTGGTAGACAGGAAGGGCCGGCTTACGGGCATTCTCACGGATAGGGACGTCGCAGTGAAGGTTGTGGCCGTGGGCAGAAACCCTAATACAACATTGGCGCACGAGGTCATGACGCCTGACCCATTGTGCGTGCCGGCTAATGCTAGTGCAATTGATGCGCTCAAGACAATGATTTCAGGACAGTTCCGCCACTTGCCGGTGACGGACGATGATAAAGGTTTGAAAGTGGATGAACACAGATTTCCTTGGTATGTGTGACTCACTTGGCGTGTATTGTTGTAGTGGTAGGCATTCTGGACATTGCAAAGTGTCTTTACGAAGCCATCGCAAAGCTGGAGCACGCCTACCGTAAATCGTCTGAACGGCTTGAAGAAACGGTAAAGAAGGTAATATTGTGATGCTGAAGTAAATTGGATTACAGTTTTAAAAGCTGTAATGCTATTCGTGTGTGTGGGGTGGTACTTGTAGTTGCAAGACAGTCTGTCGGGGTCGACGGAAGCTAACTTGTTTGAGTCGTTACGACAGAAGGTAAAAGACAGATTGTATATTTGTTTATTTGTCTGTTTGTAGCATGAGAGACGTTGGTTTAAATTTGAAGCCTTTTGTTATCATTTGTTACAGCTCTTTTTGCCGACGCTCTCAGCAATTATCGTAGAAGGCTCTGAGGTACCGGTTTTGGGTCCGACGTCGTCAGCTATGGATGCAGCACGCTTGATGCTGATACGAAAAACTAGCGCTGTCATGATTTGCGATGAAGCAGTTCAATCTGTGGGTATTTTCACGTCAAAGGATTTGATGCGGCGTGTAGTTGCTATGTCTCTGGAGCCCAGTAATTGCTTGCTTTCGAGTGTGATGACACCAAATCCCCAAACAGCTACGTTGGGAACGACGATTTTGGAGACGCTTCATTCGATGCACAATGGGCAGTTTTTACATGTTCCTGTGTTCGCCGATGGTACAAAGCTGGTAGGCATTGTTGACGTGCTGCAAGTTACGCATGGTGTTGTTCAGCAAATGGGCACTTTTCAGAGTGTGAAAAGCGATAGTGTGCAGCCGTTATGGGATCAATTTCGTAGCAGTTTGAAAAGCGCGAACGATGCCATCAATCACGACGAGGAGATTGAGGATGATGAATCAAACGTAGGTGTCGACAATCCAGACAGCGATGGTGTTGATATAGCGTCTTTAGTGGGGCGCACGTCCTGGAATGATTTTCAGTCATCGACCGCAACAAACGGCACAGGCGACCCGGCAATACATGATGAGAATCCACTTACTGAGACGGCGCATGCGCCGGATGTATTCGTTTACAAGCTTGCTGATTGCTATGGTAACAATCATCGATTTACGAGCTCTGCTGTGTCGGTAAAGGAGCTTCTTGTGGATGTCCAAAACCGACTAGGCGACAACACGATTCGCAGAATTCTATATGTCGACGACGAAGGCGATCATGTATGTGTTTGAGGTGACATATCCCTGTATTCATGTTTTGTCTTACGGTCGCATTGTGCTGAAAACAAATGTAGATACTACTATCGAAAGACTCGGACTTGAAGGATGCTGTCAATCGAGCACGCACCTGGGGCAACAAGTACATTCGTTTGATGATCCCTCACTACCGCCTTGCCGTACGTCAAGCGCTTGGCCACAACTCAGACACGGCGATCGGTATGGTCGTATACGCTGCAGCTGTGGCCGCGCTTGCTGGCGCATCATTCTTTTTGAGCAGGCGGAAGTGATTGATGTAAGGTTGCGAGCACATGAATCAGAGCTTTTATCGGTACGGTATGCAAATGGTGTAAGTGATTGAGTCTCCAGATCAATCAGTTTCCAAGACGAATCAATGAATTTTTATTATCTCAACAAAATCCGCAGCCTGAATAAATATGAGCTGCCAAAATTATATACTAATCGAAACCTAGCCCACGACTGCGCCATTAAGGTGTGCTGCATATAGGTAGGCTCAGTGGAGTGTACGGAAAACGCTTGAGGATGTGATACGTGAAGCCGCAGCCGAAAGGTGCATCGCACTGAAGAGTGAAAGCAGCACGATCGATTTCCATGAAAAGAACTGTGGGAAGTAGTACAATATTGTCCAGAGACCGTAAAGAAAGACGCCTGTGAGGAGCAGAAGTGTATTCTGCGGACTCAAAGTCTTTAACTTTGCCTGGAGCACTGCCTGTGGATGGGGAGCTGCCGCTGCGTTCAACCATTACATCATATTTGAAAGCCAATTATTTCCACTTGGAACCGAAACAAAAGGTCTACAGCTGACACTTACGCGCATCCGTGATGACACTATGAATTACTCCGTTTTCCTCAATACCATATTCACCCATGGTGCGACTGGGAAGCAGTAGCATGCCCATGTAAATAAGCCTGATCTTCTTGCCACGGGCAAGCTCCTCCGCAAAAAACTGCAAAGGTTTCGTCAAATTAAGCAAAAAGATGGGCATAGAGCAACAAAAACACCACTCACCTTGCCAACAAAAGTATCAACTTGTTGTGTGGCCTTGAACCACGCCGGCCGAATCTTTTCACCTTGTCGCAAACGAATGGCAAGGCAATCTTGAGGAATCTCGTGGTTTACTTCAGTAGCTTCATCTTCGTGCTCCAACATCTCTGATTTCTATACCCAAACTCACCAAATGCAAGTCAGAGTCTACAACGTGTAACCAAAGAAAACAAACTTGTGTCGTACCGCTTCGCTTTTCACCGATGCGACGATTCTGCGAGTTTAACGCAACAATCACGTTGCATGTTAGTCCCAGATCCAGGATACAAATGCAAGAAGAAAATATGTCACATGGACATACGTACTCTGCTGCATCGTTTACAAGTGCCCACTCATCGTGTAGAGTGGAAGCAGAGGAAGGAGATAAGGCTGGCGAGTCCATCGTGGCTGGTTTAGGTGTGACAGAAGAAGTGTCAGCTTTTTTGATGATGGGACGCAGACCAAAATTTTGTATGGACACAAAGGACCAAATAAAGTAACTTCAACATCAACTGACCTCATCGCATTGTATGAAGTAAGCATTAAGGCATATATTTTTTTTTGCAATTGATCTGTTATTATGATACTACAAGATACCAGCTAGTGAACGAATAAACTGCTGGCGTATGTAATCGATTGCTGGGCAGTAGTGAGAGAGACCACAGGGTGGTAACGCTGTTTTTACCGTGAAATCGACTAGGTTTTAACAGGTGCTTGCTTCGCTTCTCGAGCTAGTATCGAACCAAAATAAGCAATCGTATATGCAAGAAAAGCGCCTCAATTGTCACCTCTTGTGTCATTTAAGATTTACAATGCATATTTGCTACGTTTACGCGTAACGCTGAATCGCCAGACGTCCATGAATATTACCTCATTATTATCGTTACTTCTATAGCATCGAGAACGTTCTTAAGTAAAGGTTGTTTTGTAGTCAAAAACAAGCTCTGTGTGTATTTTGATAATGACACCAAGCATAAAACCTCAATGCTAAATATGCCAATTTGTACGCCAAAACTACGCCATCACATTGAGCTACTTATCCGTCGTGATGCAGCCAAGTTCTCGCAGCCAGTAGACGAACGCGCTCTACGTCGTCGTGTGGATGATTACTACCTACCGATGTTCTGTTGGACGACGGAAGTTCTTGAAGCTGTGCAGAAAAGGCAAGGTGGTGACAGACGCTGCGTCTGCATCGGTCTGAGCTGCCCACAAGGTGGAGGAAAAACCACGGCATCCATGTACATGCAGGAAGCGCTCACGCTTATGGGAAAGAAATGCGCCGTCATGTCACTGGATGATGTATACTGTAAGTATGAACAACAAGTGGCCCTTGCGAAAGCCAACCCCGACAACCCACTGCTTCAGGTGCGTTGCGCAATAGTTGATTGCTGTATGCATGCAAAGGAGCGGGACTGACATGCGCCATGACTTGCACATGACAACGCTGTAGTACCGTGGCAACCCTGGTACAATTGACGTGCCTTTTCTGATGGACTTGGTTCAACAGTGTAAAACCTCTACTGGAGAGATCGCACTGCCTCGCTACGACAAGTCGAGGCACAACGGTCGTGGAGACCGTGCTCCTCTATCTGAATGGGATCGCAAACAAGGTACAAAATAGCACTAGTCTTGGTACTGAATACACTTGATAACATTGTAGTTGGTGTATACAGGGCCGTTAGATATGCTGCTTCTCGAGGGATGGTGCATGGGTTTCCAAGCGATCAACAACTCCAGCTCCAAACTGAGGTACAGACCCTCAGGGCTTATTTTATCTGCAGTTGTGATTATCATCTTGGTCTACCGTGCACAAACGATTGTGTTGCAGTGAGCATATGAAGGCCATTAACATGGAGCTGCGCGATTTTGACAAGTTATACGAGCAGCTGGACGCCCTCATCCTTATAAAGATTGACGACTTAAAGTGGGTCTACAAGTACGTTCTTTTGATCACTGCATATCTCAACATATCGTGTTATCAGTGCATTTCTTACCGCTTCATACACTGTATTGAATAGGTGGCGTGAGCAGCCAGAGCAGCTACTGCGGGAAGCCAATAAACCAGCCATGACTCCCAACGAAGTGCGCGACTTTGTCGATCGCTTCATGCCAGCATACAAGACGTATCTCAAGGAACTGTACGCTAACCCAAATCACTCATCATCAACATTAGCTATGGTCCCTCGTCTCGTTTTCTCTATTACAGCAGCCAGAGAGCCAGCGGCAAAGCCCATTGAGTTTAACTTTACGTCCGAAGCGCTGAAAGAATAGCTAATAATTCAAATCGAGAATATGATGAATTTCAGGAAAAGAATATTTGAGTAGGGATAGTCATTTTGTATTATTATTTTCATTTCCAAGGCAGGCTTTTTCAAAAGTCACAAATGCAAAAACAAAAAACCCAGCAAAGGAAAACCCAATACAGTATGCTTGGTGACTCGGAGCCTGTCAGATTTTTTTCGTCCCAGCCCATTATCAAACCAGCAATAACGCTTCATACAACCGAGCCCATGGAGCGGTACCAAAAGCTGGAGAAGGTTGGCGAGGGCACGTATGGTGTAGTATACAAGGCCAAAGATCGCGTGACGGGTGAGGTGATTGCGCTTAAGAAGATCAGGTTGGAAGCTGAGGACGAAGGCATCCCCAGTACAGCCATCCGCGAGATTTCGCTGCTCAAGGAGCTGCAGCACTGCAATATCGTTCGCTTGTACAATATCGTACACACGGAGCGAAAGCTTACGCTTGTGTTCGAGTACCTGGATCAAGACCTGAAGAAGTACCTGGACGTATGTGAGAAGGGACTGGAGAAGCCAATTCTCAAGTCTTTTCTGTATCAACTGTTGCGCGGCATCGCCTACTGCCACCAGCATCGAGTACTACATCGGTACGCTGTGCTGATTTGTGTACTCTTTCTTTGTGTGAGACCTTGACCAATGGCAACGAGAATGCTGATCACCACTCGCTGCTGTGTCAACAGTGATCTGAAACCGCAGAACTTGCTGATCAACCGCGAAGGAGAACTCAAGCTTGGCGACTTCGGTTTGGCACGTGCATTTGGTATCCCTGTAAGGAGCTATACGCACGAGGTCGTAACGCTTTGGTACCGCGCGCCTGACGTGCTCATGGGATCACGGTACATTCTCCTGCTTGCAGATGCGCTCGCATTTCTCCTTTTGTACTGATAAAGCCATTTGTTGCTGACAGGAAATACTCGACGCCTGTTGACATTTGGAGTGTGGGCTGCATTTTTGCTGAGATGGCCAACGGTGGCCCGCTGTTTGCAGGCACGTCGGAGGCTGACCAACTTGACCGAATCTTCCGCTTGATGGGCACACCTACGATCGAGATTTACCCGGCCATTGTGGACCTTCCGGACTATAGAGTGAGAACATACTGCTCATGATTTTGTCACTCGTTCATCTAATCATATCTTGCCAATATGACTCTAGCGAGACTTCCCGGTTTACCCGACACCGGATAGCTTGGCTCACCTTGTGCCAACGCTGGATGCGGAAGGTGTGGATTTGCTAGAGCAGATGTTGCAGTACGACCCTGCAAAGCGAATTACAGCTGCCGACGCTATGGTCCACCCCTATTTTAGCGACTTATCCCCAGCGCTAACTGAGAGTCAGTGAATATCGACAGCCATCACCGGTGCAGCCACAAGGAAGCTGACGTGTAGAAAGTATCCTTCTACAGAATGAGTAGATGATCCATGCGTTTCACCTGTATTGCTGTTCGTCATTAAAATAGCAGCTGTAACGTTGGACGTGAAGAGACACCACAGCTGGAAGATGAATCTTGGAGTAGTATTGGTGTTTCTCACTCCTCTGTGTTCTCTCTTTGCTCCGACAGAAGCTGCCGACATCGATGGTCGGTGGCTGAAGTGCCAAGATCAGTGCTAAGGTCGATAACACACAGTCATAGCAAAAGCAGTTTGTGCTTCAAGCCGATCAGATAAGCTTAGCCCTTCGCAGAAAGTACAATCACGACGCACTCGCAATTGCTGTTGTAGCGAGCAAGAAGTTTAAGTGTCAACTACAGGCTTAAGTATTGTATAAAGCAGGCAGCACCTTCTTCCACAACTGGTGTTGAATCTGATATCCAGGTAGCTTTGAGAGTCTTCTTCAAGCTCGGAAGAAAAACGCGTTGCCTTTCGCGCACTTTACATCTCGACTATTCATTCAGATTGATGCTTTAATGATGATAATATGGCAAACATGTGGATGTCATGAGTACAGACACGATAATTTGGACGTGAGACTATTGAGTTGCGTAATTCTATCACGGCTTTTGAGTAATTTATTGTGGGTTTAGCTTGAACACAAAATTTACTGATTTAAGTTTGATCTATGACCCAATTATAAAATGCCATTGCACCATATGGTGGGTATGTATATCACCATATTAAGCCTAAAATAGCAAGCTCCATGCTTGAGGCAGTACTTGCGATTCTCCGTGGCGTCCGCAATGGCTCATTCTACGGCACCAAGGTTCGCGCTCCGCACGGTATGAGCTCTTTTGTTTACTCTGCTTGAATTATAAATAACAAGAATTTTGTGCTTGTACAGCGCTGGTTATGATTTTCCTCTTCCAAAAAGGCTCTATTCGCGAGAAACTGCGTGGTATTATACGCTTGACGTTCGAGCACAGTACAAACCTGGCACTTTTTGTGGGCGCATACAAATCAGTGCTAGAACTGCTACGCGCTCATGATCGACATGTGCTAGGACAGCACGTGACGACGGACGTTGGAAAGCCCAGCGCACACTGGCACGCAGCTGTGGCCGGCGGCATCGGCGGCTACTTAATCTGGGGCCGCTATTCCGGCGTGAACTTTCAAATCATTATGTACTTAATGTCCCGCGTTCTTATCAGTTTCGTGCGCGCGCTGGCGGCCAAGGGCTACAAGCCGTTTGCACAGCACCACTTCAAGCATGTGTATCCACTGCTGGCCACCGTGGTCTGGGCGAGCGTCATGTGGCTGTACGAGAACGAGCCCCAGACATTGCACCCGTCGCTGCTCAAGAGTATGCAATTCCTTTACGATGAATCGTGTCACTGGAAAGGCGGCATTGTAGACTTCCTTCCGTCGCCAGCGACAAGTGCTGTTATACTGCTGACATTTTTGCGGATGTAATAGCAACGTGCATATCGTCCACGTATTTCTTTGCAGTGGGCTTGATTATTTTGAATTTGCAGGGTCGTTACATAACTTGAAGCAAGCAAGAATACGGATACAACATGAAGTTACTGCTGTGTATGCATGTATACACGACAGCCATGAAAGAATGATGGTCGTGTATAATCTGAAAGTATCCACCGTTTGCTCGGAGACAGCTATCCCACTGCATGGTTTTTCAGGTCTATCCTCTGTGCTGGTAGCGTAATCGTCGATTTGCTGAGGGAGTCACGTCTCACCGTACTAAAAGACCAGAAATGTCTCAACACAGCTCATGAATTAAAACTTTGTACAAATTAGATGACACGCAATCAGCGTCAGGTGGACATTAACACATGAATTTATATGTTTACCATTTCAGTATACTTGATATCCAAGTCGTCTGTCACAATAAAACCATTTTGACTATGTTCTAATATCGTCTTCGATTCCTTTGAAACTATTGGTTTCTCCATTTGTTTAAATACGTTTTAATTTCCTTTTATAGTTGGAGCAAACATACAATTATATATACTTTAGTTCACTTGTCATAGTACAAATCACAAATATGCGTTATAGCAAGCATAAAGAACAGTAGCTTTTCGCCATGCGACGCCCCAAAAAAGGTCAGTTTTGCGGTACTGTAGTCTTCACTTTTCAATCATATCGCAGAGACGTGAAGTGGAAGTCGATTATTTTATCATTGTTCGATATTTCCACACCACAGTCCGCGACACGTCACAGGAGAATTTAAGTCACACTTAATCACAATCAAAATCAAATTAGAGAGTGCGCAAGTAAAGGAGAAAAGGCTGTAGAGAAGCATTTTTACGAGAAAGAAAGCAACAGTTATGGGAAATGCCCTTAGTACCAGTGGTAGTAATAGTAGAAATACCAACCCGCTACAAGCGACGTCACCATTATCGATGATGAAACAACCTAAGGGAAAACCGTATTCGCTTTCGGGTTCGACGGTGACTTCATCCCTTGACAGTGACGGTGATGAGCTCATACAGCGGACTGCAGGTCGACGTAGACGACGAAAGAGCACTGAAAGCTCTATTAGTGACACGTCAACATTGGATGCAGTGGGGAGCCGTGTAAATAATGACAATAGGTATAGGAGAAGTCCTATAACTGCCGCCTTAACAACGCTGTCGCCAGTGAACGGTATGTTGTCAAGACTCATGTCGTACGCTAGTAATCCAGTAAAGCCTGACCAGAGTGGTGATAAGATGGACTTTGACGATAACTGCTTGATTGAGCAGAAGCACCGCGCTTTTTGGAAACTAGTGCAACATATTCTGGATCTTAATGACGTCGTGCTGATGATCCGTTTGCTGCTAGATTTTCTTCAAGATGATCTTGGAGCGACCACAGCTGCCGTCTTCTTGGTAGATCAGAACTCACAAAGTATGTCTCGTATTACCCGAGATGCACCGACGCAATCTGGACTGGCACCGTCACGAGGACTGGTAGGCAAGGCGCTGAATTCTAGGTTAGCACGGTTTTTGGTGGACTTTAGCTCCGAAGAAGGATATGATGCCGAGGTGGACTTGGCACATGAATTTCCGGAGCAGAAACTTTATTGCGTGCCGTTGATGGAACATGACACAGTGTACGCGATTATTGAAGCTACGACTGCCCAATCTACGCAGTGTGTAATGGATGAGCTTCATGTAAAGTTATTGACGTGGTTGGGGCCGATTTTAAACTCCTGCATGCGTAAATGTATCGAGTTTCACGACGTTCTGCTGTCCGAGCGTACACAGAAAGCCCTGCTTCGCATCATTAGCTCGTCAGATACAGAGGATACAGTGTTGAACCTTGTGGACGGTGTGATTGACGGAGTGTGTCATATCACCCGAGCTGAACGTGTGTCGCTGTTTATGATTGACTGGGAGACGAATGAGCTTTGGTCGCTTTCGTCTAGCTATTACGATGAGACGCTTCGAGTCCCTTTACGAACAAGTATGTTGGGCCTCGCTGCTACTACACAGCAGACTCTGAACGTTCGAAACCCACAAGCAGACCGTCGCTACAATTGGTCGACAGACCAACGTCGTGACATTCACACACGCTGCGTGCTGTTCGTTCCAGTGGGTTATCAGAGAAGTTTGCAAGTGAATGAATCAGCTGCTACTAGCAGCAGTCGACCTATTGCCGTCTTGGAGATTATCAATAAGGTGGAAGAAGAAGGAACTGGTGGGTTGACTGCTGAGTATCGCCAAGGGTTTACATTTGATGACGAGTGTGCTCTTGAAGCGTTTGCGTGCGAAGTTGCGGTAATTTTACGTCGACGCAGTAATGAGATTGAGTACATCAAGTTATTGGCAGATACGCGTGCGGAACAGGTCTTGGCAAAACGTGCTCGAAGCCAAGTAAATTTGCTCGAGTGCTACACGAGTTATGCCTCTGCAGCACATGCACATCCTGAAGCTTGCCTGCGCGATTCATGCGTTTCAAGTGATCGGCACGCGGCAGACTGTTCTAAGTTTGTAGCTACTCCTAATGTCGAGGATCAAGTTAATTCGTCTGCCAGAACTGCACTTTCCATGAGTAAAGTGAGTGATAACGTTGAGCAGCGTCTCGGTAAGGCGATTGGCCACAGGAAACAGTACTCTGGTCGACTGGGCTACGACTGTTTTGGTACCAACGAACAACTTCCGCCTCAATTTCTGTTTAGTGCTCCTGAAGGATCGCGGTTTCCATCATGGAATTTCAATGTGTTCAGTACGGACCCGGCGGTTCTCCCCAAGCTACTTGAAGAGATGTACCTGGATTTTAAGGTGGATGAAGTACTGCATACGACGAAGCATCGCCTGCAAAACTTTATTGTGGCTATGAAAGAACACTACCATCCTAATCCATTCCACAACTTCCTGCACGCGTTTTCCGTCGTCCATGCATCCTATCTTCTGCTGAGCACAACCGTTGCAGGCCAACTGCTTCAGCCATTGGATATCGCAGCGTGTCTCGTTGCTTCACTTGGCCATGATGTGGACCACCCGGGACATACGAACGACTTTGAAGTAAAGTCAAGATCACAGCTAGCAATGCTTTATAGTGACGAGTCTGTTTTAGAGCACCACCATGCCTACACGACTTTTCGCTTGATTTCCAAGGAGAAAAACGCCAATATCTTGCAAAATCTGAATTCCGCGGACTACCGCCACTTTCGCAAAATGGTGATCAATGCAATTTTGGGCACTGACATGGCAAATCATTTCAAGTTTTTGGAGGCGATTAAGAAAGTTTTGCACCCTTCTAGTCATCATGTTGACACGACTGCAATCTCATCCGCCAAGCGTGACAACTCAAGTGTTACTGCCATCATTGCAATGAGTAGTGGAGCAAAGCCGAGGCTGAATATAACGACAACCCAAGATCAAGGAAAAAAAGGCTCTGGGATCTTAAATGTGTTGCGTGACGCTGTAATGCAGTCTGAAGGAAATGCGGTCGTGACTTCTCTTGGAAGCACTACTGATTTGTCATCGAAAAGTTTTCACCTGGCCAATGGAGCAAAACGCGCTCCTAGTCGCTCATCAAGTGGGCAACTGACTAAGGGCGGCTGGACGTACAATGGCACCGTAGAAGACCGTCTATTCCTTGTAAAAACGCTTGTACATGCGAGTGACCTGTCAGGTCAAGTGTATCCGAAACCCATCGCTTTGAAATGGAGCAACATGATTTCAAAAGAGTTTGCATATCAAGCGCTGATGGAACAGGCTGAAAATATACCGATCTCTTACCGAAACATTGATGACCCGCTGAAAATGGTTGAGGGTCAGCTTTTTTTCGCGCAGAAAATCGTGTCACCCCTCTGGGACCTCATGTACATCATGTTCCCGGACATTGACGAGTGCATGCTGAATTTGAGATCGAATGTTGCTCATTACGAGCAAGAACTGCAGCGCCTTAAGGAAGCACACTCTGATGCGGGCCTTGATGCTGATCCAGCACGAGAGCAGAGTGATGAACAGGAGCGACGACACAAAGAACACGAGGCCCGTGACAAGATGGCACGTCGTCACTCCATGTGCGGCTGCGAATACGAGGGTGTAGCAGTACCGGGACTTGCGAGACATAATCCAGCAAAATTCAGCTCGTTTCGCACAATACCGGAGGACGATAGCAATAACGAGGATGTCGAGGCAAGTTTGGGTAGTGAGCGGAGTATTCAAGCAAGCGTTCTTGCGGCGGCGGAAAAGTCTCGGAAGGCAACGCGTTCAAGGTTGAGCAGTATTAGTAGTATTAGTAGCAGTGATTTGGAGGTCGACGAGCAATCGCTCTTTGTGTACGAATAGAATAGAGAGAGGGTTGGAACGTAAGCTTATGTTACATGGTATTTATTGACATTTAATGTCCGGTAGTTGTGTGTGAGTGGGGAGAGCTGAAAACATCTCGCCGACAGTCAAAGCAGCGTCTGGTGTCACCATTGACGACATGCTTGGAGCAAAAGTATCCGTCACACCGCAAGCACTTGGCGGCTTGCGAGAATAGTGTGAAGACAAAGTGGCATTCACGAGCATTGCAGTACCATTCTGGGCGATCAGGAAGCTCGAGAAAAGGGCGTTGGGCTTGCCAGGATGCACGAAACGTTAGTCTGTCGGTCTCCCAAACTTCAAAAGTGCCAGTCTCTTGGTCAGTCAGCGCTTGGCCGACGGTCTCTGAAGCAGTGTCGTCAAAGCGAGGTGACTCTAGCCACGATATCGCCATTGGTGAGCCACATAACGCTGAAGAGCTCACAAACTCGATCGAAGAGAGTTCGGGCATGCCGCAACTTAGTGTAACACTATTTTCAACTTCACGGGACGTTGACGTACACGTTGATGTACACGTAGACGTCGCGGATGACGTGCTCGAGCCTCTTGATCGGCCCTTGCATCCATTAGTCATATCTTGAGCTGAATCCTCTCCGTTGTTCCGTTCCGAATCTTCATTGCAAATGTTGGATGCCGCAATCGTTCGGTCAGACAGCCGACGATCATATCCAAATCCTTGAGCCTGTCGAACGCAGCTAGCTTTTGGGCACTGGTGCTTAAAAATACAAAGAGCATGTTGTGGTTTACAGCAGAATCGGAATTCGCAGTGGCCACACACTGCTGTCTCAAGGGCCAGGAAGTCAAACTTCGTGTTGCAGTACAAACACACCTCTTGTTTCTCCAATACAAGGCGTGCCGCTGTCGTGTCACGCCGCTTCCAGCAATGTGCCAACTCTAACGGCGAAAGCCTTTGCATGCTTGTCTCCTGCATACGCGCACCGTAAGCAAGCAGTAGCCGTATCATGTCGGGCTGATTTCGAATTACGCTAAAATGCAAAGGCGTAAGACCGACATCGTCCCGATTGTCAACATTAGCGTTACAGTGATCGATCGCAAAGCAAGCAACCGGCACCTGCCCATGCCAGATAGCGAAGTGAAGAATTTCGTTGGCTAGTACGATACTAGCGTCAGTGCTGTGGTGACGGCGAATCATGTGCTCTTCCCACAATCGACGCACAAGTGAACCATTTCCTAATCGAATTGCCTCTGCCATCTCGGGTGGTAGCGTTCGATGCAATCCAAAGCTATCGACAGCGGCAAATCCTTCGTCACCATCTGCACAACTGTTATCACTGCTTGAAGCGCTCGTATCACTGCAAGAAGGAGTAGTGCCCATTGTTCGAATAAAATGCTCGCGAGATACATACACAGTCGTGTCCTCGCGGTGCATTTTGTGGTTTGGTTGGAGTGCGAGGGCTTGTAAAATAACCTGATACGGATCCAGCTCTCGTATCAGAGGCTTGAATTCGCGCAAAAAGTCTTCAGACGTCATGCACATGAGCTTGGGCTCCAGGAGCTTGAGCATGGCTAGACCTGCTCGCAAGAAAATGTCCTGCACGCCGACAAAGAAGAGATCAAATATTGCGCACGCAAGGTCTATCTTGGTCGACAGCGAAAACAGTGTTGTAAACCATTCGATGCCGTACATGGGGATGATAAAGCCTTGCGCCAACATGTGTGCGTGAAGCATCGGCAAGTCCCGAATAAACATTTGTTCAAAGTGCTGAAGATACTCGTCCAAGAACGTGGAACTGCGATGATAAATTCCCGCTAGATGACGCTTTTTGAGCATGTAAAGGAACAGTGCATAGGCGTCAGCCTCTGACAGCCCTTCAACTAAGAAGAGCGCTGCAATAAAATTCATACCCTGACAGTATCCATTCTCAGCTTCTGCAATTGCGTTAAGAACTCGAAAGAGCGCATTTTGTTGTGCTTCCAGTTGATTATCATGACTTCTTTCAAAGATACTGAAAGTGCGTGTGACGTCACGTCCAATAGCCCCCGAGCGCTCATACTCTGGCGTAGAAATAAGGTGATAGATCTCTCGATGGCGACAGATAAAGTACATCGGAAGTCCTTGCATGTGCATCCAGCAAATGCCTCCCGTAAGTGACAACAGCATCTCTCGCTCCAATTGATCCGTGAAATTGAATTGTTTGACCACATTACGCCAAAATAACTGGCGTTTCTTGTCAATTGTAACCTTTGGCTGCTTCATGAGGCTACTAGTCTCATCGTGTATATTGTAACAGCTATAATAGTGACAGCATCTAGTACTTGATAACAGTGTATACGTTTTCAGAACCAAGTTGGAAACCGAGTCACTTGAATCTTCCTGCACCATCACCGAGGACTGCACTCACTAATGATATTTAAATTCCTCCACTTAATCTGTATCAAGTATCAAAGCCCAACGTCTATCAGTCCAATGTAAAAAAAAGGTTTTACAGCTCTACCGTCTCTTCTTTCAAGCACGAAAGTTTCGTACGAAAGAAACTTTGTCTGTTATTTTGAAAATGACGTTTAACGACGCTTCAAGTGCGAAGTGACGTCTGAATCAGGTCAAGTCGTTGGTTGAACCAATGAAAAAACTGGTCTGAGAAATAAAAAAGTAGTTTTTTAGTGTGTGATTTGTGTATCGACATTGGAAACAGGTTGAAAAAATAAAAAATGACGACGACCACGACATCCAAGACCGTACGAGGTGATGAAGTCGAGCCAATACGTCCGAAACTACCGCTTAAACCACAAGTTGTGCGCATTGATGTGCTTGGAGATGAGAAGGTGGGCAAGACATCTCTCATCTGCTCATTAGTATCGCGTCAATTTAGCAATAGGGTACCGAGTGTCCTACTCACTGTGCAGATTCCGGCCGAGGAGAGCGATGAAAACGTTGTTATTTCCATTACTGATACTTCATGTACGTACTACTTTATTGTATACTTGAATTCATGGATGAAATTAATGAAAATGTATCTTGCTAGCGTGCGTGTCGGACTTGATGCGTGTGACAAATGCAACCAAGCGCAGTGATGCTATTCTCTTGGTGTACGACCTGACGAGACCCGAGACCTTCCAGAGGATACGACGTTGGCTGGATTTCATTGCCAAGAGCAAGGAGATACCGGTCGTGCTGGTTGCTAATAAGGTGGATATTAACGCTGTCACACCGACCACAGATGGTCCGTACGCGAGCCAAGTGCGACACCTGGTCAACACGTATCCAGTAAGCATGTAATTTTGATAGTCACGAAGCCATAAACGATCATAAAAAATTGACCAATGGTGTTTTTTTGTGCTGTAGTTTGTTGTGTCGGAGGTGGAATGCTCGGCGAAGAACTTCACGCAAGTGGCACAGGCGTTCTTCTTGGCACAGAAGGCAGTGCTGTATCCTGTTGCACCGCTTTACGATGAAAAAAAACGAGTACGTTGTAGCTAAAAAGTCGATGTGGATTCAGGCTAAATGATTTGCATGTGTATATACGCTCGAGCAGCAATTACAGCCCAAGTGCGTTAAGGCGATCAGGCGAACGTTCCGTCTATACAACCGCGATCGTAGCGGTATTCTTAGCCGAGAAGAACTCAATGAGTATCAATATGACTGTTTTGGTGTACGCCTTCTCTCCACGGAGATTGATACATTGATGGAATACCTTTCGTCAGAAATTCCGTCTGGAGTAGCTCCTGACCGCAGTGGAATTTTGGTAGAGGGGTTCATGTATTTATGGTGGCTTTTTATCGATCGCAATCGGCCAGAATCGGTCTGGCAGGTACTGCGAAGTTTAGGCTACAATAATGAGCTGCACCTAGAAATTCCACCCGAACGGCTACAGCTACCCCCGTACGAAGAGGATCAGTCTGCGCAGCTCACCCCTCAAGCAGTCGAATTTTTGACAAACTTATTCCGTCAGTTTGATGCGAACAAGGATAACAATATTGCAGAGAATGAGATTGAAGCAATATTCTCCATTTGCGAAGACGAGTATGCGCCTTGGGCGACTTGCTCAACTATTTCGTCGCCACTGCTATATGAAAAGATTATGGTGGACGGCAAACCCACACTTTCGCTCGCAGTGTGGCTAGCTTGTTGGAGCTTTGTGGCTCAAGAAAACCCGCATAAGTTTCTTGAGACGCTATTCTATCTGGGATACAACGACAAGCTTTCTCCAGCAATCGAGTTTGTGAAGTATGTGTTCTATCTATGTGGGAAACCCCTGAACACGACATGGTCTGACTGTTATTTGATCGTTCTATCACAGAGGTCGTAGTCTGACGCGCAAGGCAGCGACGATCGACCGTAATGTGGTCTCTTGCTACATTTTTGGTTCAGCAAGCTCTGGAAAGGACCACTTTGTGCGCACATTTGCTGGTGGGGAAGACAAAGCTTATGCAGATGACGAACAGTTTATTTTACGTAGTATCGGTGCTGTTTCGGACCGCGACATGACGAAGTATCTCTTTGTATGTTGCTACTTACTCATGTCTGCGTAACAATACTGCAAACACTAATGGGCATAGCTGTTGAACACATGGGTGCTATGAGCAGATTACAGAAGCGTTGTCTGATGACGAGATTGAGACAAAAGCGGATGTTTTGCTGTTGGTGTTAAATCCTGAGGATGAGTCGAGTAAGTTATTTGTAGAGGAGCTGGACAAAAAGTTGCCTGCGTCGATACCGCGTGTAGTTATTAGCTACAAGCCGGAAACTCCAGAAGAATGCGTGGTGGATGTCATCGAGAGCTCTAATGAAAGCAGCGTCTTGGTGAAAGAAAAGCCCGTTGATTTTGCGACTGACGCACTGCTGAAGCAGTACCCGACGTCACTCAAGTGTTACGAAAGACATTGCGTTAAGGACAAGGTTGCTCGTATCCTTGTGGCTACTGCCTTACGACCGTGCGTGCCGTGGTTTGCTGTTTTGTGTGAGTGTAAACAGCCTTGCTCAAAAGTAATATGTGTATGTGTTCTTTGCAGGCCTAAGAACGCGTCCTCCAAGTCGTCAGGGATCTGGTTGCCTGGTCGAAAGACAGGCATAAGCGTAATTGGCTTGGCCGCCGCTGTGGCCGTTGTTGCGTTCGTTGCGAAGCCTGAGGCAAGTAAGGCCGTCGTGAATGATTTGGTGTCGAAGCTGCGACGTTGACGTTATAGCTACGTTTTGATTTAATCCGAAATACGCAATCGGAACAGTAAAGGGGCATATTGCGTTGAACATGTCGCATTGGTTTACTTTTGCTTGAAGTTGTTTATGGTTGCCGTACGTAGTATGGGCTAGGGCTTAGTAATCGTCGGAAAGTGTAATTGTAAGCTCTCCCGAATAAGTATCCAGCAGCTGCTCAACCCATAGTATTGATTTGAGATATCTTTGTACTCTAAAAAAGACCTTTGACAGCATTGGTTCTGCTTCTGTCGGACATTATTTTGCTGCAAAGCATGTTGCAATTGGTGCTCCTGCACACAATTTTGTGAGAAATTGCTAGTCAGATCAGCATTGTTAGTAGTGTTCAGCATACTTTTTCTAGCTAATTTCTGATCTTCATACGAAATACAGGCATGCGTGCTGTGCGCAACAGAATCACATATCTCGAAATAGCTTACTAAATTAATCAAGAGATGTAGACAACTAACTCTTTACCATAAACAATCCATAACTATTAGGCTGTTAGCCAACCTTTTATTTGCACGTGAACAAAACGTATTGAACGTGGTTTGTCCCACCCTTTTGTGTTACGGTTATCATCTTTACGTGTCGCGCGTAGCATTTCGAACTGGAGACAGCTTGCCTGATTACGCACAGCTTCATTCCACCGGCTTGCGATTACGGATCAGGCGAAACTCCTGTCTGCCTGTCGCAAATTTTGTTTACTAATAGCGCCACTTGTAAATTGCAGTCTAGTCTCAGGTAGCAGCATCAAGTCAACACAAATCAATGGAGACACCGCAGCTTATCCATCGTAAACCAAAGGCGCTGCCACGGCTCACTGTTGAGCGCGAGGATATTGATGACGCCTTTGCCACTGTGCCGGTCGAGCAAATGAGCGCTCGCAGCGTGTTCCTGCTTACTATGGCTGTCACCTCCTTCGCCGCCTTTACGCTCTTTGCGCTGGGAGAGTTCACCCACCACCACCCGAGATTCCTGTTGGCCAACGTCTTGCAAGGCGAAACCCACGCCGTGGCACAGTGGGCGTTGCTACTGGCCGTACCTGCCACCAGTGCCGCCGCGTGGTGCCCGATCTCCATCTCGCACGCACCGATTGGCGTGTTACGTATCACATCAGCAGTGCCACCGCTGTCGCCTGACTCACCCGCACTGTCACTATTAATTACGCCGTCGCTGCTCGAAAAGTTTGCTCGGCTTTATCGTCGCAATCACATGTTTGCCATCTACCAGAGCGTGGGCTGGACGCTCTACGGACTGTTCGTACTACTGCAGCTCATTTGCTTTGGATCTGATAGCGTACGCGACTTACCGTTCTGTAGACCCGGCAGCCGCTCTGTGCAATCGGTAACAACATTCATCGCCGAGGTACTGATGATTTCATCTGTGTTGACGCTAGAAAAGCGCCGGGATCGCAATTGCCAACGAAGAAAAGACCGGTTCGTGGTGCAGCTTAACAACTTCAACAATATGTTATTGCTGGTAGGCGCTACTTTGCTTGCTTTGGCGTCCGAGTACACTCGCGTATTCCCGCACCCTTTGGGTACTAGTGTGGGGTACCCTATGGCGACAGGTCTGGGTTCGTTAGCTCTGTTCGTCACAGCGCTGTTCAACACATATGGACTAGGTGGTGTATTGTCGACAAAGGACGGCTGGAATTTCTATCAGCCATTTATGGGTGGCGCGCGTTTCGTGTTTTTTCAGATTGTATCATGGACGTGCTTTGGCGCTGGCGCGGCGCTGCAGGTGTTGTATCTGCTTTCGTTAGTCGTCGTGGAGTTGGAGCTATTTGTGGGTGCAATGGCTGTAGCAGGGTCGCTGTTTGTAGTGGCGGAGATTGGCATGATGATGTCGTTGCTGGTGTTCAGGAAGGGTGGAAAATCACCAAAGACGTCGATTACTACTTCATCTGAGACTACCTCTTTTGGTGACGACACAAGAAAAGAGTCCAATATTACACCTAAAAAGAAGGCTAACGAAACGATTGTGCCAGCTTCATTGTCATTCCACGCGTACTTTATCAGTTTGCATGCTCGTTTGCGGGAATTTGCCGATGAGTGTCTTGGAGTTCTTGTTGTCGGAGGGCTGGCTAATATTCAGTTTCTTCCAAACGCCTTTTGTTTCGTCTTTTTCGCTGCTACTACAAATTTGAGCCCTGCTGGTGTTGCCTTCTACGGCATGATGGTGGTATGTGTGGAGTTTTTTATAGTAATGTCTCGCTCAGTCGCAACTCACTTGTATTTAAAAGACTCGCGCAATGGCATGCTGAAGGAAGTGAATCGTTACCATGTGAAATATGTGCTACCCCAGATCATTGCCGCTTGCCTTCCGGCTGTAGTCACGTACCGCCACTACATTTACGACATGGACGCTTTTGTGCCAGTAGCGATCCTCACTCTCTTTATCTACGTGTACGAACTCACGTACCGTGGTAACCCGCAGCAAACGGGCTGCCGTGAGCGTGCTAACTGGATTGCCGGTCGCAGCTTTCTTGTCGACACGGTCAAGAGCTATTTTAGCGGTAACATAATCCGGATGGCTCCCTTGGATCCCAAGAAGCAATACGTCTTGAGCTTCCACCCTCACGGCATCATGCCTATTTCGATAATGTGGCTCCAATTCACGGCGCAATGGAGAACACTGTTCCCTAACTTTTATGCGCACATCTTGACGGCGAGTATCCTACATCAAATTCCACTTGCCCGAGACTTGCTTCATTTTTATGGTTCACGTGAAGTCACTCGACAGGCTTTTTCCCATGCACTGCAGCAAAAAAAGAGTGTACTGCTTGTACCTGGCGGTCAAGCTGAGATGTTGCAGCAACAGTCAGCAAAAAAGAGGTGCGTGTGTATACCCGCCACAAAGGTTTCATCCGTCTTGCCATTGAGCATGGTGTGCCGCTGGTACCCGTGCTCAGTTTCAAGGAAGGTGAGATGATGGATAACGTTCAGGCGCCTATGCTACAACGTTGGTTTGTCAAGAAACTTGCGTTCCCGTTTCCCTACTTTCCATACGGCCGTGCACTACTGCCGATCCCTCGCAAGGTCCATATTCCAATTGTAGTTGGAGAGCCTCTTGAGGTGCCACATATTGAGAAGCCTACACAGGATGACATTGATAAGGTCCACGGTCAGTATTTTTCCGTGCTTCAAAACATGTTTGACAAGTACAAGGATGAGGTCGGTTGTGGTGATTACAAGCTTGTCCTAATCTCGTAAAACGATTCATATAACAAATAACTAACGGTACTAAGTGTTGTGCTGGTTTGTGATATCCATTTGATAATATCGGTATCAATACCACAATGTTTATAATTTTAAAAAGGTATTTACTTGTATATATTATTGTGTTTCAATTATAGCTTTTTAAAATAGTCCATGTTTACCCATTTATGGCTATAAGCTGCCTAAATTATGAATTTGTTGTCACAGCAACCAAAAAAGCTGACGACTGTTGATATAAATCACACCAGACTAAAAAGGTGTGTGAATACAATACCTCAAAGAAAGCGAGCTCAGCATTGATAGCAAGAAGAATATATTGGCAACATACACAGCGCAAGCAGAAGCGGTAGTACTATTCAACATCATAAATTCAAGACAAGATACACCGCCCATTATTATGCACCAGCATTTGAATCCGCTCTTTACGGAGTAAACACATCGGCTAGAGCTTGAAAGCGGCCACGTCGCTGGGTCTGCTCTGGAAACTGCTTCCACGCTGCCTCTACTTTTCCCAATGCCTTCAACAGATCGGATGGCACAGGGCGCTGAAAATGTTCAGCATATTGATGCCAAATGTTTGGAGGAACAAGGGCCGCATAGGCCAGCAAAATGCACGCTCGCCATTTTTCCAAGCTCTTTTTCCAGGCAATGAAGGCCGGAGAGGACTCGCCAAGATTTTCGCTTGCATGCCTTGAAATCTCCTGGACTTCGTCGTAGATCGGTTCAAACGTAGCTTCGCAGGAAACAACGTTGTAGAAGCCAGCGTCAAATGGCGGAAGTGACATATTCCAAGCTACAAGCGCCGACCTCAAAGGCTCTGGTAACTCGCTAGGGTCTTCACCGCCAATTTCTGCAGTCGCGTTGCTGTTGCAATTCGCCGGAAGTAGATTCGGTGCCACAAATTTTTGAAGATATGCAAGGCAATCGGCCTTTTGAGACGGAATGTAGTCACAAGCAAGCTTTCCGAGCTGATAATGGCAGCAAGCAAATCCCAACACGCAAGTAGTTAGCCTATGAGAGTAAAAACTGACTATCTGCAACACTTTGATTACGCACCGCGTTGGGGATAGTGACATTCACATGCTTGTCATTCATAATCTCCTTAAGCATATCCACCGTTACTACGTCGTTTTCGCACAGGTAATGGACTGGTGTGTTTCCAATCTGTCCGTGGCCAGCACAAAAAGATCAGAAATCGAAGCGTGGAAGCAGTTCCCTACAGGTCGCACCAATCACTTACATTATTTTTGATGTTGAAATTGACTTTGTGCTTTAACAAGTCGCGAATCATTAGCTGGGTCGCACAACTGTTCTGGCAAATGTAGTGGGCTGGTGTGGATTGAAACTGCATGGAGACCACAACTGTAAGGACTAGCCGAAAAAACTACTACGCCAAAGCATAGGCAGGTAAATAGCAAAAATCAACGCACATTGTTCAGGATATTTACGTTTGTTTGAAACGCCAGCATGAGACTAAACATGCGGTCTGAAACGTAGTGGTTCTCCGCCAAATAATGCAGCGGAGTATTGCCATCCTACAAACAAAGCCATCAATAAACAGGTTTCATCACATTATGACAAGTCAACAGTACTCTCGCACTCAAAATTACCTTATCCAACAAGTTCACGTCTGGATCAGCTTCAAGAAGAGCTGCCAGTGTATTCTCCGACACTGCTTCGTTCTCACATAGAATATGCAGCGCTGACTTTTTGTTGTCCTGCAATCAAAAGTAAGTCAGCGATAAGGAGCAAAATATACGTCAAAGCTTCTCCAGTACATGAAATAATTGACGTACCAATGTCTGCAAATTCACATTGGCCTTGGCTACTAGAAGCTGTTGGATAGCCTGAACGAGATCTTCATCTTCTCCACTTTTGTTCTTACATAACAGATGCAAAGCACTCCACCCATTCTAACAATTGTAAACAGATACAAGTAAGTATCAGCTTATATCAATTATCCTCACATTCAGTGCAAATATTGTCAATACCTCGTCCACTGCATTCGAGTCAAAGCCCGCTTGAAGCAGCAAACGCAATCCTTCAGCACGCGCTGCAGGATCCACAGAGCGGCTATCGCACAGGAAATGAATTGGTGTCCATCCATCAAGTACCACTGAAGGCTCTACTCCACCATCAAGTGCTTTTTGCAGCTTGGTAACGTCGCAAGAACCCTGTACTTCGTCCCACAGCGCCGCGTGCATTCTTTCTGGGAATCTGAATTCAACTTGTCACTATGATTTCCCTTGTTTGAGTGACACACTTTAATCGAATGATACTAAAATATGATCTAAGACGTAGTCATTGTTACATAACAATGACTATTATTAATCGAGATCCTGCGACGTGTGCAGTGCTAAGCGAGTTTCGGACGCATCATGTCGCATTAAAACTGCAAGTAGAGATGGAAAAGAAGAGAATCGTTGGTACGGCTACGCTGTCATGCAAGCGACTGAGTGAAGCTGTATCAAGTATGCGCCTGGATGTGTTCCACTTGGTAATTCACTCAGTGTACGTCACTTTGCCCAAGAAAAACACAGTTGCTGCTAAATGGAGTATCAAACCTTTTACATCGTTTGGAGAAACGCTAGAGATTGAGATTCCAGAGGAATTGGCGCAAGCGAGTGTGTTTGAACTCAAGATCTGCTATGAGACAGAGACGGAGAGCCCCGGCGTATGCTGGCTTGAAAAGGAGCAAACGGCAGGCAAGCAGTTGCCCTTTATGTACACTCAAGGCCAAGAAGTGCTGAATCGCAGCTTTTTTCCGTGTCAGGACTCGCCATCAGTGCGTGTCACATACACCGCCTCAGTGATTGTGCCGAAGGAGCTGGTATGTGTTATGAGTGCTAAGATGTGCAGTGTGGAAGAGTATGTACACGAAGAAGTAGATGAGGGATTCACTACAATTAAGAAGAAATTCATGTTTGAAATGGAGCAATCCATTCCAGTGTACTTGGTGGCAATGGCAGTGGGGGACTTAGTCGAAGCAAAAGTAGGCCCGCGATCAAGTATTTGGACTGAACCGTGTATGATTGAAGCTGCTACAAAGGAATTTGATCATGTGTTGGAGGAGTATCTGACTATCGGTGAAAAGCTTTTTGGAAAGTATTTGTGGGAACGCTACGACATGTTAGTCATGCCGCCCTCGTTTCCATATGGCGGAATGGAGAACCCGCGTCTTACTTTTGTGTCACCTTGTACAATAGCTGGCGACAAATCGCTTGTGTCAAGTGCGTCACTGTTGTTACATTGTCACTCTACATATCTTCTTGTTTATTGTGACTGGACCAATATTTACTGGCTCTGCTTTGCTTACTTGTTGCAGTTGTGGCGCACGAACTGTCTCACTCGTGGTTTGGTAACCTGGTCACAAACGCAACGTGGAGCGACTTCTTCCTCAATGAAGGCTTCACGATGTACGCGGAGCGACGCATTACTGAGATATCACACGGCCGGTAAGGTATTCAGTATGCTTTATAGCTGTGATGTTTCAATTTACGAGCATGCTTTTTGACTATAGGGTATTGAGCTGCCTCGACGCCAAACTTGGAGAAGCTTTGTTGCGTGAAGAGATATCCTCTCTTGGAGAGCAATCGCCTTTGACGCGGCTGCGCGTACCTCTTGACGAAGGAATTGATCCTGGTGACTGTTATAATATGTGTGCCTATGAAAAGGGTTATGCGTTTGTTTGTTACCTCCGATACTTGGTCGGGTCCGATCAGGTAAGCAGCAACTTTTTTTTCTGTTGTAATACGACTTGTGTATTCGTTGTGAGCAAATGTTATGTGCTTATTTATGGGTTTGTTATAATGAACCCGCAGGTCTTTGATGATTTTCTCAGACAGTACTGCGCCGAGTTTCGTTTCCAATCGATCCCAGCAGAAAGTATGATAACATTCTTCTTGAAGAGCTTCCCTGAGCTTGCAAACTCTTCAGGAACTGATCTCAAGGGGGGATATCTCATTCAACAAATGGCTACACGAACCAGGCTATCCACCATTTACGCCTGACTTATCAGACGCACAAGAAACCATGCAAAACTGTGAGTTGTTGGCGTTCTGTTGGTCGTCGTCATCCATTCCGGTACAGCCAAGTGTGCTCTATCTGACGGAAGCGGCCAAACAGTGGGAGGCTCGACGGATTTTTTACTTTTTAGACTGCTTCCTCGAGACAAAGTTCTCGAGTGCCGAAGTGGTGATTGCCCTCGGCAACACACTTATGCTATGGGACTCGCGTAATACGGAGATACTATTCCGATGGGCGTTGGTCTTGATCAAGAATGTTGTCGTTAGCAAGCTGCCAGTTGTTCGACGGTTTCTCGAGATGCAGGGCAAGCAGAAGTTCCAACTTCCAGTCTACCGCCTGCTCACCTCAAGCCCTAACGACAAAGTGCGCAAATTTGCTGTCGATACGTACGAAGCTACGAAGAGCTTGCTGCATGTTATGGTTCGTGACCGCATTAATTTGTTACTTGAAGCTATGATACCAGTCAACTGACTTTTCAAGAACATGAATTAGCAAGTCTTTGAAGCTTTACTAACTAAACATGCAGTGCAGTCAGATACACAGAATGAATGCTTTACAAGCCTGTAGGTCCCATTCATCGATCAATGCCGATTACTCATTGCCGCTCGTAGTCGTTGAAGCTCCTGCGAAAATTCGTTCACACTTGCAGGTCGTCACAAAAAGAAACCATTGACGCAGAGTCCTCCCAGCCAAAACTTATTTTCCCTACTCTTACCTCGCGATTGAAAGCGCAATTTGCTCTTGCTCTTGCTTATTGAAACTCTTTGTCCACGCTTGAGCCTTTGGTGTGGTAGATGTAAGCGCTGGTGTCTTCGTTTCCTGTTGCAACCGCAATTCCATTGTCATTTCTAAATTAGAAACAAGACAATTGCCATATTTTTAAAAATTTGAACTATGCAGCACGGTAGGCGACGACTCCGGCAGCGGTAAGTGAGGTTTTATAACTGGATAGTTGACAGTTAAGGGTGAATGATGCTAATGGTTCAACACAATACAGGACAGAGCAAGATGCAATGAATAACAGCAGCAGTGACTCGGACGTGGTGCTAGTGGCAACATCAGAGGAGATACGAGGCAACTCGCAGGCATTAAGAAAGATGTGGGAATGTCCGATGTGTACGTTCACAAATGACAATGTTAGTGCGTCCAGATGTAGAGTGTGCAAACGCAAGCGGCCTGGATTGTCAAGGAAGACGCGGGAACTGTCGCAATGGCTCTCACAGCCATTGGACAAGACAGAACCTGTTGATGTAATTGACAGCAGTGAGAACGACGAAAGAGTTGAAGCTGTTGGCATCAGTCGTGTAGCTACCAACTTATGGTATAGTAGCGACAATAACGACAAATTAAGGACTGCAAAGCTAAACCGGGGGCTATGGGCGGATGTACACACTCCAATGACGGTGGAAGACCTCTGTGTGAACAAGAAAAAAGTGCAGGAAATTGTGGAATGGCTGCAACAAAATGCTTTGTTACGCTCGGGTGTGTTTCAGAAACGGTTGCTATTCTTGTATGGGCCTCCAGGATCGGGCAAGTCGACAGCAGTACGATGCATTGCTCAGCACCTGCAGTTGGTCGTGAAAGAGTGGCAAGACAACTCGGCTGCTGGAAGGCTTAACTACGATAAAATGCTACGAAAGGAGTTTTGGACACCCCAGGTGTCAGGAGTGGATGATTTCTCGGACTTTATCCATCGTTCGTCAACCTACGCGGCACTTCCCGTTGCCACGTCCAGACGTGTACCTTCTATTGGCCGGAAGCGGCGACTACCAAACAACGAGGAAGAACTCGGTTATCCACAGGCGCCATCGATGAGCGCTGGTGAGTTGATTTTGTTAGAGAGCTGGCCACAGCCATGGTCGAAAGATCAGTCAGTCTATGAAGAGAAGCTTCAACAAATCTATCAGCACGTGTTGGACTCGTCTAGTGACTGCCATTACCCTGTCGTTTGCATTTATAGCGACGTCCAAGGGAGCAAGATCGATCTAGAGCATTTGAGCAGGAAGTTTTCTCGCGAAGTGATGCATTCGCCACTAACTTCAGTCATTAGTATCAACGCGGTGACTGCTGGCCAGCTAAAGAAATATCTTTCTCGTGTTGCTGCTAAGGAAAACTGTGCTGCTCAGTCAGCAGACATTCAGAGGATCATTGACAGTAGCAATGGCGATATTCGGCACGCGCTTAATATGCTACAGCTATTGGACAATCGCATTGTGAACAAAATGTCTAGACTGACACCTGCAAGCAAGTTTGGCAAGAAAAAACATGCTTTTGCTCGCGTAAAGGTATCATCTTCGACGAGTTCCAGCGCCCGCGATTCCTTTCTTTCGGACTTTCACGTGATGGGAAAACTGCTGCATGGAAAAATCTTACAAAGCAAGTCGGACGACGAGAGTGAGCTGAAATGTGACGCAAATGATGCGGATTACGACCGGATATTGGATGCATCTGCAATGCCACTGGATCGAGTGCTTGGGCTTGTCCATGCGAACAGTATTGCTTACTTTACGCAAGTGGAAGATCTATCTGACGCTCTCGACTTGATGAGCTCGTGTGAGGTGATGGTAGCGAACTCTTATAACAGTGTTAGCAGCTCAGAGGTACGACATGATGAAATGGTTTATGCTTTTATGCTCATTGTGAATGTTTCGCGTTGTTTTGCGTTGTTTCGAATTCAAGGCTTTCAAGTGTTTAAGAAACGTTGTTCAAGCCATTTTGCTACGATGTATAGCAATCACAAACAAAAATCCTGCCCCAAAGGCGTTTCGTCCGATTACTCGGCCTCGGACATACACTGCAAAGCAGCGGATTGTGTCACGGCGTGAGGAAATGGAATTGGTCACCCGAGGAGGCGAGTATGGGTATCACTACGCGTGTACGGGCGATGTGTTTGCATTTGAAGTGGAGCCTTTTCTAACAATCATGGACGAAGTTGGTGGACCCTCTGCTGGGCGGGATAAGACTGCAAATTCCTGTGTGGTTGATTCACTAGCACTCCAAGAAACAGTAGACGATGAAATTCAGAATAGTGATGAGGAGTGGTAACGTTATTTAGCAGCCATTTCAAATCATTTTACAGTAGTGCTAACTAATTGTTTGGCAAAACTGTTGTATTGTTTGGCTCACAATATAGTGCAATTTATTGTTATTGTTACATGTGTAATATTTAGGTATTATACCTCAAATTAACATTAAAGGATCAACCTATGCAGGACTCTGGCGAGAACTTATGGGGACGAAGTGAGACAAGTGAATTTACGTATACGGTGACAATTCCAAGCGTGAGTCAACAGGCTTCCCTGGTAGTAGTACAGGATCGAAAGATTTGTACGGGTATACCGGCGTTCCCTTCGCACGGCCACTGCGTTTGGGACGCCGCGCTGCTGCTGGCAGACTTTTTGCAGACTAAGGCAAACCATATGTATCACGTAACGTCCAGCGTTCAAGATGAAGAAGACCTGTTTGAGTTTAATGGCAAGAAAGTGGTGGAGCTTGGTGCTGGAGTAGGACTGGTGGGCATGACGTTAGCTGTGTTGGGAGCTCGAGTGGTGCTCACGGATCAGGAGTATGTGCTGCCTTTGCTCACTAAAAACGTGACCGTAAACTTCTCTGATGAGACCAGGAACCGATTGCTAGAAATTGCTGTACCGAAAGTAGAAAGTTGTCAGTGGGGAGAGCCGTTTCAATCTGGTGGTTCGTTGGTGTCGTGGTTGAAGAGCACTGACGTAGTGATCTTTTCGGACGTGCTCTACCATGCTTCAGCATACCTATTGCTGCTCAAGACACTACATGAACTAGTGTCTCCAACAACTGATGTTTTTTTCAGCTTTGAGACACGAAATGCAACGATTGAAAGCAGTTTTTTGCTCGAACTTGGAAAAACTTTTGACGTTGCGGAGGTCTCTCGTGAAGACAGCGATCAAGTCTTTGCCAGGTTTGAATATTCTGACGAGTTCTTTATCTATCATGCGCGCCTTCGAGCTGATGCAATGATGGTCAAAACGTAGCAAATTGGTGCGACTATCACTATTTGTACAATACCTTCATAGTGATGCGGTTTTTATAACCTTGACAATGCTATCAAAGGCAGTGACGCAGAGACACTGTCTTCAGAGACAGTTTTGTCGACGCGTGAGGCTGCCGTTTTGTCCTCGACGTGGCGGGGGAATATTTGAGCGCCAAGCGGTACCTCCTTAGTCTTATCAAACACGTTATCAAGAAAGGCACATACAGCGTCCCCATGCGCCAAAGATCGCGGAGACAGAATGAAGTTGAACATGTGACATGCGTATGGCACCTTGGTGAAAATATCCTGCACACCACCGAGTTGCTTATTCTGATACACTTGAATGTTTTGGGGGAGAGTTTGGCGGTAGTGGAGCAAGCAATCAAAGAACAGACGCGAGTCTTCGAACGATACGGTATTATCGTGGGTACCGTGTGTGATCATGAAAGGCGGAATAATGCTATGGCGACGTGCTGCGCGCTCATCATCCAAGTAGGCAATAGGTGATGCACGCTCAAAGTCCTCCTTGTTGGCCTTGAGCTTCTTCTGCATCACCAAAAACTCGAGGTAGTAAAGAAAACCATGGCCTTTGTCACGAGAGTAGTATATACCATGCCGGTCTGTGAAGTCATGGACGCCGTAGTTGTCGACAACTGCCCGCACACTTGTGTCTACATCCTCGAAGCCAGGCTGCAAAGACTTGTCGTCCGCTGTAAGGCCCACCAAACTTGCTAAGTGGCCACCAGCAGACTCACCACCTACAGTGATAAATTCCGGGTTGGCATCAAACTTGGCACGCGCATTTCGACGAAGATAAGCAACAGCACGCTTTGAGTCGATCAAGTGAGTGGGAAACGCTACTCCGGGGGATAATCGATAGTCCATAACGCACACCACCCAGCCCATGGAGGCGACCTTGTAGACACAAGTAAACGGTGGGACCCGACGATCACCAATTACCCAGCCTCCTCCGTGGATGTACAAGAAGATAGGTGCATTGGTTGATGCATCTTGGTGCTTGTAAACGTCCATGAGCAACTTTTTGGCTTTTGTTTTGCCGACATGCGCGTAAGCAACCGTGCAAATTTTGCTTACACCAGGGTAGCTCAGTGATATGGCTATGGGCTGTGGCAACGGCACAAACACGCTCATCCATCGCCTTAGCGTCATTCGGCCAATGTCTTTCAATTTTTCCGGCGCGATGTCAGAAGCCTTAAGCGCATCACGCATGACCTCCTTTGAGAAAAGATTTCGTTTGTAAGATTTGAGAAGCTTTACAGCTACGAGACACTGCATGACTCCTGTAATAGCGCCACTCCAGCACGAGAAAATTGGCATTTTCTTTTTCAATAGAAAACCTATTAAACACGCGTGCGTGACTGCAATATTGTGTGGAAGTTCAGTGGGCAGCAGCGACGCCGTCATTCCTAACAAGTTCTACAAATTATATGATCCACACTTAACAGTTAAGACACTGCGCCTCGCTACGGACTTCCTACAGTCAGTACTATACTCGCCTCACGCGGAATCTTGTTATTCTTGGCACGCTCCAGAACATACAGCGTGGACACAACGAAGACCAGATACGCCCAACGTGTTAGGCGCTCATTGCTCAAACACTGTATGAGTCTTAGATCGATGTCCTTCATCTTGGTTGCTTTGATGGCAGTGCACGTAGGCAGGCAATCATAGCAGATACAGCTTGTTTCTACCAATCATAGAGGGCTACAGGCATACAAGTATTCTTCATTCCACACATACAGATAAGTGCTGTTTTAAAAAAGACTGACACTGTGCCGGTCACTCCAAACAACTGGCTGCAACCTGCTGAGATGACTCAGCATTTTGATCAACGGTTTCAAACTGGAACCAAAAGACTCTCTGCAACGGACATGTTACTGGTATTGCAAGCACATTGTCTAGGAAGATGACAACAGATTGTCCATGAGGAATGGCACAGGCCGAGATGACACAGATGGATCGGAATGAAGATGCAAGTTTAGATAGAATTGCCCCTTCATACCTTCACAAATATCCTCATGAATTTAGTGTTGCCATCTTGGCCTTTTAGCACGATATCATCATCCACTTACTTTCCAAGCCTATAGTCATCACGCACTGCTTTTTGTAACCCTTTCCATGACATCAAGTGTGATCGGCAACTTGCACAACTGTGCATTGGTCTAATCAGCACTAAAAGCAGAGGCAGAAGTCTGTCCCATTCTTGCAACTTTCCGTAACCAGCTCACCAACTTGATGGTCGTTTTGTTGACGCTACAGCCTTGCAGTATGGCAACTTATGCTACCGGTACGTCTCGGTTACGTTTACGTACGCAGTAGCTTCCACGCCTCATATCATCTCCGCATCTTTCACTCTTCTCCATGCTCACTGCATTCTTCGCAAACCATTAACTTATCTCGTATCGTACAAGCGACCTCAGCTACCATCGAGAGAAAACAACGTAATGCACCCTCATGCAGCATTTAGTGTGGTATTTCTTCAGTCGTATTGTTCATTTCTGATTGGTAGATAACTTTGATATGTCGCATTCTTTTTTTTCTAATATAGCAGCTACATGTACAGCTTCATAATCAAATCAAATGAGACAAACAGACAGACAAACTACCAAGAGCTCAACTCGAGAGAAAGAAGCTTTGAATCATCTAATGGCATCAATATCTAATGTTTCCAATCTAGCAACACAGCAAAAGAAAACAATGCTAGGAAATGATTTTCAATCCAATCGACGTGCATGGTGGTGGACAGACACGACGACGTCTGACAGTGATCCGGTAGCATCCAGCGAGACAGAATTGTTGAATGCCGCTGTATTGTGTGCAGCACTATCTGCAACTCAGTCCGAACCTTCAGAAAACAATGAACAGGCAAATGAACATGCAGCTCGTGAGCTGGAGATGCATGTGCGGAGCTCTCCACTACCGCATAGTCTACAGCTGCCAGTACTGGCGCTCTCGCCCGACTATGTGCTCATGCAGTCTGAGCTCGCTGTGATCTGTGCTGTGCGAGCGACCAAGCCTGCAGATATTCTTCAGACTGTAGTTGGATCAGCCGTGCCTCTTTCACAACCATACCTCTACAGATTTGGTGGTACAAGAATCCATGCGCCGTTCTGGAAGCGAACACAGCGACTGGACTTGCAAGACATTCAAAACCAAGCACATCAAGCCAAGAAGATGCTGATACTGTGTGGCCACTCAATCGGTGGTAGCATTGCACAGCTGGCGTTCTGTGAAATAGCGTACCTCCACTTGCCAACGAAGGCGCGACTTCTTCTGGAAAAGCGGGACTATGACCAGCAGAAACAAGAGCAGACAAAAGATGGCACAAAAGCATGTAATGGGTTAGAATTTGGATTGATGGATCAAGACATGACTGAAAAAGAGAAAACGGCAATTTCTCGCGCAATGCCGCGTATGTTAGCGATTGGCTTTGGAGCTCCATATATTGGATCGACGGGATTAACAGCGTTTTTGGAATCATTGAAGCTGAGCAAGCGAGTAATTACGTTTGTCAATGAGTTTGATTGCATTCCAAGCATTCTTAATGTAGCGCAGTCGGCGGCGATGGTTGCGAAGACGGCTGAGCGTTTTGTTACGATTGTAAAAGCGACGAAAACACTAGTGAACTTGCTTTCCGTTCAGATGCAAAAGCGTTTCGTTGATTTGGCAGCGACAGCAAACACTGGCATTGTACCAAATGCAAGCTCGGCATATTTGTCGATGAGTTTAAACATTCTGCAAAGCTCGTTCCACAAATTCCGCGACTTTAACATCGTGAAGGCAATCGACTACCAGTATTCTCCTTGCGGGACTTACGTGTTTCTTTCAAAGTCCGGAGCTGAGTATAGCATTTACTCGGATCCATGTGCTATCAGTAAGACGTTGCACAAGGACGATGACTTTAATTCTACTTTGACGGGCAACGCAATTTTACAGCACTTAATGAGCGCATACGTGGATGCCGTTGCGCGCCGATCAAATTCTATCCAGATTAACGCCTCCATGGACTTTTATGAGCGTCTTGGTCTTCCTCGAAACGCAACAGAGAAGCAAGTGCGGAGTGCCTACAAGCGGTTAGCATTGAAGTGGCATCCAGATCGGTGGACAAACAGCTGCGCCAACCCACAGGAACTAGCATCGGTGGAGGAAGTTTTTAAATTACTAGCAGAATCGTACGAGGTGCTATCAGATACTGAAGCACGTAAGGCATATGATGCGCATTTAAACGATCCTCCGAGCATCAAGGAAGAGTTTGTGCGTAACGGCACTGTGAATGGGATGACTCTTGATGAGGCCATCGCCACTTTCCGAGACGTAATTGATAATCTCTCGGGAGCAGTGTCAAAAGTGACGTCACGCTTTTCGACTTCGAACTCGACGGTGGTGAATCCGCTACGCCCTCCCTCATCTGTTCGTAGTGGCCTTACTCCAAACAACCACGACAACATTTTTGCGCCAGATCGGATTCGAGTGTTGCGTACAGTGGGGATCGGCGCAGATCAGAGTGAGCAGGTCCTGTATTTGGAGCCGGAAGAAATCCTAGCTGGCGACGTGGCGGCACCTGCGCAGACAACAGGTAGTTCCAGTGCGAATGCTGGACTTCGAACAGTTTCCGTGGTGGGTGGTGCTGTTGCTGTTGGAGCAAGCGTTGCATTGATCGTCAATGCGTGGTCGCAGTACTCGGAAAAGTCGAAGAGGAGTCGTCAGGCGGCAGTGGTGAGAGATTTACCTGCAGACTACTTGTTGTTGTTGCTTGAAGATCACCGTAATACGCAATACGCCGATACGACGCAACTACTTCTTCAACAATCTGATGATCGGATGAAAAGGAGATGTGCCTCTTCACTAGCTGTTACTGATTTGAGCAATAAAGCGGGTGAAAGAAGTAAACAGCTTTATGTGACAGGAGCACAGCATGCGCTCGTCACTTTGAAGCAAGAGGAAGATGCGGCAGAAGATGAACTCATTGAAGAGTTCTTTGATTGTGCCACTGACTATGACAATGCCGCTATGGAGGCGATGGCAGAGGAAGAATTTTTTGATTGCGTTAGTCTCATGGACGACGTGGCAGCTCACTTTAGTGAAGACGCATTGGAAGAAGGAAAGCGCGTGGGAGAAGAATTTGATGAAGAGAAAGACATTGCTCCTATCAGTAAGCCGATTGCTTTTCCTCGTGGATCGTTTGTCGATACTCCTTTCGGTCTCGCGATTGTACAAGATTGGAGAGAAGGTGAATCGTCCGCTTACGTGCGTTTCTCTTGTTCTACGAACATGTTCGGCTACATTCAGAAAGTGGATATCTCGCGTGGTGCGTTGCTGGCAAAGATAACAGCAAATGATATGTTGGAGTCCAAGAGAACAAAGATTGCGGACCGTGTGATAACTCGATACCATTTGGAAGCTGAAGAAGCGGGTAGAGCTTTCAAGAGCCTAGTTGCTGCGAGTGGTGATGGTGCTTTGGATAGTGGTATTCGCGCCGCCGGTGGTGTAGCTCTGGCGAATGGTATGGCAAGGACATCCTCAGTGCTAGGTGGTGCCGTTGCTGCACCGCTAACGATTGCGTCAATTCTCGTCGATATTGGGAAAGAGTACTACGACTACCGCAAGCGGCATACTGATCGAAAGTCTCTAGGTGTTCTCTCTAGCACCACTGAGCAGCTAATGATGCAAGATTTCCGGCTGAAAACTGGTGAAGTCATCGCCAGTCGTACGGCAGCAGCGGCAGGTGCAGGCATCGGTGCATATAGTATGGCTTCAGCCTTGGGAATGTGGAGTACAGCAGGGTTGGCAGCTGGTCCCGTGGGTATTGTGGCTGCCACAAGTGCGGCTGTTGTTGGCGGTATGCTAGGTTTCTTTGCTGGTTCCAAGGCGTACTCGGCATCTACTGCAGGTTATTTTATAAGCCTGCAAAATGCAAAGGAGCACATTGATCGTCTGGAGCTAGGGGCGCGAATTCTGTTTGACGAATATGATCCTGAAGCTACGGGCACAATTTCTAAGGAAGACTGCATCAAGCTGATGAAAAAGCTATACGACGCGATGGGCTCGATTTCGGAAAGCGAATATGAGAGGACCATGACTGTGATTCAAGACGATACATTTGAAGGTCCTGTAACGTGGAGTATGTTTTGGGAATGGGTTAGCACTGAGGCAGCTAGAGCTCTTCGCGAGCTGGAGCATGAAGAGTCAAAAAAGTTGTCAGAACCAGTAGGGGATGAAGCATGGTGGAGCAGCTACATGACATATTTCTCATACTTGAACTCGAAATCAGCTACACCACCACTTGCAGAACCACAGGCAAGTGTGTATCCATCTGTGCTCGCGGCATTGGGGCTGAAGATGACGAACGCTGGATCAAAACCTACGGTTGCTGGATCTGAAGAAGAGGGCTTGGTGCTGAAGGCACAGGTTGAGTTCTTGGTAAATAATGGCCATCTGACGTCTGGGGATGCCTTCCAACTCCGAAAGCATTTGGCGTCCGATGATCTGGTGTTACGAGAGTCCGCACGGAAGACAATTGCCGCTATACATGACGGTCTCTTGGACGGGACACCAGATCAGAACCTTGTATGTGATGGATTTGGTTTTGCAGGTGGTGACGTCATGGATCCCATCGCTGACGAGCCTGTTACAACCCGCGGACGCACTACAAAGGCCACTGCTGCTGACGCAGAAAAGACAAAGTTATCTACGCCTGACGAACGGCTCGATGTCATGTGCTCGCTGATGTCTACGCAGGGTTTGCAGCGTTTGTTGCAGCGGCAAAACATTCTCGTTCCTGTCAAGAACGATGCGCCTGTGCAACACGAGGACTTGCACTGTTTAGCACTTATGGCAGCAGCTTCTACCCCGTTAACACCAGAATCGTCGACTTGAGTTTTTTACTACATAAAGAATCTACTATGAATCCCATAAGCTATGGAGTGAATAAACACCATACCGCAGAGCAGGTCTTTTGCTCCCAGACAAATAATAATTCATCCAACAAGGTCGTTATCTTTTCATTACTTATTGTCAACTACTTGCTCCTCAATCAATGAAGGAGGTGACCAGAGTAGAGCATGTCACAAAGAGAGCCTTTTCATCACTTCCAAGAAGAAGAGAAGGTGCTGTCTTTGAATATTCGGTAGTTGTTACTTCCATTGATTGAATAACAAGGCGCACGGTGCTTAGAAAATAGAGAGCTTCACTTCCATGGCCTCGTGGACGCGGAACGTGTTTTCAGGATGTTCATTAGGGTCTGCAACAAACAACGCAATCAGCAACATAGATCAAATCTCACTGTCCTCCAAACAACGACAGAAAGAGCTAGCAATACCGTTTAGAAAGTCCGTAAACTCAATCTGTTCATCTGTGCCCATAAGCGTGTCCAGACCGGCATGTGAGCTCGGTAGCCCCGGAAGACGCTACCAAGCAATTAATGATAAAGGTAGAAGCTGAGCATACGTCTACAATACAAGTATTAAGAGAGAAATGCTCACCGTAAACTGCTCAAGCACCGACTTTTCTGTACGCAGACGCATGGCCGCCGCCTTGCCGTAGATTTGTTCGACCGTCGCCATCTTGAGATTCCAGTTGGACTGGCGGTACTACAATCAACATATTAATCATGCATCAACAATGTAGTTAGGGATATAGTTTAAATAGTATAAAGACTGGATATACCACATACCGTAGTCTGCAGACGCTCCACCTCATGCAGCGGTCTCACATCTTCACTGGCGCTGTAGAAACCGTAGCGTAGAGCATCGGGGGGTGCACGTACAAGCGGTAGACTGGAAGAGTTCTAATTATAGATTCAATCATAATCAATACACATATATAGAGATACAAGACATCAGAACGTCGTCTCGAGACGTCTATAGATTAATTACTATAAAGAGGTTTAGTTTCTTACCATTTTACTGTGAGCTTGTAGATCCAAAATGGGGAAGGTTTTGCAAAGTATCCTTTGATATGCTGTATGATAGGCTTATGAGTGTAGCCATTCGTTGGCAACTGAAGCAACAAAATATGGCGCCAAGCAAGTCGCATGGTACGGACGAGCACGGACTCAAACGATCGTCAGGTGTAGATTACAGTCAAGTTCGGGACCGGCAAATTGATGATCACCGCTTTGAGCGTCAGCGTATCATTCGAGCAGCATCGTCAGCGGTGAACTCAACTCTTTGCTCTTGAGGTGCAGAGATTCGTCGAGCTGACCTTATTCCTTCTTTTATGGCCAGCCGCTTCCAGAAGAGAAGCGAAAGAATGCCGGGTTGAAAGCTTCAGCTCCACTTTCCTCCACTATGGATGCCTTTATGCGCATGGTGACGGGCAAAGAGGAGCGTACTATCGCTGACCGCATCAGTGACCCGAACCGCCCCACGTGGGAGCAATACAAGAAGGAGAACGCCGACAAATTAGACCTCGGTAAGGATGGAGAGAAGGAGATGAAGGAGTATCGGAAAAAGTTAGACTCTGCGAGGGAGAAAGTGAGATAAATGCTGCACTGTTGGATTTGGTTAGCCGAGGAGATTAATGCACTGACGAATGTATGGTTGTCGACAGAGACTGGCGGGAAGCAGCAGTTTAAAAAAGAGGAAGAAAAAACACAAGAAACGCTCACGATCTTCTTCATCAGATGAAATTAGTGCTGAGGACGAGCACGGACACTCTAGACACAAGAGTCGGAAGAAAAGGTAAGTTAGTTAATGGTAATGTGCTTGGGTTAATGTGGAGTTGCCAGTGTCTCACGTACAAGTGTAAAACAGGAAAATCCACAAGCGACAAAGGAAGTCCATGGATTCGGATGACAGTGACATGAATTTCGATGACGACCGCGCTCGACGATCCAAACGCTCGAGAAAGAGCAAGAAATTATCGCTTAAAACAGATCGAAACGCGTCTCCTTCACCTGTGCGTCTCTCTTCGTTCCTTCATCAATCGAGCAACAGTTTAGACGATGGATCTACTTAGCGAACGACCGACACATGTCAATGTCACTGGATTGTGTCAATGTTCTAATTTCTGCTGTTTGCACAGACGTGGTTATATATTGTTTTATACATTGTTCTAATGAACCATAGCTAATATCTTGTGAGTCCCATTTCTGCTCACTATAGTTCAATCGCAGTCTAGCGCAAGTGTTTAGATGTTGTTGCCCCTGATCCCACGTAGTCAGTCTTGAGTCTTCGTCATTTTACCCAAGCAAATGACCGATGCTGAAAGCAGGAAAACCTTTATGCAGCTGCTGCGGCAGGGTGTACAACATAAAGTACAGCAACAACAACAGAGCAAAGCAAGCTCAGCACATAAGGAGGACTTTCAAGCTGAGACAAATGGTAAAGTGCATCATGCAACGCTACTAGACTGCAGCAATCACGGAAGGAAAGTAGCTGCATGGCAGACGCTTGCGTGGCGTGATGCCTTCTCCATGGCATCGTATTTTCACGAGACGGTCGGTGGTAGACCACTGCGTATCAAGCAAGTGCTACAGGGAGAGCTCAATGGCTTTGGCACAGGTCTCACTGTATGGCCTGCTGCTTGTGTACTCTTAAAGCATCTGGAACAACGAGCAACAAACGATCTACGAGGCTTGGTAGGTACAGACAGCCCATTTGTGCTGGAGCTTGGGAGCGGCACGGGTGCAGTGGGCATTGCGACAGCGATGTTGCTTCAAGCTGGGAGAGTGGTGCTCACTGACATGGACAATGTTCGATTCATCATGGATGAAAACACTGCCTTAGCTCGGCAGGATGGTGTACTTAATAGCCACGTGGTAGTGGATACTGAAGGATATGAGTGGGGTCAGCCACCATCGCAAGGGCTTGTCCCGATGAGATACCCAGACCTTATCCTTGTGTCGGACTGTATCCTCCCACGCCTGTACCCGATCGAGCCACTCGTCGAGGCGTTGACTCTCCTCAGTAGATCACATACTCGTATTCTCATTTCGTACGAGCATCGCCACTATCAGCACTTCCAACCTAAGCAAAGATTTTGGGAGCTCATGCAGGAAAACAAGTTTTCGCTACGGGTGATCGATACTGCCGAATATCATCCACACTACGTTGCCGCAGATATTGAGGTGTGGGATATCACCACAACGCATACGGATAGCAGCTAGCTTTTAACTGATTGTATAAATGCTTGCGCAATGTTACTTCGAAATGTCCTGCACTGCCACTTACTTTCTGTTGCTATTTAATTAAGCTGGTAGCACCGCCGACGCAAGTGCTAGGCAGTGCAAGTCATCGTGACGAACCATTGCCTCATCCTCTAAGACAATGTACTGCTCCTTGAGAAAACGTGTTAGTCCATCGGCGGACATCAAAGAGCACAAGACATCTAGCCGTGGATCAACCTGAGGCAACTTCGATCCCCTTTTTTTCTGCTCACAAGAGGAAGAGGCAAGCGGAAGTAGCGCAACCAAAGCTGCTGACTGCGACAGCACGATCAGCTTGTCATTCGCGTTGACTGAGATCAATGTTGGGCAGTCTGCGGTCTGCTCTTTCTCGATCTTGACATTAGTCTTTGCGACAGGAAAGAGCTCTTCATGGCTGTCAAACTCTATCTCTCGGTTACCAAGTTCTGACTGAAGTGCTGCAATGACTTCCCGGGCAAATACCTGCTCCACAGGGTCATTTGATTCAAGCTGCAAGTGAATTGAAAACGCCTGCCTCGCCGTCAGATGGCGGCTCTGTACGAGAGTCTCGACTGTCACCTTAACATCATCAAGATTGTCGTCTTTACCGGGAAGAACCGGAGCAAAGGCAGCGCGAGCATGAATAGTATTCTCCATGTCTTTCATATTCACTCCCATCGGCCTGGTAATGACACTCTTTTCGTCTGGGTGGTGTTTTTGATACTGCTTCTGCTTTGCACCTCGAACTTTCCAAATTACTTTATCCCTCTTTCTTTCACCACCACCGTGTTCGGGTTCCTGAAGTTCGAGGGCTTTCAACGACCTCGCAGCCTCCGTGCTCACCCAAACCCAAAACATACGCCACGTCACTGGCCCCGCAAAGCTTGAATCTTTCATCGCTTCAACGGTTGCTTCGTACGCAAAGTCCGACGTGTCTCCCGAGATTTCAAATAACTTATGCATTATCGTAAGGCACGCTTCCTTAGTAATCGCTCCAGTACCTGTTGGGTCATGCTCTTCGAACAACACACGCGCACCCAGCTCCAATTAATCGATGTGCTCCTCTGCATGTTTTTGACTCTTAAAGTACGAGGCAGTGGACAAAAAGTACACCTTGGCACCCCCTAAGTAGCCAACGACACCACCAATTACGGCAGCACTAGTTGCGCCATAATTCCAAACGGCCCAGTTGCCACAGCTGCCCACATCGTCATTGCTGACGCTACCCCGTACGTACATATTCCTGCACCGGCGGCAGCCGTTGTACGGCTCACGACCACCTCGCCCGTTTTCAGGCGGAATTCCCGTCGCATAAGCCGCTCACTTGTCGACGAAAGCACTCCTAGCTCTTTGCGTTCCGTATGCTTCTTACGATAGTTGTAAAACTCTTTCCCAATGTCGACAAGAATGGACGCGATGGCTATAGGAGCTGCCACCAAATCACCGAGAGCTGTCCCATACTTTGCCACCCCGTTAGCTAGTGCTAGCCCGCCTGCTGCACGAAGTCCACTATCGACAGCACCTTCTGCGCCGGCACCGCCAGGCTCGTAATTTGTTTCCTAGTGTTACTTTCATCTAATCCGTAATTCAAGATCACACGCTCTGTCAATTCTAGTCGCTTTTCCTCAGCATTATGGATCGTGACCTCACGAGCCATTGGCGCCCCTCGAGTAACTTCTTTCTTGTCGACATAGCGTAGAGCATCATCTCCAAATCGATTTGCCGCAACGGCGGTGTTCTCTCGCCAGTCCTCAACCACCCCGAGACCAAATGGAGTCATTACCTTGGAGCCTCGAGAAAACATTACACAAACCTTTTGTACGCCATGCAGATGACGAAATTTCTCGCGTTTCTTGGCAAAATGTGGATCAACATCTTGGACAAGCTCAACATAAACGCCTCCTCGGCCACTGCCTCAACGGCTGCATTTTCATCATCAGTAACGCAATTGAAAAACTTTTCAATGAGACTGTCGTCTCGGTCTTGCTCTTGGTCTTGCTTTGTTAATTCATAAATGCCCTGGTAAGCATCTTTATCGAGATACAAGCTATGGTCGCCAGAATTTGCATATTCACTATGGATTGGAGTACTAGCAACCGCAAACGCCTTAATCTGCCGAGCTTTGGATTACTGGAGAAGCTGAATGCTTGGAGTACGACTTTGTCGCTGCTGAACACGTTTGCGATCTTGTAAGAGTAATACCAAGCAATTGCCTGGCATGTCACGCACCGCAGTAGCCTGACGTCTCCTTTTAGAGGCTTCCGAGAACTGAGACCACGCACTGACGATAATCGCAACGCTGGCAGCAACGGCCACAGCGCCCCCTACAACTGAGACCGTCTTCAAGCTTGCGCTGCTTGACTTTGAGCTGATGATGTCGGTGTTAGGCACGGTCGTGGATTGCGTAAAAGTCTCTGCATGATTATTTGTCACGATCCCTCCGGGCTTGCTCAAGGCGTTCAAAGTTTTAGACGTGGAAGTAGAAACTACAGCTGATGTACTAGAAGCCGTGTGTAACGCTGTAACACCACTTGGGTCAACAACAATAGTGGCGGCAGTTGACAAACGGCCTCTGCAGAACCAGAGACACCAGCTTTGCTAGTCGAAGCACTGTCAATCGTAACTGGAAGGTTGGTTGATGAAGCTTGCGCTCCACTTGAGCTCGCTGAATATCCAGAAGGAGTAGCTGTCGCGGTCGACGTCTTACCTGTATTGTGCTGAAGCGAATGTTTTGAGTAGTAGAGCTTGATGAGCTGAACTGGTCTGTCACGTGATGCAACGCGCTGGGGATTTGATCAACAGCATCCTTAAAAGTAGAAATCGCTTCATCTAGCGTTATGCCATCAACGGCTCCGTAGTGCATAAACTCTTCTCTGCGACTCATCGGCCGATTCAAATGCGCATCGTATGCCCGTCAATTGATTTGTACGATAGCACCTCGTAGGATTCTGCTAACAGCTCGAAAATATCTTCTGCCACCTCCTTTTGCTGATCGGTGAACGATCCATGCACAATCCGGTCTGGATACCACCTCACCGCAAGAGATCGATAAAATGTACAAATTTTGCGTTCAGTAGCGTTTCGAGCTACACCCAAACGCTCGTAATGGTTCATTGTCGCGTTGATCTGTACCAACCTTGACCGCCGAGGAATCGCATCGACATAAGCACTCATCATGTGCTGCAAAATAGAGTTTCCCGTAAGACTAATTGTAACTGCATCTCCGTCTTCACCCAAGCCCTTCCGGATCTGCATCGTGTCCGAGAAGATGCTAAATTCCGCGCTTTCCTTCGGCATGAAAGTGTAGCTTCCACATGGGGCGTATCGATGATCAACTGCCTTTACGACATTAAACTCGCGCAATTTGTCAAACGACTTTCAAAGCATAGTGATGCTCATCGATAGATACGCTGATGTAGCATTGGGTACTGCAGCCGTGCCAGCACCCTTTACCATATCGGCAATTTTGTTGCTGCATGGGTGCCGGTAACAAATTGAGCAGTGCTTTCGTTGCCTTTGCAATTATGACCAGTCGTTCAGTCGTTTTTGCAAGCATTGCAGCCAAGTGTGCAATATTCAAAATTCCAGGGATGCAGTCAAACTCGTTGACAAAAGTCACCACTCGATTATTGATTCCCAATGACGCTAAGAAAACATTTAAAAAAAAGCGTCATTACCTGCATATGGAGCACCAAATCCAACGGTCATCGCCACCGGAAGGTTTTGTAAGGCGGTATCGCAACTATTACGTTCAACTTGCTTCATCCATTCCGCAGACTCATTCCTCTGCTTCTTATGATTATAGATGTGTTTCTCCTTCTTATGCTCTTTACCACCAGCGTCTACTTGGTCTGCATCAAGGCTTCTTGAGAACTTCTCGCATGCCACTCGGAAAACCAGAATACACCAACTCACGCCAGTTTTGCAATACATCCACCGATTGAGTGTCCACAAAATAGTAACACTTTATGCGCATTCTGTGCTCGTACGTATAATTTCGTAAGGTCCAGACGCTGCGCTCGTTTCAAGAACGGCGCGTGCGCGCGAGATCCACTGAAACGGTGTACGTGAGGCTGAGATAGCGGTGAAGCTGATCCAAATACAGCCTGCATAATTTCACTGGGGATTGTAGCTCGCATAGCACAGATGAAAGCGCTTTCTGACTCGACCAGCTCGTACTCATTCGTAAACTCCACAGCCGGTAACTGCATAGTGTGCGGCAGAGGCGACTTGCGCACATGCATTTCCAGCTCACGAGAAGCACGTGCGTTAGCCATCGCTTTCGTGGCAGCCAACGCGGCGCATAGCACGGCAGCATTCAGTAGTTCCGACTCATTGTCAGTGACCATCTGCGTGGCACTTCGACAGCCGTCCACACTACGCCACCACCATGCATGGCCTGACTTTTGCGCCATGAAGTGACCGACTTTACTATCCGTTAAGCTAGCGAAGTGCTCGATGTGTGGTATCCGACATTTGATTTTTTATGGATTTTTACGTCAGAATGTTCATTCATATATCCTTTTTCAATCAATCAACGTCGTTGTAATGCAACCGGCATGATACGGTCATTCGTTTACATCTCAATCCATTAATTCGTTTGTGCCGTGTGCATTGTTCCTCTCAGGCGTCATTGTTCTACTTAGGGATGGCATTTTCACAGCAGGAGACTGTGCAGAAAAGCTTTTGCGCTCAGCGAGCAATACAGTTCTGTTTTGGTTAACAAGATATGCAAGACATGACACGTAGCTACTTGTTCCGTTCTTCTTCTGCTTAATATATAACACTGGCTTTATCCATACCACAACCACGTATACTGAACTGTTATTGTCTACACTGACTAATGTTACCAACTGCAGCAGAGCTACTGTACAAAGTTACTTATGCACTATGTGCAGAGGAAGACAAGCTCAACGAGCTTATATATCTTAGGGTTTTTAACCTTCCTAGGCTAGCTCGTAAGCTTGTGCCTATCGGTTGCTATAACCGCGTCTCAAAGAGACTAGTATCAAAGATACTGATTTCTCATGAGGAATAGTACGCTCAAGCTGTAAGGCTTATAGAGCAGGTTTGAAACTGATTTATATTTATGTTTATCTTCTAACACTAAATATAGAAGCACCTACTCTATACTTAGTGCTAGTCACTATTTACTGGCTCTATAGCCTATCACTATGTAAACATGTATGGTCACTATACACGTGACGATGCGACCCTTCGTACCTTAGGCACGGTCACATCACCTACCACTTTACCCAAGGTACAGCCACACCACATTGGTGTGGTAGATGTGTATGTACAATACACACCTTCGTGTAACCCCGTTACACCCTCCCTCACCAATCCGTGCACGATTTTTAAACTTATGTGGATATCTGTCGATTTCATTTCCTTTCCGCTTTGCTTGCCTCGCAATAAATGCCTCGCACTTGCGTCTAAAGCTTTGTGTTACGACACTTGCTCTATGAGCATCTGTTCTTTGCACTCACGCTTTTTGAGCACCCTAGTGTTACGACACTTGCTCCTTGAGCATACAGTGCATTGCACTAACGCTAAAGCATTAAGTGTTACGACACTTGTGTGGTGAAGTGTATTACAAATTAAAAACCCAAGAATTAGTTGACCTTGGTCCTTCGTCAATAGACCTCAGTCCCTCAAGGTCGACCTTGGCCCTTCGTCGATGGACCCTCGACACCGGTGCCTGGAGGTCGATCTTGGTCCTTCGTCAATACACCTCGGTCCTTCAGTTGATGGACTCTCGACCTCGGTCCCTGGAGGTCGACCTTGGTCCATCGTCAATAGACCTCGGCCTTTCGATCGGTGGACTCTTGGCCCTGGTCCCTGAAGTCGGCAATTAGGTCTCAGGATAAAGATTAGAGTAAAGGAGTAAAAGATAGGACTTTATTAAATACTACTCGATTGCCGATCTACGTAGCACGCCTTCGTCGCGCTCACAAGGAACTTACATAAGTCTACCCACCTGTTCCGGAAAGGGATATATTTGGCCCCGTCGAAGACAGTTGTGCGGTAAGACCCAAGTATGAATAGAGTACCAGGATATATTTGGCCTGTGGGTTCGTCTGAGTAGCCCCTCCAATCGACCCGCTATCGGAAGCGATCTCCCTACCCTACTGGTTCGGGAGCAAGTAAAGGCCAGACGGTTAACACCCCCGAGATATCAAGGAAAAGGAAGGAAAAGGCCAGGGTTGAAAATATCCCCTGAAGAATTTGGTTATAAGTCCACCCTCGAACTAGGCAACCGAGTGGCCACCTAGTCGCCTACCGAGTGAAGTATATCCACTCGAGGCACCCCAAAGGTCGACCTCTTTCAAAAGCGACATCTGATCTCCACGAAGCCCTTCGAAGAGTGCGACCATCCAGCCGACGGGTACACAAGATGAAAGAAGGTCCATACGCGGTGCCCCCTCCGACAGTCGGCAGTCCGGCACAGTGAATGGCTTAGAATCTCATTGTGCAGTTTTGAGAACCCACTTTACCACACTGACAATGGCAATGTCCAAAGCATCATACACGACGCTATAAGTACGATCAGGATCAGGCAAAGATGGCGCCTGAAAGAGACGCTCTTTTATGGCTTCTGATGCCTCGTGGTGCTCGGTGTTTTAGCACCAATACACATCCCTTTTAAGGAGATTCGACAATGGCCTAGCCACTTCCGCATAGTTGTGGCTATACTTGTGCAAGTAATTTGCCAAACCCAACTACTTGCGAAGGTCCTTCTAGTTTCGCGAAACCGGCCAATCCACTATGGCTTTGACCTTGACAGGGTCTGCCCGGATTCATCGCTTCCCCATGGAGCATCCCACAAAGGGAACCTCTTCCGCACCGAAGATGCATTTGTCAATATTGGCATTTAGCTTATGTATCATCATGCAACCAAGCACAACTCGCAAGTGCTCGATGTGATTCTCCACATCAGTCTTGCTATTTTTGGCTCGACTATGGACGACTATATCGTCGAAGTATGTCTACGCATACGCCCTATGGGGCCGAAACAACTGCGTCACTAGACGATTGAACGTTGCAGGTGTGTTAGACAGCCCTTAAGGCATCCCTAACCACTCCCAGAGCATACCGCTTGGAGTGCTGACCGCTCGCTGTCAGCGGGACATCACTAGCTCGCATGAGCAGTTGGTATATCCATCGACTAAGTCGAGGGCACTGTACATCGTACATCCCACCATATTGTTCTGAGAACATCCCTGCGAGGAATCAATGTTTGAGCCGGAATAGTGGTTGCATTCAGCTTATTGTAAGCATGCACTATTCCTCACTTGCCATTAGGATTTCTTACACAAAACGTGGGAGTCAGGGGACTTACTCTCACGCACCATGCCTGCCGCGTGCTTTGTACAAAAGAGGTTGCCAATAACGTCACATTGTTCTCGTAGCAGCGCCCAAGGTCGCGTTTTACAATATATGTTTATAGGGCTAAGGGCCTGTATCGAAGCTTACGCTAAAGGTCTTACGAAAAACATTAAGGAACACGCGTCGAGCGAATGCGTGTTTAATTAATATCAAATTCAACTCTGTTCTCATATTTATTGTAACGGGGTTACACGAAGGTGTGTATTGTACATACACATCTACCACACCAATGTGGTGTGGCTGTACCTTGGGTAAAGTGGTAGGTGATGTGACCGTACCTAAGGTACGAAGGGTCGCATCGTGGCAGAGAGCCACGTGGTCACTATACTTAGTTAAGTATAGTGACTATACATATTTGCATAATAATAATAGGCTAAAGAGCCAGTAAATAGTGACTAGCACTAAGTATAGAGTAGGTGCTTCTATATTTAGTGTTAGAAGATAAACATAAATATAAATCAGTTTCAAACCTGCTCTATAAGCCTTACAGCTTGAGCGTACTATTCCTCATGAGAAATCAGTATCTTTGATACTAGTCTCTTTGAGACGCGGTTATAGCAACCGATAGGCACAAGCTTACGAGCTAGCCTAGGAAGGTTAAAAACCCTAAGATACATAAGCTCTTGGAGCTTGTCTTCCTCTGCACATTGCGCATAAGTAGCTTTGCTACATCCTCTGCACATAGCGCATAAGTTGCTTTGCTACAGTAGCTCGGCTACACCTGGCAGCGCTTGTACTCGATCCCGCATCTGGGTGTACGACTACTACTTTGTGTGAGAATGGACATCGATGAAAGGTCAGCGGGTGGCCTGTCACAGGCACAATAGGAAGGGTTGCAGAAGTTTCTCCCTATCCTTGGCCCTAAGGGCGTGGAATACCTCATCGCCCAGGGCGAAGAAGAGGTAAGCAAGCGTATTCATATGCTTGATGAATATAATAAAGCTCGAGTCGAGCATGTAAAGGCACAGATACCTTCTTCTGCGCCTTCGCCCATGGTGACTATGGCGCAAGAAGTGGTTCACAGACCAAAACTCATACAATGAAAGTCGATAAGTTTGACGGCAAAGAAGGTGACAACCTTATGCTTTGGTTCCGACAGGTTGAATCGGCTATGTTTATAGCCGACATCACCTATGAACCGTACCGTGTGGGCTTTGTCATGGGCAAGTTAAGTGGCTTAGCCAAACAGTGGGCATTCACATGTGGTGCATCATTGCCAGATGCTTTTCCCACATAAGCCGATCTGAAAGCTCAGATGACTCGGCAGTATGCATCGCCAAACCAAGCACACCGTAGCCGGTCGAGGGTTTTGGCGTGTTGCCAAGGCAAGCGTGAGATTGCGGCATATGTACAAGAGTTAAGAACTCTCATTGCTGCCATGGTCATTGACCCTATGCCTAAGGCAGTGACCGTCACGGTCTTCATGGAGGGCCTCCGAGCTGGCGTTGCCAGAACGAGAGTCTTCCGGGTAAACCCGTCCTCATTTGAGGAAGTTGTTGGCGTGGCATAACTGTAAGGCCTCTAGGCCTGCCACTTATAGCAACGCGTCTGATGGGTTTGTACTCATGGACTGTAGTCAAGTGGAGGATGAAAAAGCTGAGCTTCAAGCTGAGTAGCAGCAAATTGATGCAGATGAAATAACTTCAAGAGCACAGGCCATTTGATGGCAAAATGCCCTACAAAAAAGGCATATTTGGCCTCGAAGGGCCAAAGCCCCATGAGTAAACCTTCTGGTTTGCCGCGAGGAAACGGCGGAACCCAGTAGGCGCGGAGCACCCTACTGGGGAAGAACTGAGTTCTGTTGATCCAGGGCCCAGCCCCAAAGAGATCCGAACTCTCAAAAACGGAACGAGAATACAAGCCAGGCTTACTAGTCGTCTAAGGGACGGTTAAGGGCTTTGATAAGCCATAGATTATTTTAATCAATTCGGGGGCATCGGGCAATTTTGCGCGCCGTGCTACCGTGGAAGGTAGTCAGCAGTATGCTGAAGCGCTTGTAGCGTGTGAGAGTGACACAGTCACAGTTTGCTTAACGACTTATGCGCGTGTTGCGGTACCCAAAGTCCCGATGGACTTAAATGTAAAGTTCTTGGATGTTAACAGCATGGAAAGCTGTTTGGTCTTAGACCTGGATGCGAGGTATGACCTCATCTTAGGCATGGCATGGATAGAATGTCATGAGCCATGGATTGATTGGAGGTCGAAGGCCTTAAGCGCGACGCGCAATGCTTCTGGTGGGGCTCTAAAGATTCATGGACCTACCTCTGCTTGGAAGCAAAAAAGCGCTTATAGTGCGAATATTAGACCGAGTCGATAAATATGTTGGATGTCAGAATATCTGACTTGTAGACACTGTAAGTGTCGTAGACAATAGTCCTGGGCGAGGCTCAACGACTGTCGATAGTGCAGTGCTAATAACGCTGCGGTCCAGGGTTCGAGCCCCTGTATGACCATTTTGCCGCTTTCTCTTGCTTGCGTTCAGTACTGCTATGCTTATGTCTTTGTTCGGACGCAATTGTATGTCGCTAGTGTATGTTGTTAGAGCTGCTGAGGGCTGGTTAAGTCTGCGGAGGCGAAGAAACTAGCTGAAATCCTGTCGTGGCTAACGTGACCAGTGTTGACATGGACCCAGTCGAACTCCATCGACGCACACTGAAAGCCAAATGAACTGGACATCTTTGTACATGCTAAGCTGATAGATACCATGAAAAGCTACAGGCTGCTGAAGTCCAGCGTATATTGAGAAAGCGATTGTCGCTGTCGAAAGGAGGTAGGATGAATTGAGTTACGGCGCTGAGCAGCTAGTGAAAAGTGACGTTCGAGATGGCATTATGTGTAAAGACGAAGCAAAAGCTGCTCAGCAGCGCTAGAGGTCACAGAGACGTGTGTTGTAGCGATCACACGTGTGAAGTATGAGATTGCAGCGTGAGAGCTTGATTTTGGACGAGCGTACGTGGCTGTCATTAATTACTAATAAAGACACTTATCGAAGGCTCGGCTATTATTGTCACCTTCTTCTCGTACCAGCATTTTTATGTGCTGATTGCAATATATTCGTACTTACAATCGACGTAATTAGTCATCTATATTAAGTACGATGTTATGTGTCATGAACACTACAACACATCTGTATTAAGTACGATGTTATGTGTCATGAGCACTACCACACTATTGTTACATACCCAAAATACAAAGACGTCGTCTATCCTGAATTAAACAACTTACCCAAATAGTGACGCAACGAACGTCATGGGGGAAGAAGACCAGCAAAATGGTACGTGAATATCTATATACGATAGTACTATCATCATTGTATATATTGACTGTATGATAAGCACTTGATACCTCTTGGTACAGACTAGTGCACGATATGACACGTGTGCTACAGAGGAAAAGTAGATATTGAATTGTATTTCATCTTCTTATCTTAACGCAATGTGTATTCTTCTATCTATTGCAATACTACTACTCGATAGTATCAGATAAAGATAAGGTAGTGGAAAAAGAAGCGATGGATACACCGATTCAAAATATGTACAGCTTTTGGTACATTAAGCGCAGCACTGGCAACAAGACCGTCAGTGTGCGTACCTTCCGTGGATTGATGAATAGATTATCAATATATTACCAGTTCATACAGTTTACGCTCATCAATTGCTACACTTGTCGTTTTTTATTTTTTCTTACAGGAAAGTTATGAAAAAAGTATCAAGGGACTTGGTGATTTTAAGACGGTATGTGCTTTTGTGTTTGCAAAGTCTTGTAGGACTACTTGCTTACTGTTTACTTATATGTTGTTACTTTACATTTGCATGATCAGGTACAGGCTTTTTGGAGAATTTATAATCATTTGGTAAGACCAAATGATCTTCCAAATACAATGGACTATCACCTTTTTAAGACGGGTATTAAGCCCATGTGGGAAGATCCAGCAAATCGACGAGGTGGCAAGTGGATGGTGCGTCTTCGTAAGGGTATTGCATCGCGCTATTGGGAAGACCTGGTGCGTTATTAAGATCGAATGTAGTTAGTTGATGTATGTTTTACTATGGCAAGTAGTGTTGACACGTTATGTAGGTGTTAGCAATCATTGGTGAGCAATTTGACGTGGGCAATGAAATCTGCGGTGCTGTCATTTCACTACGATACAATGAAGACATTATCTCGCTCTGGAACCGCAACGCTGATAACAATGAAGCATGCTACCGCATTCGGTAAGATGGGATAAAAGGCAGCAGGATGGAAAGTGTTGGCCGACTAATGCAACCTGGTGATGGTTTTTGTGTTGCTGATGTTTTTTTCCACAGTGATACGATGCGGAAAGTGCTCAACCTGCCACAATTTGTGGCATTGGAGTACAAACGCCATGACATGTTGCTAAACGACAGTTCTACTTTCCGTAACACGACACTGTGGCGATCTGACAAGAACGATGGCAGTAATCGTGATGGACCTTCGGGCGGAGAACGCACTTCTACAGGCTCACGCTATCCCCGTGACAAATCCTCTAGTCACCAACGATCTGGGTGGAGTCGTGAAAGTAAGCGCTCTGTTTACAAATCGGATAGCAACGACAGTGGTCATCTTCGAAACAGTCGGTTAAACAACGACAAGGCTGAAGGCGAGTAGCCCGGATAAATGCTTGCAGACAGAGTCGTAGCTGCATCAACAGTAGTAGCAGTTACCACCGTCTGGATGATCAAGTAGGCACGCACTTGTCCAATCGCATTGTGATGTCATAGGGATCGGTATGATTGGAAGCAATTGTTTTGCTGTTGAGGATGACGACTTGTATGTGAAGACCATTCAAGTATGATCTCTGAACACGCATCAAAGCCAAAGACTCCACATCCTTGCGAATGCAGTCCGCCATACTCTCAACCTCAAATAATACAACTAGTGCATATGATTTCGTTTCGACTTGATGCAGTGCACGTGATTTAAAACTTCGTTCTCACTCGACCTCGTGCGTATGAACAATATCTCTACTTATCTCATTTTGATTTGCATGTGGCGAAAGACATGCAGGTTATGACGACACATTTGCCAACATACGGTAAATCTTGGTTGGAGTGTCCCTGCTCAAATGTCAGCAGCCCACACATAACTAATGCGTTATGTGTCATGCCGATTCGAATTATTTGCCGTTCGTAACACGACGTCACGTTTTTAATGGGACCGTTGAAAAAGAGCCCGTGCGATACCACGTTAGCAATGCGCTTAGGCACCATTCGCCATCTGGCCGTGTATGTGTTCATGGCCCAACATTCATTCAACAATCAGCTTTACAACTGTCAACACGCATCAATGAATTCTGCTTATTGCGTACTACTTGCACTTGCAGCTGTTATTCGCAACACTATTGCTACGTCTCAGTACTACGGTGCATCACATAGAATCAACATTGCGACCGTCGTCTCAGTGTCTGACACTCAAGATGAAACATACACCATGTCAGCTATAGATGGAGGAGAATCCGTTGATCGACTTGATTTGATACTAGTAGCCAATGAGTTGATCTCACGGACATGGTTCAATAATGGCACTGGATTTGCCATTGCAGCCGATAGAAAAGTTCTATATCAGACAGCAAGTTGGTCTCTCATCGAAGACGGAAGTGAAAAAGACAACCTGTTGTCGTCCTGGGCGCAATTCCAATCTGTTGACTCGACAGTCACGTTCAAGTCAATATGTGCTATGGTGGTAGAGTGGAACAGCTCCTGGAAGGAAGACAAAGCCGTGATGTCTGCTGTCGAAGTCTTGGAACGAATGACAGACAAGTGTGGGGGAAGTGACACCGCCGCTGTAGCCTTCACTTCAGTTGTCTCGAGGACTGTTAGTAGGTATCTCGAGGGTAAAATTGCGGTCAACAACGCTGTCGCACCATATAAAATGCACGACGTGCACTGTTCACAGTTTCCAGCAGTCTCTGATCGGTTGTTTGTCCGTGTAGCTAATGGTATGTGCCCTCGAGACGACTCTGCTAAATGGCTCTCGGCTGCAAACAGGAGCGAAGCACTATTTTCTAGCCTCTTTAGAGGAGAAGCGTGTGTTTCAAATAAAGGTGTTCAGAATTCGCAGACTCCAAGCGCTTCAATCGACACCAAAAAAAAAGAACGGTTCGGACTCGAATTGGCAGCCAGACCTTTATGTTGTCATTCCGATCGGCTTTTGCGTCTTTGTGATTGGGTTTGCTGGTTTGGTCTACCTTCTGCGATGGAGTAAGAACTCGGTGACGACTGGGACCCATATTTCTAAAGAAGAAGAAAAAGATATTCCTCCCAGCTTTTCCCACGTGCTTGCTCTTCCTCGAGTGTAGCTCTATGACGACGATATTATTCCATCATCAATCAAAAAATTATTTGCTTGCGGACATTTTGCGTAGACTTGCAAGTTCAATTCTGTGCTTGGTCAGTTTTTTTTTTTGAGGACACCCAAATTGCGCAGACGCTTCATCAAGTCATGACCGGGATCGAAAGCCGCTTATTACAAGTCAGCGACACCACCAACACCTCCGATTCATTATTCCGTTGGCGTTGTCACGTTTGTACTGGAAAGCGCTGGATTAATGTTAGGATGTCCACGACATGCAAAATCTATAGGATGACGTAACCGGGCATTCTCGCAAGCCTGCATTATGTCACTACACTGCATATTACGGCCGAATCAAACAGAGAGATACAGACACGTTGTAGTCCTGCAACACACTTATAAATGCCCCATTTGATCATCATACCACTATAGTAAATGTTACTTAGCAGCTCGCTGTGCTTCCAGACAATCTAGTACTTGTTCTCTAGCAAGTAAAGCAGGAAAGATGCGCTCGATAGTTTTACGGCACAATTCACACGGTCGAGATCGTGACCACCCTCCACAAGCCCCCAGTTGTTAATTTGAAACTCTTCCTCCAAGCGACAAATGTCGATTGCCTCCTTTGCCGTGATGTGACGCTTATAGACCGCCAACGCAGTTATCAAAGACTAGCACCATCACTTCGTCAGCATTCACTACCACTGAGGCATCATACTCGCACTATTAAGCTTTAGACATACCTTACATTCCTTCGTCAGCGTTCTCATCGCCGTTAGCTCAAAGTCGTTTAGCTACACCAACAAAACAGCTCGGAGCCATTCAGCATCATTACATACACACTCATCTTCGCTACATACCTTCTCTAAGTACGCACGAACGTTAGCGACAAGATGCTGGTCATGCACCAGTCCGTCAATGCTTCCGTAGCTTACATCCACTTGTCCTTCAAACGTGTCACTGAACCACTTGCGAATAGGCTTCCATTTTTTCTGCTGCAGTGACACAAGCTTCTCCTGTTGATCAGCTGTAACTTCATAGCATACCGTATCCGTGTGAAAGTAATGCATCATCTCGTCAATGGCCTCTTGGCTGCTAGATGTAAACAAAAGGTCCAGTGCCGTAGACACGAGCGTCATGATCGGCATTGTAGCGGGACGGATGTCGTGACTCTGCGCATCCCATTCATGAGCTACTGCATACGCCATTGCACGTGTTGGTAGACATACAGGTTGCTGTCTTGGTGTCTTGACTATCTTTCCGTCCAGCGTCACAGCAAAGAACTTGCGCGGCTCAGCGTCATTTTCCTCCACGTCCACGGGTTTAACGTCTACATCTTTATAGAAACGCAGCACTCCAGTGATCCTAGGTCCAGCAATGCCTCCAGATCCAGCTTTGGCTGAAAACAAGGCGCGCTGTGGGGCTATTGTGAGCGTCCTTAAGCGCATCCGAGCACTCCTTATAATGTCTGTTAGTTTCTCGGATGATAAACAGCAAATGTGATGACCTACAAAATCGAATGCGATGAAAATAAATAGGTTCATGGGAGTGTTAAATTCAGTGTGCAGTACATAACAATTGGTTGTTAGGAAGCCGCAAAGCCATGTCGTCAAATCCGCAGCACGTCGTGGACACGGAGGACGCAGCAGAGTTGAATCTAGGAGTTGATTTTCGTAATGAAACTTGTCTATCAAATGCTGAGGTAGCTGTGATCTTGGAGAAGCAAAAGTCGGACTATGAAACACAAGAGAAACAGCTGACAAAGTACGTTCATTATCGATATGTCCTTGTATGATGAGGATGATGATGTTCAACTCGCTAAAATATGCAGGAATAGTATGTAAAAAGACTCTATTTATCTCCTAACTTGCTCTGATTGTAGCGTCTTTCAAAAGACATACTCCTATGTACAACGTTTTAGTGGTACAAAGGATCCTGTGACCAATCAAGCTTCCGTGACTGAACTTCGCGAGTACATACGCTATTGTATCGTAAGGTTTGAGCATGGATGTGAGATGTAATTCATTTTGTTGTTTTTGCGTGTGTGTGATCTCTCTTGTCATGTAGAGCATTAATGTCACTGGCTTTTCAGCGTGATGAAGACGGTGAGACGGTGGAATATCGACTGGAGGAGTTTGAGATTGCGTGTTTATCAAACTTGAACCCCGAAGAAGTGGAAGAAGCAGTTGCGTTGATTCCTAGTCTGCATAAGCGTTTTGCTGAGGATGAAATTGAAGAGATTTTGGGTATTGTATCCCGTACAGCGGCACGAATGTTTGGCTAGAATGGCACAATTAGCTTGAATTGGGTATGTTTGTAGAAATGGGTAACTTTGATACAAATTCTAAGTACACAAAAATTGGGTCCGCAAGTCGGATAGTGGTGTATTGTACATAACATTTGCAACAGACAGACACATGAACATTAGCAACCGAAGTCGCGCCTATGTCTCTCAACGAAAGCGACGACGTGAGGAGCCCCTACCTCGTCATACAACATCTCAAGACAATGAGTCGGCTGCACAGTCGATTTGCAAAGTTTCAGCAATGCAGGAAACATCGTGGGCGCGTCAAGAGCGAGGAATCGTAGTCGAAGGAGACGGTTCAATTCCGCCTCCAATCCTTAGTTTTTCAGAGCTTGTGCTCTTCCCAGACGCCATTTCAGTGTTAAATTTGCGTGGAATAATGAATCCATCAGCTGTGCAGGCTCAGGCTCTTCCTTGTATCTTTCAAGGTCGTGATGTGGTCGCTTTGGCTCCTACTGGCAGCGGAAAAACGTTGTGCTACATTCTTCCAATACTTGAATTACTGCAACGACTGCATGATCAATTTAGATTCAAGCAGCACATTGCATCACCACTGATTCCAACATCACCTTGTGCATTGGTCGTCTTGCCAACTCGAGAGCTTGTGGATCAGGTGGTGCAAGACCTCTCAGAGTTTTTTCCCGGCTGGACAACTCCACCAGTCATTGGAATTTTCGGCGGTTTATCAGTTGATGCGCAGCTTTCTCGACTTCGTCAACATACGCACGATGCGACAGTCGTGGTGGCAACACCTGGTAGACTTTTACATCTCATATTGCGTCATCAAGCAACGCTGTCGCTTGGACAGATTTCTCTACTAGTCGTCGATGAAGTCGACAGGGTCCTGGAAGCTCCGGATATGGAGACGCAACTTCGTGAGATTCTGCAGCTTGCAAATCCTTCTGGACGGCAGACGTTGTTGCTTTCAGCGACGATGCCAGTCTTTTTGCCACGAATGGCACGGTCGGCAGTGCTCCGACCTGTCACAATACGCGTCGATGAAGCGTGTATGCCAAGCCAAAATGCATCAGTGTTACGATCTTTGCCGAAAGACATATCTGCAACGATGCTAGCGCTCTCTTCGTCGTCCAATGTGGTTCATGATGTGCAGTTCATGCGCCCTGCAGAGAAACCGTTTCGTCTTCTGCGCGTATTGCGCACCACTAAGCAACCACCAGTGTTAGTGTTTTGCAACTCGCACGTAAGTGTTGAGTGTGTAGCTCGTCTATTGCGTAACGAGCAATTTCATGCCGCGCCACTACATGGTGGTCAATCCCAAGGATATCGCTCCCAAGCGTTGCGCGCCTTTCGAGCAGGCTACGTTGACGTCCTTGTGGCAACAGATTTAGCCTCTCGAGGACTTGATTTACCTGACGTTGAGAGTGTCGTGCTTTTTGACATTCCACACACGATTGAAGACTACATGCATCGCTGCGGTCGCACAGGACGACATCCAGGGGGTGATACTGGAGGTTCTAATGTTTTGGGAAAGGCGATCTCCTTTTTGACGCGCGAGTGCACCATTGCCATGGAGTTGAAGCAGTTTCTTCGAGCAGCTAGGCAGTCTGTGCCACGTGAGCTTGACATACCAAAGAATTTTGGTGCAGTCGACACTCAAGCTTCAGTAAGTACCTGATAAGCAATAGCTGGTCGACACACACGTTTCGGTCGTGTATATTCCCTGCCAAGAAAGGAAGTATGAAGCAAAGAGCAAACAGCGAAAAGCGGAGCTATAACAATGGTGACATTATTTTGTGGAGCCAGAAGCTGCAGCATGGGTGGCAATTCCAGCATTATGCTTGTGTGCCAAACGCCGAGGTGTTTACTTGTCGGAAAAGAAGAAGATGCACTGCGTCGAGCAGAACAAGGTGATCAGGTGTAACGCACGTATTGATATCAGGTGATGGACCTATCGATAATGGACCTGATGTAGTATATTAAAGAAAGATGCACGCTACCTGACAGGCGATGAATTAGATTCACTGTCTGCTCAGCATCTTCCAGATACAAGTATGAAAATTTGCGGCCTTGGAATCCTCATATTGATAAAATCTACATGAGGCTCGTTCGTAATAACGTGTCGGGTTTTACAATATGAAAATACGTACTCTAATGGAAGGTCATACGAGACAATACCATAGGCGACGTCTACTATCTCGCATGCTTCAGCGTGCGTTTTGCCTGGTATAAGAAACGCCGGGACGGAGAGTTATGCTCAACACACGTTAACGATGATTTTGATTACTTTTCCTCTCAGACCACACTCGCACTGGTAAGTTGCAACCTATAGCTCATATTCACGGAAGCTCTTAATCAGCTTCATGACCTGATCACCGGAAAAACGACCAAGGGCACCACGTGCAACAGCCAGTTCAGAGAACTCAGTCACCACGTCGGTCAATGGGCTGGATGGTAGATCGTCACCATTCGTTTGCACACCAGAACTTTTGACGACCTGTGATCTCTCGTACGCAGCCCCAACACGTGCAATAGCGAACGGTACCGGTTCAAACGTATGGTCTCCATATTTGACAGGTGTTGTGTGATCACCGGTAACAACAATAGTCACCTCATTGTCTTCATCACCGCAGTCAGTGTGGATACCTTCCAGAAGCAACGAAATCATTTCATCTGATTGTTCAATAAAGTGCAGCTTCTTTTCTACATCACGGTCGTGACCAGCATCGTCGACTGCCTTGACGTGGACAAAGCCAAAGTCGTATTTGCCACCCCGTAGTAGCTGCAACGTCGTTTCAGCCTTAGATCGTAAATTGGTGCGATAATCTCCTGTGGCACCAGGAGCAGTAGCAATCTCAATGTCCAGTGACATGCCCAAACCAGCGATGATGCACGTGGGGGCGATCATGAAAGGGGTGAATCCATGCAGCTCAGTAAACGGTAGGACGTCAATACGTTCGCCTGGTCCGCGTAGCAGCACTACATTCGCTGGTGGCTTGTTCTCAGCTTCGCGTGCTTTGTTGATTGGGTGATTCGACAGTCGCTCATGAATAGCGTCAGAGACTGCATTCAGCACTTTGCTCGTGTATGAAGCTTCCGGGGTGTCGTTCAGCGGCGTGGATACCACCAGGGGAAGGCTTTATAGCAGGAAACACAACAATCAATCAAGTTAATGCTTTCGATTCGAAAGTCTGTCAAGGGCCTTAAACAACACGTACTTGTCTTTCAAAGGGTCGGTGCCTGTAATTTTATCACAAAGCCCCGGACCCTTGAACACAATGCCACAACGATGTTCCGTAGCATGTTTTGTAGCTACTACTAGGCCAGGAAATTCTGGTAACGTCAGTCCATTCAAAAAGCTGCACAGTTCAATGCCCCAAGCAGAAAAATTGCGATCCACACGTCGCTTTTCAACAACTACTTGACCATCTTCATTCTTCTTGACAGTGGCAAAATTACACTTGAAGGCAACGTCGCCCTTACTCATGTGAAGTCCAGCACCCATTGCTTCAAATGATCCGCGACCACGATAGTGACTATAATTGCATAAGCATAAGGTGAGCAAATACTAACGTAATAACCGCAATAAGCCCATACAATTAATTACACGTACACGATAGGATTATAGCCAAGAATCGACATATGTGCCGTATCACTTCCGCATGCATATCCAGGCTCAACGGGATCCATAAGACCCGTTAGACCACCATCTAATTCAGTCAAAAAGGGAGGCCAGACAGCATACGATTGTGAGAGTGAAGGCATCAGAAGGACTGGTGCAAATCAAATGATACGACCATACGGGCGATAGCGTCCATAGCAGGCGTTGGTGCTGCCTCCAGTGGCGTCTTTTGTTTCAGCTCGTGCAGTGACACATCCGCAAGGCCGTCTATGAGCACGAATACCACGGATCTTTGCTTCATTAGTGACGTACGATGGATGCTACTGATACAACATATGGCAACTTTATTTTAGTCCTGTGTAGAGATATAGCTTATCTAAATCTGGTGTTCTAAATTGAGTTTTATTTAAGTTGACAGAGGAAATTGTCGAGATGATCCTTTTTTGGAGAAGTCATGCGACTATTGCATTTCGAGCGTTACGATTACGGATTTGCACTCAAAGTGTCACTGTTGTGACAACATAATAGCTTTCGTCGGATTGTCTAGATATTAAGATCGAAAATGACCCGGCACAGATAACAAGGTACAAATAGCAGCTTCTTTTTTATCACCCATTTAACTGGTTGTAGACCGGATAGAGGATAATGGTGCTATGTCCACGTGGACACACCATAACGAAGCATACAGGACGCGACACTAGGATCGACATCATTTTCGCACCAAGACAGTCAAAGACACCTGGTCTACGATACATAAATCATCTCGTTTTGGAGACGTTGCTTCCATAAACTCCTCTTCATTTTTTTCTTGGACAAAGAAGTCGTAAAACCCAGTCTTGTTTGCTTTTAATTTGCGTTTGTGCTCGAATCTTCATCATCTTCAAAAATCTTCTTATTAATGACTGCTTTGCACCTGCATATTTTGAAAAGAACATGCACATTGCACACGAGTGTATAACAAACCAGAGTAAATCAAGGAGAGATGCGGTGCAGCATTCATGAACTTGTCAGGTCGGTTGCTACGTCGTCGGCGATGTCTCATTGGAGATGGGACTGGGAGCCAACCCCGTTCATGCAAAGCAATGCCGTGATCGTAGTTTAGTCCCTGTCACTTGAGTAACGGGGATGTTCCACCGGCGAATGGCAGCGGCCATCATCTCGTCGAGGAGATGCCGAGCGAGAGCGACCCTTAATGTAATGAGGCGACAATGACGGCGAACGAGCAGCTGGCGACATCGACCGGCGAGGAGATACCGGTCGACGCGGAGACCTCGGCGCACGAGAAGCCGATCGGCGCAGCAAAGGAGAGCGAGCTCTCGGTGAAGGGACGCGGGATCTCGAGCGAGAATGAGAGCGCGATCGGCCCTTCACAGGAGAACGCCACCGTGACGAGCGGCGAGCCGAGGCCCAGCGATCATGAGAGCGAGAACGGTCACGGACAGCACGGCGGCGCGGCGATCTTGAGCGTGAGCGACGGCCTCTTCCACGCTTTTCCATCCTGCAAAGATCAAAATAAGAGTGCACATGCACAATGTCAGAGCGAAAGAAAATAGCGATATAAAGGCGATCATCATCATTAGGTGATGTCAGGACCCAAACCTTTCGCGACTACGCATCTGATCCGTCGATTTACGACGCTCTTGAGCAAACACTACACGAATATCACGACCATCAATCTGAGCGCCATCTAAACTGTGGCGAGCATCTTCCGCTTCGCGCTCGCTACAGAACTCGACAAATGCAAAGCCCTTAGGTTCCCTAAGTCAAAACAATGTCAGATTATCAGTCATCTGCAATAACTATATTGCACAACTAACTGATTTCATATTACTTTGTGTAAAAATCCTTCGGGATGTAGACATCGCGAATTTCTCCATAGCGCTCAAACTCCTTCCGAAGGTCCTCCGGTCTACAGACGTGACATAGCAAAAAGCAGCATTTAGTTTACTTGCAATGCAACGACTGCAAAAGACAAGAAGAAGAAATGGAAATCAAAGGAAGGACCAAGAGGTCAATAAGCTACCGTAAACGACGACTGATGTTGCGCACCAATAGAGAGATTCCGCCGCGGTCACCCATGGGTTTGTGCCGGTTTATTGCTTAATTTGGGGTTTTCCAATATGGGAAGGCCAACCATTCCTATAGGCGAATTGTATGCTTTACTATTAGCCAATCAGCATGCTGATCAATTTTTTATTGGATGATACAACTTACTTCAATTGTTTTGACAAAAAATATATGTGACGTGGTGCAAAATGACAAACGTCTCCTACTAAAGTTTCGACAAGACAACCCACCAGAGCGTAAAGCAGACGCAGCCGGCAATTACCAGAGCAAGAATGGTATTGTTGCGCATCTTCTTGCGACGAACCTGCTCCACAAGCGTGTTGATACCGGAGAACGAATTGCCTAATGTTGCAACCTTGTCGTGCGATGACATGAACTGCCGGCGCTGGTTTTCCAGGGCGTTCCTCGTTGCTATCGCCTGCTCAATAATGCTGCTAGCTATGGATCGTGAAGAGTCTACAGCTCTGCGCTCATTTAGCAGCGAGTCCATTTCGACATCGTCCGAGTGGTTGTTGTGAGCTCTGCATTTGCATCCAAGTGAAACCGTGTTTAGACACTGCTATACACCAATGTTGTGACACCACAGACGCAAGCCAACTGCAGTACGAACCTGTTACCAAACAACTTCTGAGCGTCTCGTTTCTCCTGCAAAGAGCTCTGTAAATTGCGTTAGAGTAAAGCAACCGTCTGTTCAAGCCAAATAGCATTTGTACATAGTGCTGCTCACGGTACACAACTTACCATTGAGCGACGAAACTCAGTATTATAATCAAAGTAGAGCTCACGGTAGCGTTGTAATATAGCTTCCTGTGTCTTGACTGAACTTTTGTCCACAAGTACACTCATCTCGTCAATTGTATCAGACAGCTATGTACACAACAACAGCAACCAGACGTCATCAACACCCAAACTCAATCCTTTCATCTCGACACAGAGCGATGTTTCACCCACTGATGCAAGTGCATCTTCAATACATGCCGCCAATTCCTTTTCATTTGCAGTCTCCTCTCGTGGATTTTCTATACAATATATACAAAAAAGCCAACACAATCTCAGTAAACGTCGCGCTTTTCTCCTTCTCTGTACCAAGTTTCTCCCCACCTTCATCATATGATGCGACTGAATTGCGTATCTGGTCTCTACTAATCACTGTGTACGCTGTAATCTTGTCTCCAAGCGTCCGCTCGGCCACTCGAGCGCTACTTCGTAGCTCTTCCCACGTTCGCGTTGCTCTTTGCATCATTCTTTTTGGTCACTTTTCCGGATTCTTGGGTTCTGTCCTGATTCTACCCCTATCCAAGGTCAATCTCAAAGACCATCACTCTCTCTCTCTCTTCACCCCCACGCGTCATTGATATGGAAGGCGCACCAGCACGGCGACTAGCAGCTGCCGTGGAAGCTATACGAGTTGGTGGGGGGCAATGTTACAGAGATTCAGACACAGCGAAAGGAACTAGTACAAGCACTTCTTGCACTACAGCGTCTATGGAAGCCGGAACTGCTGACAAACCCCACACCTGTCAAGAAACGGACCAGCAAGAACAATGCGACGCTGTTCCAATTGCTTCTGAACACGCTGATTGTATACAGTGGCAGTCAAATAAATGGCTCGAGTATAGGTGCTGCAAGTGGTGGAACAGTCGGCATGGGCGTCTCGCTCTCCTCCTCGAACGTTTCGCTCTCCTCATCGAACGTCGCCACGTCCGAGTGCGTACACCGCCTCGTGTGTGAGTTACTAGTGCGTTCCTTTGACTTTTCAGTGGTGTCAAAAATCAACGAGCGACTATCGGCTAGAAATTCATCGTTATTTGTGAAAGTGTCACTGGTTATGGTGGTATGTCGGCTACCAGTACAAGAGGCATTGCAGTTCCTGGCCGATGCCGTTCCTCTCACGAACAAGATCATTCGGACTGCAGACTATTATATGAAGCAATGTCTAATTGAAAGTATAGCACATGCACTAGGTGGCGATTCGGCGAGATTAGTGCTGTTCCATACTGATGCGCTGAAGATCGTGAATAAGACATTTCAAGATAAAACACCTGAGATTAGGATTGCAGCTGCAAAGTTGTTGCAGGTGATGGTAGAACGAACGTCGACGGTGACGACTTCATCGTCCAGTGCCGGGACTGGAGCACCTGGAGGAGGTCCAGGAAGTGGAAGTGGCAATGGAAGCGGTGGTGGCGGAGTTAATGGCAGTGGATCTGCGGCTGGAGCAAGTGGTGGAGGTAACAGTGCCAGCATACACGGTGTGTTTCTTGATGCGATCTTTCAACTCGCAGTCAAGGGTATGGACGATGCTGCACCCGAAGCGAGGAGAGCGTACTCGGTGGTGGTGGGTGTTATTCTTGCTAAATACGCGACGTCTTCATCAGGAGAAGGAGAAATGCATCCGGCTGGGAGTGATATGAATGGAGCAAACGCAGCATCGTTGAGAAGCAACGACGAGGAAGCTGGTGGAAAGGGCTCCGTCGAACAGGGTACCCTTCCAGCCAGTGGAAGTGGAGCTGCAAAATTAAAGTCAGGGTTTAAATTGCACGTTCCTGGGGTGACAACACTCAACTTGCCGTCTTCACTTTCTCGTCGAAAAGCATCTGTGGTCAATTTCTCGACCATTGAAAACGTGGTTCTTTACTTCAAGGACATGTTGATCAGCAAATATCTATCAAGTAATCCAAACCCGAATTATGGAGGCATTTTGGCATCGTTCTCTATTGCTCTGTGCAGCATGTTTGAGCGCCTTCCACCTGACTTAATTGCTGAGGCACAGCTTCGCGAGGTCATGGATGCCGTTCTTTCCATCCTTGACCATCCTTTGGCTCTTGGAGATATGACTCGAGCGCGTAACGCTGTGGGCTTTGTGTTGCGGTATGGATTAAGTGGATGTCTCACAGAGCGCCAGCAAGAGGCGTTGCTAGGCGTCTATCTACACAGACTTCAAAGCAAAGCTCAAGCCCCAGGGCCAAACCACCACAAGCTGTTGTCGACCTTAGTTGAGATGAGCCATCTGTTTCATTCAATGGGTGAGGCTTCTCTAACTCATGCGCTTGACGCCAGCGACGTACTTCAAGGTCTAATTTGCCACGAAAAGCAAAGTGTTCGTTTTCAAGCCGCTGTCGCGCTTGCATCACTCGTCACTGCAATTCCATACCGACTAAAAAGCGTGCTAACGAGTTGCCTTCACGGACTCCGGGACACTGCTGGAAATTTGATGCGCGGAGGCTCAGATGTCAAGAGTGCGAGAAAGTCAGGGTCGGCTAAGAAGGCAGAGAATGGTCAAAGTGAAGGAAGGGAGATGCAAAGTAAGTCTAACCTGTATGCCATTCAAGGTAGATCCGTGGCCATTGCCCACATTCTTCGTGCCTATACGCTTACCGCCAAAGGCGGCATCTCTCAAACGATCATGGACGAAATCTATGTCATATCCGAGGAACTTGTCGAAAGCCAGTTTCTTAATGAATGCGCAGATAGCGTTTGGCTCACATGCACGCGTGCCGGTTGGACGCTAGTGGGAAGTCTTGTGACCATGAATGGCGAGCAGTGGCTAAAGGCCAATTTAGAGAAGCTATTAAGTTTATGGCTCAAGTCGAGTGTTTTGCACAGTCGCGAAACATCTCTTGAGCTTTTGCGCATTGAAGCTGCTGTGATTGCGCTTAGCAGTTTTTTGTCGAACTGCCTGAAGCTTGCAATGGACTGCGATAACGATATTAACATTCTTGCAAATCATGTGCTGCATGTTTATTTGACGGCAACGCAAAACACACTGAGCAAACCTCTCAAGCGTCGCGGTGAAATCGCACGGTACCGTCTAATGGGGTGGATCATGAACTGCTTTTCGATGCTCCCACCGATTTACAGTGATTCGTACATCACACTTCTAGATATGGTTGCTGAGTTTACCACAGCTCAGGCGTTGACCAACCTTCGGCATTCCTCGCTAGTACCAGCAAAATCCACTTATCTGCAAAGTGTTTTGTCTCCAGAGGACGATACGCTTGACATTGTAACTCTCTCTCGATTGGAACCAGGGGATTGCCCATCCCCGCTGTACTCAAGGGAGCTGAATCACGTGCTTGGTTTGCAGCAGCGTGAAAACGCTCTAACAGATACTGAGCTTGAGGTGCAATATCTAGACACATTTTGGCGATCATTGACTGAGAAAGAATTTACCGTTGATGCTACGAAAAAAGTATGCTGTAGCCCATTTACTTACGTTCGGCTCGTGGACGTAAGTGTGATTCTTTTTGGTCGCCTTTTCCACTTCATCCCAGAGGATCTACAGCTGCGATGTCTCCAGCACTATGCAGGAGCCCTGACCGATGTTCGTGCCGATTGCACAGTCAATGTGTGCTCGCTATTATTTGCTGTGATTGCCGAAGCGAGACGCCTTGAAAAATCTGGCGCCGCACTAACTTCACTTACGTCGCTGTCAGCAACATCATGGCCACTTCAGATGCAAACTATGCTATGTGAAATGATTTCAAGCGAACACGCAGAAGTCCGTCGTGGTGCAGGCGAAGCATTGGGAATGCTAGCGTTGCTTATTGGGGAAGACTACTGCAAGGGGTTGGTTATTGAGCTGGAGAAACGCTTGGTGGTTGATAGATTTCCACAAGGGGCATCTAGCGCTACATTTGGCTCCAGCATTGAGCTGGACGTATCCATCCTATCAGCTGGAGCAGCTTTTTCGTTGGCCTGCATTAAACGCATTTGTGGCTCTCGCATTTCTATTGACACAGGTCTTATTCTTCGGATTGCTGGTGAATGTTCCCAACCGTTGCGCACGTGGATCTTACATTCATGGGGCAGTATCTTGGAGTCCGTCAACTCTACTGGAGGCGACTACGAGCAGTATGTTATTTCAACGTTCTCATTAATAGAAATCCACGTATTGGCAGGTTTTGCATATTCGGAGATAAACAAGCGTGGGATAAGGTGGCAAATTAGCACAAAAGTGGCGCTAGGGCGGATTATTAACGATGTAGTGGCAACGCTTGGTCCAGAGCTTGGTGCTTCGAGTGATCGTGTAGACCAATTTTACTCGTTTTGGATGCTTCTTCGTCAAGATGGTGACGCACGGGTTGAGTTGGAGTTTTTGCGGTTTCTAGAGCAAGTGGTCGTATTTGCACCAAATCGCTTTCAATCTGCAGATATGAGATACATATTGCGCATCATATCCGATACTGCTTTTTTAAGCACCGCCACCCTGTTATCGGTAGCGACACAACAGAGCACAGGGCACTTAGTTTTGTCATCACCATCAGGTCTCAGTCACTCCCCGAGTTTTGGAGCCTTTGGAGAGTCACATGAGCAAAATGGTCTTGTCAATGTAGGTGTTTTTACAAACGGGCAAAGCCGGAGTATTCTGCAAAATGTCGGGCTGTCATGCATTCGAACACTTGCAGAAAGAAACCCGACATTGATTCGTCACCACAACCTGTTTTGTCTTTTGTTTTCAGCTCTTCACGTAGAGTACAAGGAGCTTCTGTGGGGTTACATGCCTGGGCTGCATGGCATGTGGGACGTTCTCTCCTTCGTTTTTGTTAGATCCTCAACCATGCAATGGAATAGTATTCGTATGCTGCAGAGCACAGCACTGGCGCTACTCGATGTTGAAGGCAGAGACCATGAAGGTGCAAAACTGTGCTTGTGGGCGGTGTTGTGTCGTAGTATTGCCATTGGAGAATCTGCTAGTACATGTTCTGGTGCGGAGCAGCTTATGATGAGCCCGAAAGGAATGAATTTCATGCCGCAGATTCCAGTAAATGTCGAAGCGTCAGAGGATGTGGACACATCGGTTTGGTCACCAAATCGGGTAGTTTTGGATGTACCCAATACTGATGCAAACTCACTCGTATCTGCGGCTGTTGTCCAAATGGGCATGTGGCGGGCAACAAAGGCAAGCGCGGGTGATCTTATTGCTTTGATGCCACCGCTTTCCCGTCAAGTACGCCATTTTGCGGTCGAGTGCGTGTTACGTGTGTTTGAGCTGATGGCGGCAATCTCGCCTCTGACGATTGGCGCGTGTCAGAATAAGCAACTGCATTTTGACCTCATTGCCGCACGCCGCTATATCTGTGAGATGTCTGGTGAAGCAGAGCTGCCAGTTTCCGCCAAGTGTGAGATCGGAAATTTCTTGTGTATGTATTTGGACGAGTTTGTTACCCTCGCTTGCCAAGTCACTACAACTTCGGCAGAAGGGGAAGAGCCACTTCTGTTCCAATGCCTGGGTCTTCGTCTGCTGAACATGCTGGTAAAAAACTTTGCGTCTGCTCGTGATCCCGAAGTGGCAACGGGCGATGCTTATTTATTAGACCCGTACCGTGCCCAACTTTTGTCTGCTGTCCGTCATGCTCTCAGGCAAGTTCAAGTGGAGCGTACATTAGCGACCCCTAATATGACTAGTAAGGAAAGCGATACTGGTGGCGAAAGCTATTTTTACGCGCCACTACTTCTCGAAGCTCATGGTCTTGCAAGTGCCTGCATTTCTGCTCATCTAATACAAGACATGGTGGGGTTGGGGCGCATTTTGAAAGCAATTGTAACTCAAGATTATGGCCACGCGCATTTTATTGGAGATGAACTTGCCCGTACTTCTCTTTCGCTTGCCAACTTGGCATCTGTCGGAGAACTCTTGACATTAAGTGTTACGGAAGCAATTGTTTCAAAAGATGCGCACGATGATGAATGTAGAGCTATCGAAACATCTCCACTTGTCAAAGCGATGACAAAGGGATTATCGGGAACCTTGGAGTATTTGATTAAATGCTGGATGGACTCTACCTTTGGATACGGTATTGTAATGCAAGGTTGTGCACACTGGGCGCAGTTGGGCGCATCTTCAAGTGCTATATTGCTAACTGAGAAAGTCATAGTAATGCCAGCTTTACAAATTCCGTTACCACCGATAGGTGCTGCTGTATATGCTCCAGCGTCTGCTGTGTCAACCTCCAAAGAATTCCGCGCGCTTTATAAGCGGTACTGGCCGAAGATCGTCAATGCAATGGCTGTTTTAGAGGTTTTTCTGCCGAAGTTGATTTCTACATGCAGTTTCTCGGAAGTCAACATCCTACAATGGTCGTCGGTGCTGTTGTCTACTGCAATTTTACACGTCAATGCGAACGCTCGCGACCGAACGGAAGACGAAGGGGAGCTACGTGCTGTACTTTGTAGTATTCCACTGCTACTGAGAGCTATAGTGGAAAATTCACCAAAATTAAGTGGCTCTTCATCCAGCAATTTTCCGATGCTTTTAACAACTGCACTGGACACCCTCGTGGTTGCAAGTAAGCGATGTTCCGGTCCTGCTCAAATCGCGGCGTTAAGTGCGATATTCTCGTGCTTATCGCGTGAAAATTTAGCTTTTGCTAGAAAAATCTGTTGCTTCCATGAGGATGGACAGCAGATCGGTGCAACACTTTTCGATACCGTGGTGGCTGCTGGGTTGTGTCCTATTGAAGTTGTTTGTCAACTTTGCAATGCAACCAAGCAGGCTCGGCATGCTCGTGCAGTAACAGTAAACGTGGAAAGCAGAACCTTGGGATGCTGCAGCTTCGTTGCGAGTGGCGCGGATGCTAAGTACATGACTGAAATCATGCAGTTTGCTACAACTGGTATTGTTCTTCTACACACGACCGAAGAAGTGCGAAGTGAAGTGGTGCGCTCAGTGGCTATGGTGCAGCAGATCATTTGCTCTGTTGCTAGTGGTCACCATTCTTCCTCTGTAAAAGAAGCTGTGGTGACGCTTAGTCGTGCATCTGCCCAGTCAGTGTTGGCACTGGCACGCACGCTTGAAGAGAATGACAATTTGCCTGATAATGACTTAAACCGCGTCAACGCGAGTGTACGCAATTGCTTCGAATTTCTTTCCGAGTGGCTCAAGGTCAATGCTCGCATTGCTCCATGTTTTTCGATACAAATTGTGGTAAACTATGCTGTGAGTTTCCCAGCCAGTCTCCAAGCTGACGCAGAACGCTTCCATGGTGAGACTGCAGAAACAATCTCGACAGTATTCGAGCTCTTGTCTGAAGCTGTAGTAAATGGCGATCAGAAACAGCAACATGCTGCGGCATGTGCAGATCTGCTGCGAGGTTCGTACACTGTTGTGAAAAGACTTATCGATGTGCACCAAACGGCTATTTTGAATCGGTATCTGGTAGCACTCGGTCCTTATCTCGTAGAGATTGTAGGAACAACCAATGGATACCCAGAGACAGCTGCAGAGCTTACTAAATTGGATGAGGCGGAGAAACTTCTTCGTGTACTAACAACACAGCTAGATGATCAGCATGGCTCCACGTTTGTACATATGCTCCTTCCGAGACTTGCAGTAGTACTCAGTCAGCCAACACCGTCTGCCGGTGACAATATGATATCAAAACAAGTGTCCGGTATATTGGCGCGACTACTTCTATGCTTCGCGCGGACCTATGCCAACGTGTTCAAGGACACTGTGGCAGCCATGACCCCTTCGTTACGTGGTGTGCTGGAGACTACGCTACGACTTGCTCTTACCGCCTCCGCTACAGGTACAGAAACATGCGCGCAGTCATCACTTCCGCAGAGCGGTAGCCAAACCACTACAAAGCTTGATTTGAGTCGGTACGCTTAGGCTGTGAGGCCAATGCTACCAGAATGGTTGAATTACATAATAAAAGCCGCCTGACAGCATGCGCGTCTGAATTATAAGTACTCGATATGATCGATGGGTTCGGCACATGTCATGATATGACAGCGCTTTCGTACTCAGAGCGTCGTTTCCTGGCGCGAAGCCGTGACAACATTTTGAAGTACTAGCAACTCCTGCAGACCAAAAAGCACAGTGTGTACATGATCCATACTGTAGAACTGGTGCAACAAACAGAGCGTATGATCAAGTCAGACATCAGAATCTGAACCAAGCAAATGAGTAAGCTCGACAAACTTACTTCCACGCCTCCGTCCAGGTCAACGACCACTTCCTGCATCTCAATACGCTCGATCTTGTAAGCCGACAGGTCGAATGGCAACGCATCAGCGTAAAGCCGTTCTGTTAATTCAATAAGCTCTGAATGTACACGACAGCGAAACACGTAAGTCACACACTTCACCACAATGTATTCCAAGGTGATCGATCACGTACCTGGCACATGCGTAGACGAGCGGTTACCTCCTCCTGGTCCGTTTTTCGTCTGCCGAAAGAGTCGATGCAGCGTTGCCCAAGGCACTGTAAGTGTATATGTGCGTACAACATCCTCGTCTTTTGCAGCACGATATTTCAGTCGTAGTGGTGCTCGCGGTTGCTTTCGCGTGGCAATGGACTTGCTACCAGCTAGTTCCTTTTCTTGACTGTTCATATCACGTTGATCACTTGACAGTCTTGCTTCTTCAGCCGATAGACTCGCTACTACCCAATTGCGTGCTAAACGCTTGAGGTTCATTTGTTGGATGCGCACCACGTGTGTAGTCACCACACACTGGAAGCGACGTTGCAACCATGAACACACCCACCGTAGTAGCTCTTCATTTCCTCTCAATAGCAACACCTGTTGTCTCTCACGTGCTTTATGCGATACACGCTGTTCCTCTTCCATCGGAAAATACAGCACGAATCCTCCAGAGCGTTCTGACACCTCTCTTTCAGGCGTAGCAACCCCCATCTTGGTTGTTTTACCACGACGTTGGTTGTATTCCTCTCTAATCTGAAACGCTACAAACCTGTTGGTATTGCGAATGCTCACACTGTAGCCAAACTGCTGACCGCATGCTCGAAGCGCCGCTGCTCGCAAAGTCTTGACCAGATCGTGCGCATAAGCGCTAAGCTCATCACAATGGAAATGGAATAACGGCGACGTAGAGTGAAAGAACCAGCGACGATTCAGCAATACTTGTTCCATGCTTACATGCTCAGGATCACGACGGATGGCGGATTGACGCAACGTCTCCTTCTCGCTCTTGTCTTGCTTATCTAGAGCTATTCGCTTCTTATTAACACTATCTTGATCTCCCACTGGATACTGCGATGGACGCATAGGTGAGGTATAAGTTCTTCGGACTCTTTCTAATTGATCAGGTGTGATCCGTATTAATGGCTCAAGTGGACGTGAGCTTTCCACAGACACAAGCTCTGCTTCTTTGTGACAACAACAAATTGTCATAGACAACAATTTATCTGGACTTTTAATCAAGGATGGACTACATAGTAGATAGATGTATATAGTTTAGTATTAGATATATATATATATATTCATGATGACTTCGTTATACTGACGTCAGTGGTTCACGAGCTCCCTAAAATGACTGACTGGCTTCTTACTACATAAAAAAAGCCTTTATCCACCCGCCAAGAGAAGAAAGATGAGGATCACGATGAGCACAAGGATAATAATATATAGCTTGGTATTGTTACTTTGCTTGGCCACCTGGAAAGCAAGTGAGAGAACAAGGACATTTTAGGATGGTTAGTTTGTATCGACGGAAGTAGAAAATACGGAAGATCAATCAAACAATGCAACACATACCCGTGCTGCTCGCGCACCCTCCGACTCGAGTCCATCCGTGACGCGGTTCACATCGTCGTCAATCTCATTCAATAGCCGCACATGCAGGTCTGTCTCGTCCTTGACGGATAGACTGTAGTTGCGTAGATTCGAAACACCTTGACCAATCAAGTCTAATTGCTGGTCCTGGTCCTTCATGATTTGGTTTTGAATGCCAAGAAGCCGTGCTGGTGCATCAGGTGCTTCCGGACTAGAGAGACAGCAGTATAACACGTCAAAGCAGCAGCATGGAGTTAAGAAAAGGTTTTGAACGCGTCACACACCTCACTGCAGCCCGTGACGTTCTACGGCTATTGTAGGCATCCAGATCCTCTTGCTATAGATCTCAACACCAACCCACAAAGCGTCAGACTGGCACAGATTAAAGAGCTCACGCGTTTTCCTCTTTCGACACGTTATGTTGTCTACCTGATCACGTGCTAATTGATTCAATAGCCTTTCGCGACGCTCAAGTTCCTGTCTTGTTCTGTACAAGCAATACAATATCCAATACGATCAGACCCCCCTTTTAAATTCTCTCTAGGCAAAATGACACATTTATCACCATCCGTACACTGAATTGGACGACCGTTTGAGCTGTTCAAAGTCGCGTTTCAGCCGTGAGACGCTCTGCTGAAGCGCAAAGACACTCGTGCCAATAACACTCGTATTTTCTGTGCGTATTTTGCTGGATAAAACCTGTTCCTGGCTCCGTGCATTCTCCAGACGATCCAACCACGAAGCCCATGCGACTGAGCTCATCGTCGATAAAAATCTTTTTTTGATTGTTGATACCGAGACGATACTGAGAATACCGGTTGCAATGAGGTATACCAAAAAAGTCGGACCAACCCATTTTCACAAGCCGCACAGATAAAGAAAGACAGGAAGATCATTCATTCATCATGAGCCAGCGAGAGTTTGAGCGCAAGATGGAGGAGCATATTGAGGAGATGCGCGTGACACAGACCATTGCATACTTTAGTCGTACGGTAGAGCTGTGCTTTTCCGACTGTGTGCACGCATTCCGCAGCAAAAAGCTGGACGACAAGGAGACGTCCTGCGTCAACAACTGCGCTGAGAAGTTTTTACGCCACACGATGCGTTCATCCGTACGTTTACAGGAAAGCTACGCCGAGATTATGCAGCAGCAGCAAGATCAACAAAAGTAGAGGACATGAACAAAGACTTAACGACGACGTAGACAGCAAACGTAAGAAAGAGAGGGCAATGGATTGGACGTCATTGACACAGACAGTAATAAAGACTTAACACCATTTTGCAATGCTTTTTTGATACGCACTAGTGCAGCCATAGGATAGTACCGGTAGATATCGGTTTCTGACCCATTTTGTTTAAATTCCCCATTTCGGTGATTTCTCCCAAAAAAATGGCGTCATCTCCAACTTCGGCACGTCTAGGTCCTTCCTCTGAGGATGGCGAGCTCACATCGAATCGTGGATTCTCCAAGCGCGGTGATGGCTTTTCCATTCAGGAAACCGAAGGTCTGCTTCAAGAGGTGCGTGACCGCTGGCAAGAAGGTTGGGACGCGATTGCCGATGCGCACAACGCGCAATTCCCGGGCCACAAGCGCACTGCTGGCTCGCTCAAGCGCAAGTTTGCCAAGCTCTACCGCACCAAGATCGACACTACAACAAAAGAAAAACATGCAAGAGCGGCTGCAATTGCGAAGAAAGTGCGTGAGGAGATGCGTAGCCAGCGACGAGGTCTTGCGAGTGCCCGTGGGCTCAGCGTGGATCTCGTGACTGAGACCGAGGGTAGCGTAGGCGTGCAAGAGATCCACGAGGATCTGAAAGACGTGGATAAGATTTCTCCTCATCCAGAAACAACGCACCATTTTTTACCGGAGGTTACAGAGACGGCTGGTGAGCACGAGCTGCGACAGACGCTGCATCAAAGCATACAGCCAATGACTCAAGAGACACCGCTACGAGAAGATGCGTGGCAAAGCCTTATTCGGTGGCCTATTGCCGGTGAGCGACTGCGCACATTGCGGTCACAGATGGAGAGCAACGAGGCAACATCGAGTCAAGACTTGCTGCAGACGGTATTGCTAGTGTTGCTAGAGTCACAGCGTCAGCGTGACTTTGAGAGGGATCAGGAACGCGAGGAGCGTCGGCAGGAAAAGCAGCGCTGGCAGGAAGACATGCGTGAGCAACGTCGTCGATACGAGCAGGAGCGTGTTGAGGACCGGCGCAGGAATGAACAATTTATGCAGGTGATGACAACGCTTGTAGCACAGATTGCAGCTGGCCAGCAACAGCGTGGCGGCTTGAATTGACGATTCACAGCAGATCATAGTAAGTTGGAGTTGTGTGCAATGGAGCTGCCGGCGAGTGTGTTGCGTGGCATTGGTAATAAAGATTGATGAGGCTCCCCTCGCTATCACTCTCGCTATTAACAAGCATAATACTTGAAGCGATGACAATACCATAATTTAGGTGGTTTGCTCGAAGTTAGTGCTGTCAACAATTGTTTATTGCATCTGTTGGTGTATGTAATGTATCGGTATTTGCATCTTTGCACAAAAAGATTATTTGAGCATTGCCAATTTTTACAATTGTACCGGTAGTAAAAGCTCGGTTGAAACGACTTTAAACACTAATTAGTTTAAACTATTTTATCATGATTTTAAACTGCAAATATAATATGTGCATTTTGAGCAATAAAAGTGAGCAAGGATATATATCGGTAAAATACATAAAAAAATACTGCTGGCAAAAACTGTATGGAGCAAGTGGTGTTAACCTTATTGATCATTGTTTCGAGCTCGATGCAATGGCGAGTGCGTTCGTTCGTCAATTCGCAGACACCATACCTACCTATTGGAAAGAAAACATGACAGACAGCAGATCGCTTCAAGCGATTAACATTCGGGGTCACGCTCTTGAGTGGTGTCATTCTTTCCCACAAGCAGCACCATCATCTGCATAAATTGCTCATGTCTGCGACGGTTCTCTTCACGTTCTTCAGCGCGTTCTTCACTGCGTCGTCGCCATTCTTCACGTTCTTCATTACGTCGATGGTCGTCTTCCTGCCTCCGCTGTTCTTCTTCTTCCCTACGACGTTGTCGTTCTTCCTCCCGACGGGCACGCTCTTCTTCTCTGTCCAAGTCACGTTGATACTGCGAGCGGAGAATGACTTTCAACACCGACGTCAGCAAATCATCATTCGGCAACGGTGTCGCCTCGGGCGGAAAAATTACTGCCGGATTTTGCCACTCGGGTGTCTGGCGTGGTAGTCGTAAGCGCGGACGTGGCGCAGCAGTAGAAGGTGTCACAACCGAACCAGCGATTGGAGTCGTCACGAGACCAGCTGATGTAGTAGAAGCAAGCACGTCAGATGGTGTTTCCACCCAACTATGCTCTGACTCGGTCGCTCCGCCGTCCTGTTCTCGCTCATCACCTTGTGGTGGCTGGAACGAGTTCTCACTCTGCTCCTCGTCAACGCTTGGAGCGACAGCGCCATGAGAAAGCGGCATTCCTTCAGTCATTTCCTTGTGTACTACATGAGCAAATGTAATTGCTTGGTGGTTCTTGGCGCCTCGTACAGGAACATTAGATCGATACAAACGTGAAAACTTTTTCTTGAGCGAATCAGCCGAGCGGTTGTGCTTGGAGAACTGTTGATTATGCAGCTGTGCAATCACATCCCATCCTTCACGCCAGTGAGTACGCACTAATTGCAACATACCCATTGATTCTGCTTCGGTAAATCCATCGCCTCGTCGCTGCACGTGAGGTCCAAGACGCCGCTTGACCTCGTTCTCCATTTCACCTGGTGGAAAAAAGCGTACAGCCATTTTTGGGGGAGAAGATGTAAAAACAAATGGATAATTAAAAATATGTTAAATCAATCTATTGTTTTGCTAAAATGCTGCATACAAATGATTAAAGCATGAAGTCATTTTGGGTATTGAGGGAAAAATAGGACACATCGCACAGATCAATTTTTTGAAGCGATAGATTTCAGAAAAACCGCAAATCAGAAACAACAACAACAAAATAGAACCATAAATGGGTACAGAGAAAGCAAATTTTTGTCCTCGGTGACCAAATATTCTTATACATGCTTCTTAGCGACACAATGAATATCAGCCACAAGATGATACACTTTAGGTGCGTATGATTTCACTTTCTCTACGTGATCACACGTAATTGTCCAATCCTTTCCATACTGTTGTGCTAACTCTTGTATTGTATCCACCACATATTGTTTCCACGTTTCATTGTCTTTTACAGCGACATTATCATGGACATGTAACCATCCACCACTTGATTTGAGCACTTGGATAGCTAGTGGCCATGCTTTTCTGCTTGTAGGTAATAGACCTAAATTCACACGATCAGCAACGGAACCAATTCGAGGAGCAGATAGACGATTGTCACCATAATAAATCTTGCATCGATCTGCAACGTGATTCCGCTCGAGATTAAAGCGCAATGCTTCTACTGAATCCGGATTCCACTCACACGCGTGAACAAATGCAGCACCACCGTGTACAAGAAAAGGAAGAACATAATAACCGATACCACAAAAGAGATCCACAATGGTCTCACCATGACATTCAATATTTGCCATGCGGGTCTTCTCAGTGACATTACCCGACGAGAACATGACACGAGTGAGGTCCCAACCGTAGATAATACCATTCTCCCGAATTTCCACCCAACCAGGAGCTTCCTTGGTACGTGACGTAGTGAGTGCCTTGTGATTTAGATACAATAGCTTCATGTGACTCTGGCGTTTCTCACTTGTATCAATAAAAGCTTTTCGTGCAACACGAGAGAAAGCGGGTGTAGTGGACGTACAAACTTGTGACCACATCTCATCAGCAAACGATGCCCATTCTTGCTCGAGAAAAGAATCTCGCGGGACAAGTAAAACATCACCTAAGAACTCATATGTCTCTGGAACGGCGCTCTCGAGCTCGGTCGAGAGTTGATGCTGACGAGCAAAGGCACAAATGGTACTGCGAATCACTTCATTGCGGTTCAGCCCGCTATTCTTGCCATACTTGTTTGCGTACACATCATCGTCCAGCACAATCTCAAGCTTTTGTACTTCTGCGTCTTTTGTTGAAGCAATGAGGTTACGAATAGAGACCCTCACAGGAATCAGAAACATCGTCATTGTCTGTCTGTCAATTGCAGTCTTATCTAGCTGCGCAACATTTACTACGTGGACACGTCGGGACTTGTCATAAACATGCGCCTTCTCAAGCAATGTCTTGACCTTCTTCACATCCACTTTTTCGACAAGAACACCTAGTGGTGCTTCATTCGATGAGGTACACTCACTTGTAAACAGCCGGCTGACTGAGTTGCTTTTGGAGGCAATCACAGGAGATATCTGTGGCGTCTTCAGCGACAGGTGGCATTGATACGTCGACGAATATAACTGCCCAAAGCCAAAGCATTGGATTCCACCACCTAAAACATACAGAGAACTGCTTGTCGGCATCCACGTCGTCGTGTGCCCAACAAAAACTGCATTTTCATGCTTGACATCGCCGATCTTTGTCCATTGCAATGTACGGACATCTAGCACATAAATGTCTTGGGTTGCCATATCTCCATTCGCCAAACACGGAGGCGTCATGCCACCTATCACAAGAACCTGATGGTCATTGATTGAGCAAGCACTCGCAGCAAAAAGTGCACGAGGCTGGCTTTTGTTTTGGGTGTCTTCAAGGGCTTTGGATTGCCAAGCTTCTTTCACTGTATCAAAAAGCAAGCAGACGCCACTATCATCGCTGGAATCACCGCTATCCAGCGATGACATACCTCCCCAAAACGCAAGCTTTGTCGATTCGACAACCACACCAATGTGATCGAATCGACGTGGGATGATAAAAGAGGTTTCTGTACCCAACACAAATAACGATCAGTACACGAAGACACGTGAGCATAAACATATCCAAACATCATTAGTGACACACTACGTAGACGCACCAATTTGGCGCCACAGCAGTGAGTCTTGGCTTAGATCGAGGGCAAACAAGTCACCAAAAACTTGCTCGGCATCACGACCACCGTACACGTATACAACAGAACTAACTGCAGCCGATAATTAGTACTCTTAAAGTATTCTATTCCAACAAAGGCGATGACAACAAACTTACCAGCACAGCTGCAATGCTTCCAACGTGGAGACGGGCCAACTCCTTCAATGACAATCTCCTCCCATTGTTTCGTCTCAAAATCCATTGCATAGAGATCTCCCAAAGGTTTTGTGGGGCTAGAGCGACCGCCAAACACAACCATACGCGTTCCCACAACAACACACGAGTGACACATCCTAGCTGATGGACCATTAGCTCCAGCTGTTGTGTGGTATGCTTGCCGCAGTGAGCCGTCCTTGGAAGGGATTAAGAAAGTCACGTCGGCAACGCGCGTTGTCGTTCCTGAAGCAGTAGTCCCTTGACCGCCAAATACGACAATTGAGTCTCGGTACCGCACGCTTGAATGCCCCACAAGCTTCACGCCCTTTTCATTCGTCACCTTTGTCCAAGAGCTCAGTTCTACCACACACCCCTGGTCAATTTGCCGTTTCGTTGCTAGCTGACAGAAACTGACACGAAAGGCTTCCAAAAGTCGATCCGTCTTTTGTTTATTCACCCCAAACTTTTGATTTGCGATATCCACGATCCAGCGGAGGTATTCATCGTTAACTAGTATCTGCTTTGCACTCTGTCCAAGTGGGATTTCCAAATTATTCGCAGTCGTACGAATTGCACACATGATTTTCCGATTACCAAGGATAACACCTGATTCCCGAAATCCACTGGCAAGACCCCATTGCAATAGCTTCTTTGCCGAGTCCAGATCACGACACACAACGTGCATAATGAATGGTTCATGTTTGAAGATAATCTACCAACAAAAACACAACAGACACACACAAAAACTCAAATTGCTTTAGACAATCGAATGTACGACACTAAGGATACTACTACACCAGTATAACTCTACGTTACCATATTGCTCGAAGTTAAATGAGAAGCATCACGAGAGCGTAGTGCTGTTATGACTTGATCAAATGTGATTGTACCATGTTGAGCAATCAACCATTTACCACCTTTTGTAATCAAATCTGAACCATTATTACGTCCATTTCCTGCTATGTCTTTTTCTCCACAAAAGAGCACAATACGACCAGAACACGAGCTACTTGTTACCTATTTCACACAAATGATCACAACCACCTAAGCACAATAACAATAACAATAACTCTATGAATTCCATCCTTCTACTTACGTAATCTGGATGAGCATTTATACTCTTAATCATATCAACAATAGCTCCATCAATACATCCCTTCGGACTCTTGTCTTCCATTGCCTGTAGCTTCCGTAGACTCTCACGCTTCAGTTGCGTAAACATATTGTTGTTGTCACGTCCAGTCGTGTCAAGGTTTATTTGATTTTGGTCTTCACTATAGGACTAAAATAATAGTCCTTACTTCAACTATATACTATATTCTAGTCTTTTAGTCCCATTCGTGACCTTCCTGGTGATCAAATTGACCACCTAATGATCAAATTGACCACCTAATGATCAAATTGACCACAGTAAGTCTCCACGTCCGTTGCGCTGGTGTACGTGCTAATGAGTCGAGTTACTTACCGTATGAGAATGATCGTGTCTTCTTTCATGAATCACAATATTCTACTTCTCCTTATCTTGTACGTGTGAGTTGTAATAGCGTAAGCTTTGTTCATCGTGGGACACACGTCGTGGAGCGGCGTTTTGTCTTTCCAGGGCGTGTATTACACGCTGTATTGGCTCATTTCTCTCCTAAAGTATTGAATCATGCAATCCATGAGCAAGAGCGAGAAAAACGAGGTCGAAAACAGCGATATGGACGATGTGGATGCGAAAACACCCTCATTTGTGTGTTTTAGTACGCTCCGACTGTTTAAATGTATACTCTGCAACTGGTGAAGTGTTTGAAGTGGCGCTACCGTTCCAAGCAAATCGACTGATTCCGATACAAGGAAAAGGTCTTTTACTACAACGTAGTCCGGCAGTGGAGATCTTGACGACATCCTTGAAACGATCAAGAGATGCTGCAGCTGTAGAGTTGGCGAGAATAAATCGACGAGCAAGTACAAGTAATAGAGGAGATGGAGATCGATACAAGTATGGATCTATAGAGACAGGTATACCAGCAAGACCAAGGTATTTTACACTTCGACATCCACTGGATGAGGTTAAACCAGTGGCTCTAAGTTCGAGCAACGACAAGGTGATAGAAACAAGTAAGGAGACAGTTTTTTTATCCGACTCGGCATTGGACGCTGTTGCTGTGTTAGAAGAAGCAGCATTGCCAATGTTGGTGGCTTTTCATCGTTGGGAACAGAGGTTTTATGTTTTTGAGATGAAAAGAGTAAAGACGAAATCAACGAGATGCTCCATGCCAAATGTCAAAGCAGCTGACGGATCAACATGGACGAGATGCCGTAGAACAAATGAATTGGATGAAGTACGAGTGCCAATTGCACCTGACTGGCTGGCTGTGCCATTATGGAACACGCCTCGCGTTACATCAACGTCGCCAAAACCGATGGTCCTGTCGCCAATTCTTTCGGATTCTCTCATGACTACTTCTTCATCTGTTCCGCCGTCTCCAGTAGCGGTTAATGTATCCTCGAGTTCATCGCACACGATTACGAAAAGAGCATTTATTGCTTCCGATGTAGATGGCTTTCCGCTATTGTGCATTATGGACAAAGATGCTGGAACTTTATTTCTGAGGCCTTTGTCACAGCAAGAAAGCCCTAGAGCTACAAAAGACGACCACGAAACTAGTGACTTTCGTATCTTGCATTGTCGTGATGCTGTCCCTATCCGGCAGAATGACGGCAGAAGGTTGTGTGAAGATGAAACGAGCATTAGAGGCCGCAGCTATGAAGGCTTTGTCGATATCGTGGTACTTGAAAAAGCTGGTACTCTCATGTTGTATCGAGCACACCATCCGATTTGCAATCTCGTTATTCCTGGCATGGAGCATGGTAATCTCGCTGTTGACGTTACGAATGAGGATGGCTCGGATAGAATGCGGCTAGTAGGCAATGTCAAGCTGAACGCCGTTGACGGATGTGATGTATATGCGATCGTATTTCCAACTTTATGCGGTAACTTAGGTGGAAAGGTCTGGCGTTGCAAGCATCCGTTAACAATTGTAAGCTCGCCACTGCTACAGCACGTTTTCCAAGTGCTTGACTGCATAGTCCCACCTATGACGTTGTGCGCATTAAAAGCACAAGTAGTATGTAGAGCACAATTGAAAGTCCAAGGCACATTTACTGATGACGTAGCGATAAGTGGTGGGATTGAATGGCAGGCTTTCTGTGAATGCGTCCTCGGTCTGCTAACGAGTCAAACCAGCGATGATAAGGAAATGTTGTCATCCGTACTAGCTGGCAGTGCCCGTGATAAAAAAGACGGGTATGCTGCTCCTTCGTGTTCATCATCTTTTGATGCACTTTGCCAGAGCAAATACCATGACATATATCAGTATGAGCATGCTATGCTTTTTGCCACAATGGAGCTGCCAGTCGCAAAGTCTTTTGCGCATACTTCCAGCGGCAATCCCGACACTAGCAACGAAAATGCCTACAATAGTGAGAAACGGATGGAATCAAGAATCGAGGATCACGTAAAGACCATGTTTGTCGGACTTCATTTGCTCACCGAAGAACTGAAGCTGTCAATTACGCTCTTCCAGCAGCGGTTGCATCTCGTGAGCTTGTTATTGGATATGGGATTGGTGCTTGGTTTGGGTCAGTTTGTTGCCTACTATGGAGACGATAATTGCGTTCTTAAGCAACGAGGAAGGTTGACAGCGTTAGGATTGCAGCCCAGTAGACAAAAAGAAGGGCTACTTTCGTTTGCTACGTATGGTTGCGTGCCTGATGTAATGGTGTGGCTGCACGCAAAGATGACAGCAAGAACGGACAAGTTAGCGGCGTTTCCGGCGCTTTTGGATGATTCAGAGCACCAGTCGTTTTCTCGTGGTTGCCTGTTTCGACGTCCTGGAAATCCTCTTCGGCGCACTGAAGCGATTTGTCGAGCATATGAGCTGATCTTTACAAAGTCAGAAGAGCGTGTTCCTCAGTTGCCGACCGCACAGTCAAGTGCGTTCAAACTGATTGTTTATCTCACTCAAGATCCCATTGGTAGTGCACTATCGTTGGGCGATCTTCCGGTTGGTGTAAGCTTTCCTATCTTTCAAATTATTTGCCAAGTGAAGCAGCACCCACCACCTTTCATTACGGAAGATATCTGTGCATTCGTGGGTCGAGAAGATCTGAGTATTGCAAGCGCAGAAAATCTTGTTGTCGATTACTTTGGGGCCGGTCAACAGCATGATCGTGCAAGTAGCTTACTGAACCAGAGTATTCAAACAGAAGGTGATGTGGGTGATGACTGCGACGGTCTGAGAGACATTATACATCGAAGTCAACCGCTCTTCCCTGCCGATCAGAGGATGAAGGAAGTTGCTCGGCTTCTTCGTTCAAGTCGCCCTCTATGCTTAAAACTAGAGAAGACGCCAGATTTGTCCGATCTGGACTACGCACAGCAGCAGCAAGCTCGATTGCTGCTTCTCTGCAAACGATCCATGGCGCTGTCTGTAGCACGTGGAATGGTCACACTTGGTAGCTTTGATGTTTCTACTGCTCAAACACAAATATGGCGACTTCGCATTCCTGCACTACCTCTTGTTGGGCGTAAACCTCCTGCAAACGCGATCGTAGAGCTCGATCTGTCCGGCTACGCGAAAGAGTTAACTTATTGGCCTCAATTTCACAACGGATGTGCTACAGGCTTTCGTCTTCCAGCATATGATCTGTCTGGGGTCATCAATCGCCACTGGATCAAATATCATCGGCCTTCGGTCAGTGATTCTCCGCAACGAAACGCAGGTGGAACTGCTTTGAACGGACAGGCAGGAGCAACCCGTCCAGGTGATACTGCCACTTGCAATCTGGAAGAGGCTTATGCAGCCCATGCGGGATTATTGTTGGGATTAGGCCTACGCGGTCATCTTAAGTGCTTGTCCATGGCTGACGTATACAACTACTTATCGCTCTCGAATGAGTTTGTGACTGTTGCTATTATGCTTGGTATGGCCAGCACGGCTGCGCAATGCCGACGCAAGCGTAAACAGCAAGCTGCAGCAGCAAACCCTGTCACCAATAACGACGACATTCGATGTCCATCATCATCAGCTGAAGGCGCGGAAATGCCACCACTAGAAGTAGATCATTTTTTCTCCAGTTTCCCTGAGCTTTCATCGTCGGATAACACTCCGATACTTGGGGCGGGACTAGAATTAGCTTTGGAGCGATCGGTATCCAAAATGCTGTGCCTTCATGTACCATCATTGCTACCATCACCATTTGGAGGGTTTTCAGTACCTGCATCGACTCAGTCGGCAGCATTGCTGGGACTTGGCATTTTGTACCAAGGAACGGGCTATCGTTTGATGACAGAGCTATTGCTTACCGAGATAGCACGCTCTCCATCAAGCTCCCAGTTTGTGGGAGGCAATGGTAATGCGGGACTGTCGATGGCTTTGTTTGATCAGTTAGAGGGTTATGCTCTAGCGGCAGGAATGGCGCTTGGTCTTGTCGTACTTGGACGCGGTCAGACTACAACAGGAGACCCTGGATTAGCCGACTTGAAGCTGGAAGAAAAGCTTCACAAGTACATTGTTGGAGGAGCGGTACATTATCGGGACCTGAATGCGGCTGGAAGTTGTCTTTATCGTGGTCGTTGCTGGCAAGCGTTTGGCGGTGGAGGCAGTGGTGTTGGGTCTGCTGTTAATGGCAATGCTGCTAGTAATGGCTCGCCTAATGTCAGCACAGAAGCCTTTCCTGGTGCTGGTCGTGATACAAAACACTCTCATGACCGGAGCGGAACTCGTGGTGGCGGCGAACATGTAAATGTTGGGGTGACTGGTTGCGCAAGCGCTTTAGCACTAGCATTTATGTACATGCAGACTGACAACAAGACTGTGGCTGCACAATTGGCGGTTCCTGACACTCTTATCCTCCTGGAATATGTTCGTCCAGATATCTTGTTGGTTCGTACACTTGCAAAAAATTTAGTGATGTGGAGTAACATATTTCCAACGGTGCAATGGATAGAACAATGTGAAGTCCCTGCACAGCTTTATGAAGCGTACCAGTCGATCCTGAATGCAAGAGTGGATGTGGATCGATTGAAGCATTCAAGTGGATCGCCACCACATTTTGATCTCCACTTAATCTGTGAGGCCTATGCAAACATTGTTACGGGGGGCGTGCATGAGTATTGGGTTACGATTTGCTGGAACAAGTAACACATCAGCTCGCGATACACTTCGCAAGTACGTGCTCCACTTTCGTGAACTAAGATCGAACATGTCTTCGTCATTAGTCGTTGTGCGTGGAAGTAGCAACGTTGTTGCTGCTGCGACGGAACGAGCGACCGTTGAGCGGTGCTTAGCAGTGTGTGCACAGGCACTAGCTTTGGTTGATGCTGGAACAGGTCATATAGAAACACTCTCACTACTGCGCTCAATAACGTTGCGGCAACGAGTCGACGAGGCAATGAGCTACGGTAACCACATGGCTCTGAGTATGGCGATTGGATTGCTTTTTCTAGGCGGTGGGCGTGCAACTGTTTCTCGATCGAAGGAGGCTATTGCAGCACTTGTGGTCTCACTCTACCCGATACCTGCAATGAATACGGCTGATAACAAGTTTCATCTGCAGGCTTTTCGTCACCTCTACGTACTAGCTGTTGATACTTCACGATTGCTGGAAACCGTGGATGTGAGTACCAAGACTACCTCTGCAGTCAAAGTCCAGGTTGATCTCTTTCCTAGCGATAATGGTTTATTAGGTGAGACTCACCCTTCTTATCAAGTGCTACGCAGTCCATGCCTTCTCCCGGATATCACAACTATCAAGCGTCTCATTATCTCTGATCCTGACTTTTATCCGATTGAAATTCTTACGTCGCTTGATGAACACACACCCGTGGGCATGAAGACAGTGAAAACAGCCAACTCATTGCGGCTGGATCTTTTGCGGAACAAGAATGTGGTTTTTCTCAAACGCCGGCAACGAAAAAAAATCGGGAGCTTTGCCGGTTCTACTGATGACCTGAAGTTATTGCATGAAGTGCAGGAGGACCACAACGGCAGCATCAACAGCGAGGACCGTTTGCGGAGGCTATTTCAATTGTACTTTACGACGGGTACTGTCGACGCTGCCGACGATTATGAGGATAGCGAAGACGATGGTTGCCAGGTAGATGATGCAGATTGGGGAAGCAGTTGGTGGTCGTCTCAGCTGACCCCACGAGCACTAGAACAAGTATCGGACGAGGCTCAGTTACTGTTACCACCACACCTTAATGTGTTGTATGCACTTTTTCGGCTTCAGCAAGTGCCACATTTGGCATGTGCCACGGAGGTCGTGAATTTGAGCATGTTTAGTGAGTACTGTCGTCTGGATTTGTGTATGTCACCGACGAGTGAGGAAGAAGATTCTGAAGGCGTCAACTTGTCAGAATTTGTAGTGAAGAGAGCTTTACTTTCCGAGTTTGGTGTGTGGCTGTCACATCAACTGGAAGAAGCTCTTGGAGCACTCTGGCGCCGAACCTCGTTGGACATTACTTCGCTGGCTTCGGTACGAGTTCAGCTGCTGGGAGAAGCGTCGATGTCACCCACGACAAAACGAGCTCAATCCACACTGGATGCGTTCTTCGTAAATATGCTAGTTCGATACTTTGCTGGTCCTTCGGTCTCGTCACTCCCGATCGGAGAGCAGTCTCAACATGCTGACAAAGATTGGAAGGCCAAGTTTCAACGGGTATTGGCCGCATGTTCGCTTATCCAAGCTCAGTCGGGGGGCACCTTTTCGCCAGCCCGATTTCAGTTGTGTGCGTTTCTCGATCAGGATGAACTTACAAAGGGTGAAAAAACATTCTGGTTGAGGCTCGTGTCATTTTTCCTCTTTTCCAATCGGCAAGTGATGATGAAGGAATAACAAGAAAACGCTGTCATGGGTTTGTTAATGTTATTTGACTGTTATTGGTTTGCAATATTTCTTGATCGTGCTACTGGCTGTGTGAAGATCACAGCTATCACCTGGATCCGCTTGCAAATACTTTTTTTTCTATCTATTCAACCCGAACAAAACAATGAAAGTTAATCGTCGGGATGGCCGTTGCCTGCGGTGCTCAACTGGCATCTTCGTCATTGTCGCTCGTCAACCTGAAATCATGCATACGTACGCACATGAGACTTATTCATTGATCAATCAGAAAGCCTGCTGACGTTCCTTGCACGCTTTGTCCTAGTGGCCAAGAAGCATCCGCGCAAACCTCGCTCCTGCTCCTGTTACTACTACTACTACCTCTTTTTTTGGGAATCAGTATCTCTTTTTTTTTCATGACATGCATGGTTTTTCATTTTTCTGTTTTTTCATGCTCACCCACGTCACCATTGCCCTGGGCACAACTTCCTCAATTCAGTTTGGCAAAAGTGATTTTCATTTTACGTCTCTTGCGCGGCGACCCCACGGCAGGAGCCGTCGCCACCTCCAACGGCTTCTTCACTGCCTTTACGGAATGTGAACCAGCCCCTCGAGCTGCCGCACCGTTAGTCAACGTAGTGGAACATTTCTGGGCAACATTCAAAACTTTCCCCTCCGGACTACCATTTTCGCCCACAATATTGCCATCATGACCACGCTTACCTGTAATTACTGACGACAACACCTCCTTCACCTTTAGTGGGGTGTTGTTAGCCGAACCATCGCAGTCCGCAACTTCGCCTCCGTCTGCCGCAGGATCAGGACTTCCTGGCTGTGAAATGCTACCTTTGCCGGTGGCTATCTCAGTTGCAAGTAATTCCGTCTTCTGACTACTTGACAAGTCCTCGCCATCTTGCGAGTGCGTTCCCTCATCACCCGACGGCAAAGGACTCGGTGCTGCAGCCTCTTCTGCCTTTTTTCCCTCTTCTCTCTTCTTCTTCATAAACTCACGACGAGCGACACGCGCAACAGCTCGCCCGCCCATCTCTTCGAAAACATTCTCAGGCAGAGATTTCCAAACAACTGGAGTAACCCTTACATCCATAGTAGAGGTGCGCTTGTTCCACCGGTAAAGATCATTGTTTTTAAAGTACTCCACCGAGTTGTCAATGCTCACTTCACGACTGCGCAGTTGGCGACGGTCAACATCGAAGCCCACATAAAAGCATACACCAAACTTGCGACGTTGCGTAGAAGTATCACCATTGGGCTGCTCGCCTTCTGCCGCCTCATCACTCGTTACAAAACTCAGAGGGAACTTTGTTGGAAACGCGCGTAAGCGGCAGAGCGGCGGGTTGTACGCCAAAGACTCGACCAACTTTCGCAAACGAGACTCACAAAACCCGCACCATGCTTGCTCCTCGTCTTCCTTCTCCGTGTACACCTCGACCGCTAGGTAATGTTGATGGACAGCAAAGAAGTCAGAAGGCTCAAACAACGGCCCCCATTCCGATCCACCTTTGCTGAGCACGTCCTGCACAATTGTCAAGCCACGTTTGAACTCCTCCTTCATCACCATCAGACTATGCGTCGATACGTTAAACGAAGAGTTCATCGACGGGTACGCCGGCGTCAAAATCGGCATCACTTGATATCTAAAAGCACACAACAACTCATCATCAACAACAGTCATTTCACACATCATTTACAACGCAAAAACGTAAAAAAAAGAAATCAATAATCTGTTGTTGTTCACGTACCGATTATGGCCCGCGTTTGCATTCCAGACCTCTAGTCCAAGATTTGCATCGTGCGTCTTGCATAGTTGAATAGCAAGAGGCCATTTCCAGTTGTTTAGTACCATAAAAAACCGCAGTAATAACGTCGACGGTGCTGCAGTCGGGTACAATTGATTAATGAAACAGACTAAAATACACCAATTGACACCTCCAAGATATCCCATTTTATTTGAGTACAGTCCACGTCGCTTAGCCCATCGTCTTACAATCCGTAAGACACTGATAAAACTCTCTCGATTAGGTGTTAATTTAATCATCAGTTCGGTAACTCGTGGACCATTCAGACTTTTCTCCGTAGCTGGATCTACACCCACAAGTACTTGATTATCTAAAATATTGAGATTTTCAGGAATCGAATTCCGTGGCAAAATCGCAATCTGTAAATCAATATTAATCTCTTCATAATCAAACGTAAGAATCGGTACCACAGCACCTTCAATCGCCATTAAATGCGATACTTTAGGATGTTTCAGGAAAATCTCTTTCAGTGAGGAAAAAAAGTCCTCGCGTGTTACGTGCCGTGGTGCGACACAAATGGTATCAATATCAGCTCCTGGTTCATTCACACCAAGACGATACGAGCCTGAGACGAGAATTTGACCACCAGCATCTGCTGCCATTTCTTCTGGAACACCTTTAGTAATACAAATCTGCTTCACCCATTGGCGGAAAATCGAACGTAATTCAGCTAAAATTAAAGACCGTCGTGTGATGTTAACGTCTGATTCCGTCGGGAAATTCTTTTCCATAAAAGCTTGAAGCTTTAATGATTGTTCAATATCCTTTGGCTCGGGTGGAGATGTTCGTATGGCTTTATACGCCTGTTCAAGCACATGAGGCGCTACAGTAAACGTCGAGCTTTGCATCGAAGTGTTTTTTGGTAGTTTTGCTACGTGACGTTTCGTTGGTTAATTTGCGTTTGGGAAGTCAAAAGACGCTGTCTCTGTGTTTATGATTGGTTGAAAAGAGAAGTAGGACATAATGATTGGTAGATAAGATTGCATAAGATAAAATAAAAAGATTTTGTTGTTTTGTTTTATTTATTTTATAAATTAAATTATATTTTAATTTTAATCGTCATGGAACAAAAGGATGACAATGAGATTGAGACGCTCATGCCACGTACCAAGTGCGTCGTTCTTTTCCTTCTGTCGATTGTGATAATGTATGGATTATGTGTATGAATTGACAGATTATATTTTGACTTGTGTTTAGAGCTGCTCATGACCGTGCAAAGATCGATAAAGCCAAGTTGAAGCAGTTCATGGCCATACAAAAGATGCCGCAGAATAATGTTGCAGTGTACGAATCAATGGCAGGAAGACTGTTAGTGTTGTTGCAGATAATGTCTAAGTATTGGATGGATGTATTTTATTGTAGCCATACAAGTGTCATGGTGCGTGGTGATGTACGCAGAGACGCGGAAGGATTTGAGGATATTGATGACTTTTGGGTCGATGAAGAATCGATACAAGACGATTCAGTAGACGACGATGACGATGATTGTGTGTAATGTACAAAGTACAATTTATTGATCGAGTGCAATGTATTTATATTGGTGTAAAAGATCAATGCTGACGCTGCTTGACTGTTTGGACAGCGCTGACGGTGTCGGATAAGGAGTCAGCGGACACGTCTGGGGACGTTTCAGAGCCGAGCGAGCATGAGGTAGAACTGCCAGATATTGGCAGTCTTTCTTATAGCGATCGCGAGAGCATGGATGTCGAGGCGGGACCTATCCCATCTTGGACGCAGAGCAGCAGCAATGACAGAGTGGAGAAGGAGAAGGAAAAGAAGAAGAAGGACACCTCACTATCACCAATGCGAAGTGATATTTCCTTTGATTTTGGCGGTTCACCTCATGGATCTGTGGACTTGAATGACAACAAGAACGTTACAATGCGTAAACGACGCAGCACAAAGTCGACTGGAAAGGATACTGAGAAGGAAAAGTCAAAGGATCGCCGACGAGAATCGTTTGGTAAACAGGGCTTTGACGACGAAACTATTAGTCCATTCTCTATGAATGATGGCCCGGTTACTCCACTGTCGAATGGTTCGTTGTTGTTCCCTGCACATTGAAGCGTGCTACCGAGCGCCCCTTAGAACGTTCGTTTGACTGACGTGTGCATTGCTTTGATGTTGTGTTTTTGTCAGCGAGCGATCGTACATTAGAAAAGCCGATACCGTCATTTTCTGACAAAAACTCTCTTTCACCGAACATTAGCAAAGAACTGTTCAAGAATGGTGGATATGGTAGCGATGCCAGTGATAAGAAGTCTAATAAGAAGCAACAACCGAAAAAAAGTCAAAAAGGCAGGCACCGGAAAGCAATCAACTGATGGGGCTAAGAAGACGCCCCGACTGAGGCCAACAGGCAAATACGGCTACCGAACAACTCCGCCCGCAACAGATACGTCAATTCAGTCTGTACAAACGGACGATGATAATGACGAATCTTTCGAAGCGCAGAACGATTCAGGTGGTGAGACAGGAGATGATAGTTTCTACAACGAGCCAGAAGCGCCTAGTGGCCCGGTTCGAGACCGGCTTCCTGACGCGTCAAAGATTTTGGACGACGATGGAAATGACGACGCGTGGGATGGCAGCGGATTGCGTCGATCGAAACGAAGGCGTTTCAAACCGCTTGCTTGGTTCAAAAGTGAGCATATGGTGTACGAGCGGACGTTTGTTGGTGTGGGCACGGTGATGCCTACGGTAGTTGGCGTAGAGCGCCTTGGCCATGACTCTCCAGCGTATAAACGTACAAAAGCCAAGCCTCCGTCAAAGAAGACCAACAATAGCAGAGCGTTGGCTTTCAAAAATCTTCCAAAGGACGTGCAAAAGAGGATCGTGGACAGTGAGTGGGCAACACTCTACGACAGCCAAGCAGGCTGCATGAACGATCTGAACATCATTTGCCGCTCTAGCGAAATCCGTCTACGCAAACTTCCAACGGAAGAGAGGGGTGGCGCTGTGGTACACGCGTACGCGGGGCAGAGTTTCAACCTGTTTAGCCCGTCTCCATTTGCTCGCTGGATCTCTGGGCGTGTCGTTTTACCTCCCGGTGCGTGGAAAGAACCGGAGGGTGTTGGTCAAGCGGTGCAGTTGTTTTATGTTACAGGATGCCAGCCCAAGGCACTGGAACTGGCAGTGGCGCCTGAGACGGACGACGACTTTTTCACTAGCAAGCACACGACACACTTTTTGCTTAGTCCAGGTGATGAGTTTTATGTGCCGACCGGTAACGTGTACTATGTAAAAAATCACTCAAGCTCGGCGGATTGCGATTTGCGATTCACAATCTTGAAGCCCGAAGCCTTGCAGATGCCTATGGATGACAACGAGGACGCAGAAAAGAAGAAAGAGCCGACGATTACGTCCGAGCCGAAAGCTGTCGAAGCAACAACGAGTCCGCCCAAGCGCAAGCGAGAAGAAGACATGAGTGCAGAAGGTGATTCTGACTCCGTGTAGAGATTGACGCAAGTCAGTGTACAGTCTAGCAGCAGTCTCAGTACATTTGTTTCGTATCTCACCTCCTTCATCGTAATCTCATTGTCACCGAAGAGCCGGAAAGTGTCTGTTGTTGGTAACACCGGCTGCTGTTGATTATCCGTTTAGCAAGTCTATAAAGAGGTTGTAACATGACATGACACGGATGATTGCCACTTGATGCTGGAAATATAGATGCATCCATCAACGAAAAGTTTACAGTAGCAAAACATTTGCCAACTTTCTGATCAAATTAATGAATGAATCAATCAAAACTCGTGTCATGCCGTCATTACATTACGAGCATGACAAGTTTGCACGAAAATGATGCGTTTAATGCACTTCTGACGTCGTCAACTCAAGTGACGATTGCTCAAGGACAGCAGTTTTGCTATAAAAGCAGATGGAAGTTCAATACATATCGCCGTTTTGCTTATGAATAGGTGGACGTGTCCAGCTGCTGAAACCAAAGTAATACTTGTCAATCGTAATTTCTCGAAAGGTTGTTAGTGGTCAACAGGTTGAACGTCAGACAGTCAGAAGACCAGCAGGAGAGAGTTTACTGTCGATATTGTATACTGTTTACGTCCAGTGTTGTAGAGTACCAACACGCGAGTGCATATTTATCCAGATCCCGGCCTAACAAGCTGCTTGATATATATATACGTTAAATGAATCCAGCATTTTCATCGTCCAAGTATGTTTGGCAGTCTCTCTTGGTACATGACGATATCACATTACTGACTGGCAAAGTGTGATTGATATAGGATGGACGAGAGTATTAAAGAAGGCAGCGTTGCAGTACGCGGTCACTTTATGGTATGTGATAACTTTACGGTGATATCGACTCATGATGTAATCTCACTAGTTGTTGACGTGTTTGTTCAGTGGCGTAATCGATACGTTATTATCAAGCCAGGAAATATGACAATACGTCGTCGACGAGAGGGATCAATTAAGGCCAAGGTTTGTGTTCACGTTCATCATTGACTTTATTGCATCGTATTCATCCATCCCATTCTGTGTTTCCTCCTCTCAGGTTGACTTGCTCGATCCCAACATTAAGCTCACGTTTCTGGGTGGACAGTCACTGCTTACAATTTCCATGCACGGTCACGATATTGTGTTTGACCTTCGCTCGACTGTCACGCGGGACGAGTGGATTAGTTCTATAGTAAGTGCTCAGGGGCGTCCAGGTTCAGGTTCACAAATGGAATGTGATGAGAATGACACGGAGCTTGTTTCCGACGACGAAACAGAAAATGAAGGACACCAGCGAAGCTCAATGATCAGCACGGGATCTGATAAGAGCGATGCGATGGATGAAGACAGCGAAGAATATAACGACGCTCTGCTTGCGTTGCAAAGTGTGCGCGATTCTGTAATGCAGTGTCAACTCTCGATGGGGGCAGCCGAAATCGATACTATTGGTTGCCCTGATGACGATGCTGCGACGCCTGTATTCACGAAGGCTGCTCCATTACTTCGACGAATACAGAGTGCGCAGCGTAGTGAAGAGGAACTACGACAAAAGCGACTCCGAGCTCTATTGGCGATGATTGAGAACACACCGCATGGCGGGCGTGTTGCACTGTTGCATCTTGGTGTGGCGGCGTCTGTCGGTATTACTGTCGGTGATATGCTGCTGGCACTTGGAGAGAAACAAAGAAACATTTCACGTCAAGGGTCAGTATCTCCACGTACTTTGAGTATGCAAAAGCATAACGTAGCGGCATTTGTTCGTGATATTCTATTCCACCCCATTTACTCTAAACGCAAGGAGGTCAATACTGACATTGTACAGGGCCTCATCGACTTATTCTTTCCACATTGCCGCTCGACGCGGCTAAGTGATGACACGTACTGGCCGAATGCTGAACCAATGCAGCCATCTTCTGGAAACAATGTATACAGAACCACAGCAAAAAGTGAAAATGATGCTGATGTTGCGACGTCGAGAAATGGTGCACCTGCAACCGGCAACGTAACACCATCGACGGCAGCAGTACGACAAAGGAGAAAAAGACGCAACCATTCGTTTCCAAACTTGAGTGGAATAAGTCAACTTGTAAAAAACACAGGGCTGCTACAGATTTCAACCGATGACAATGATCGATTCATTACGTCGAAAAGGCGTGAAGAAGGAAGTCATCGACTGCGTGACAACATTTCCGTTCTCTTTGCTCCGATGTCACCGGTTTCAAACCGAAAATGTCCCGACGGAGGAAAAGATGGTGGACTTCCTGGTGTGAATGCGAGTACAGAATTCAACACCAATTCATCCGAGGAACTTGATGTAGTTTGTGAAGCTGTCCCGCTTCCAGTTCCATTACGAAGTATGCTTTGTGAGATGTCATGTTTCGAGATGGCTGAACAGCTTACGCTTTTTCATTACTCACAGTTGACAAATGTACATCCTTGGAAATTTCTGCATAATCCTAAAGAAGCTGCCAAGGAGCTGACAGATCATTTTAATCGGTTGGTCGCATTTTTTGTGTGGTCCGTGCTGGTAGAAGAATCTCCAAAAGAGCGCGCCGAGGTCATCGAAGATATTATTGCAATTGCTATGGCCGCAAGCGCTCCGCCTCTCAATAATTTCCACTTGGTCATGGCTTGCGTAGGGTGCCTTGGTGACATCCCATTAATGTCTTCACGAATGCCAACAACGTGGAAGAAGGTCCGTGCCAAGTATAAGACACGACTTGGTGAGCTGCGACAACTCTGTGATCACACTGGCGGTTTTGAGAACCTGCGACGCAAGCAAAGTGTTGAGAGTGCTCGGGTCATGCTATCGAACGACGAACCGAACACGTCAGCCATTCCTTTCATTGGTGTCATTGGTGTCATGCTTGAACGGTTGCGCTCAACGAGCTACTTTACTGTCAAAAAAATGCTTGATCTTGAAAAACTCGAGCGGCAATATATGGTGCTCATTGTTTTGGAAAATGCACTTCTTAAACCCGCTCCAAAACCTTGCCAACGTGGAAGTACATCACACACTGAGACCGCAGCTGAAATGACCCTTCGTTTGCAGCATTTCTTCCGGACTCTTAGTATGGATTTTTCCACGTCTCGACTACATCAACTGCGATCACAGCAAATTCTGGCCAGTGAAACGAGTCCAGTAGGCTCATCATCAGCTTCATTTATACAAGGGGCAACTGTGAATTGGAGTAACAGAGGAGGAAATGTATCTACAGCCAATCTGCCAGCCAGCAGATTGAATCCATACGGACCAGTTGGTCCTAGCGATGACTCTGGATTGCCATTCGTGTCGTTTCGAGATATCTGCATTCTGTTGGTATCCGTGCCTGATTATCGCGAACGGATGCAAATGGCACTTGAGGCTTTGTTCGTTGATGGCCGTCAGCCAGCTACGCAGTTCTTGCGCAAGTTTTGGCTCGATTTCAAGCAGAATGTATGGATATCGGGTATTGGCCCCACGCTCCACAGTCTGAGGCTATGTGTATCTACCTTGTATGAAGAAATCATGACGCACAAGATTAGCGAAATCATGCAGATCAGCGGATTGAATGAGCATTCGGACGATCTGCACGCTATGATATACGCGAAGATCGTGGTTTTGACCGTACAACCCCTTTATTTAAAAATCGTGTCGAAAATCAAGCGCAACTACATGAAGGACGACGTTAATGCAGCAGCACGATTACAGCATAGCACACCTCAGATTGTAACTGATACGAGCAAACCGACGATGCCGTGGAGCAGCTGCAGTTGCAGCTCTCCCGTGGAGTTGCTGGATCTTGTTTTTCAGTTAGTCACGCTGCCATGTGCTAGCACCACCAGTGCCGCTGCGGCTGCAACCGACCACCAACTGGCCGCAGTTGAATTGCTTGGAGCACTGCAGCACGAAGCCCGCCACACATTTCTTGCCACGAATCCTGTGAGCAGTTTGTACCTAATGAAACAGATCCTGGATCCAAAGTACCTGCCTCTTGCCAAGCAGCAAGCGCTCGAAGTCTTTATCACTGCAGTGACATGGCTGCGAAAGGAGCAGCAACAGTCCTCGGACAAACCCGTATAGGAGATTTTGTATCAAAAGTCATAAAGCATGTACCCTATACTACATCGTGGCAAGCCGTTATGACGACGAAATTAGACATAGATGTTGTTATTGTTGTTGTTGTGATAAACCGTATTATAAGTTTAATTGCCACCACAAATACAACTCATGGAGAGATGTTCAGAATATATATATATATATACAAGATCTCGAGACATAACCTCAAACTTCACGTTCAATACTTATAGATATAACCATGCATACAAGGTAGAGTCTAAATAGTTAGTTCGTCACAATACCGTTATATATGATACCACGAGATTGACAAAGAGAGGTTGAATAAAAAAGTATCTTTTCAAACTACTTCATTACGTGTGTAGCCATAGAGAGATAGAGACGGGGTCGACGTCTTGTCGTCAACCAATCACAGTACGGGGCATATTGACACTTCATTTTCCCATTCCAAACATCGTCCTGTTGTAAAAAGGCTTTCTCATTGCGGAACAAGCGCGCACTCGTCCGCAACCCGCTTGATTACAAACAACACATACGATCCCCCGACTTTTCACTATACATTGACACTGTACCCTTCTTTATTATCTCCCTCTACAATGGAATTCCATATTTCTTCTACCTATTACAAAAAAGAGAGAGTGAGTAGAGCCAATTTGTTTCTGTCCAAACATTTTTCCTACTTTTTTTTGATTATTCTTGATCAGAAAGCCATCCCTACATCTGCGACACTCTTTTATCCCATCAGGAAGTAATAAATACTAGATGCAAGTTTAGACTCCTATATTCTATAGTCTAAAGCATTCTTGTCCTCTATTTGCTCTACTAATAGGTCGTCGTCTTCTTGAGGATGTATACGCTAACTCAAATGCTCCGTGTTTCCGCTTTGCTCTACGCAATATTCGCCACAAGTTCCTTCATAAGTGGTACACTCAATACCTTGACCACAAGCTGTAATGGTGGTTGTGGCAGCAATGGAACTTGTATTATCATTGGTCAACCCTCAATGAACTCGATCAACTGCGTCAATGATACCAACTGCGTCACGTTATCGTCGGGACAGTCGGCTCTATGTCTCAATGCCTTCAACTCGACAGCTACTGAGTGGGTCTTTCGTCCAGCAGAAAGTGATGATTCAGCAGGCGTTGGACCTTTTGAACGCTTAGGATTATTGCAATTGGCTGATCATGTTACAGAGCTGACCTTTAGTAAGGCAGAAAAGGGAGAAAAACCAATCTATGGATCGCTGGCACTTGCGTCAATGAACATTCAACCAAGTGTCATGCTAGATAAAGTGACGTTCAGCAATTTAACTTTGTCTGGATTGGACAGCGCCTTGCCGCTCAATGGCGTTGAGAAAATGTGCGTCATTATACTGATACTGAAGAAGCTGTACACAAACATGTAGAAATGGCGACGGACGTGACTTTGTCTTCTTTGTTTGTTTGCAACCAGATATTTCAACAATTGCTCGCTACGTGAGATTCCTACAGCTGTAGTTGCTGGGGACTCCGTCAATGTCATGTAAGTCAGTCGATGGTCTATCCGTATGAGAATAAAATTATTGACCCCCGTCACTTTGTTTTGATTGCTGCAGTGACTTATCCAGTAATGACATCTCCAGCGTCGGCACCAAGTTTCAGGAAGAATCGTTTCCAAAACTAACGATGCTGTACGTGGAGTCATGTGCATTTTTCAAGTATCTACTAAGGCATACTGACCGCATTATCGTTTTGCTATGCATGCAGTGACTTATCGTCAAATGCTTTGACTGACTTTGATCTTGAGGCAGATAATTTTCCAGCCATCACAACCCTGTGCGTGCCGTTCTTTCTTTGAGTCATTATCGTTTTGTATTGCTTCTATGACACTGACTGTTTATTGTTGTTGTTTCTTTGTCGGTGTGCCTAGCTCTCTTCATGACAACTTGCTCACATCCGTACCCAAAGTACTCTTTAATTTGCCGACGTTGCAGTTCCTCACGCTGGCAAACAACCCCATCAATGCTTCCGACCTGACAGCGCAACAGTTCGCGTTCCTTGCCAGATTGCGTACGTTTACAATTGATGGCACCACCAGCACGCGCATATGTCCGACCGCTGTAATTCAGAGCGCGCTTAATCGTTCCTTCACATTTTGTGTGGGGCTTGACGATGTCAAATCGCCGAATGCTACAGCTACCCTGCAACCTGTGTTAGAAGTACCGATAGCTTCTGAAGTCAGTCCATCGCCCTCGTCATCGAAAAAGAAGACATGGGTCATTATTGGTGCGTGTCTGGCGGCTGCCTTGTTGGCATTAGCCATCGGCCTTATTTGGTGGTGCTATCGTCGGCGAAGAAACGAACTACCAAAGCTCACAAACAGTACCGTTCCATCAATTGCGATTGGCATGGGCGACTTGTCGGATCACTCATACATGGAGCTAGGTGCTTGCCGTTCCACCAACGCCTCCAGTCAAACATCAGATTTTCAACTCCTTGCGTCCGTTGCAGACGGGTACATCAGGCTGGCTCGTCTATCCTATCGTGATGTTTTCCTTCATAAAATGCTGCGTGTTAGTAGCCGCTCGGAGCTCTGGCTAGGCGAGTACAAGCATGAGGCTGTGCTTGTCAAGAAAATCAAGAAGAATACTGCTTCAAAGTCATTACTGCGAGACTTTGTTGCAGAAATCGAGCTAATGTTTGAGCTTAAACACCCTCGCATTGCTGCTTTCCGAGGTGCCATGTGGGATGCAGATGGGACGGAGCTCTGTGCTGTAGTCGAGTACGTTGAAAAGGGCGCTTTACGAGACTGTACGGTGAACGATGCTGTCGAGCTGCCCGTGCCAAAGCAGCACGCCATTGCTCGACAAATCTTGGAGGCTATGGCATTTTTGCACAAGCAGAGCATCGTGCACGGCCGATTGAATACGTTCAACATCCTGCTCGATAAAGAATACTCGGCCAAGCTGAGTCTTTTCAGTATCTTTCACTATGTCAAGCTTTCACCTTTGGACACTGAATGCAAAATCTTTGTGGCTCCCGAGATACTGCGCGGTGAGCAGCCGACAGAAAGATCAGATGTCTACGCATTTGGCGTGGTACTCGTGGAGATTGATACTGGCGAGACCCCTGTGATGAACGCTCGAAAGCTGTCGATGGAACGGCCAAGTGTCGAAGATGATCTTTCTCCGACAGCAAAGAAGACTGGATTTCGTTTAAGCCGTTTCTGCTCCGGTGTGATGAAGGAAACGATTGCTGCATGTCTCGAGAAAGATCCTGCACGACGACCGTCAATGGCTGATGTGGCGATAGCTTTCAAGAATGGTGCGATGACGCTGTAAGTTTTTTGCTTGGCAATAGTTCCACCAACACAAGGCGTGGCATGTCTATCATCAGGTTGGATGTCATCATCTTAATTCCTGTGCTAGCTGGACGTGTTGCACTCTTCCCTGTAAGTACAATATAAAGTGATATGTGGAACGCCTCTCTGTGACTTTTCACCGCTTACAACATGTGAATACTATTTATCCAATGAGGTACGTGTTCATGAAGAGATGAGGAAGGTTTGTTGGATTTTCATTGTACAATGCACGTTGAGCCTATTTTCCATGACAATTGTTTGAAGCAGTATACTATCACCCACTCTTAAGATAGTGTTTACATCTAGGCGTGAGTAGAAAGAATCAAATGACAAAGAGAAAACATGGTTACTTGCATCCGTGGTCGAAGTACAGTAGTTGGTTCAGATGCTTTGACATACAATCAACAAGTCAAAATATGGTGGACGTGCCTTCTTTTTGTTGCTAATGGAAAAGGAAGGGGTCGAAAAGTTGTCCGACTATGTACAATCGTTTATGCCTTGCTATGAGCAAAATGATGATGATGATGAACTGTGCGATATCGTTACTTCGGGTGCAATTCCTATTAATTATTATAGTCTGTATTTTCTTACAATAGATAGTATCGAAACAATCTCGAATGGATCTGTGTAACAATACATGCTGTACTTGTAGTCAAGGGTTCTTACAAAGTGGCTGCTAACACCTGGTCCTACAATTAAACGACTTTAAGCCTATGGTTCAATGATGGTCCTTCTAATCCTCTTCAATAATCGGAAACTTTGCAGCATTGTCAAATAACTGACAATGAGATGCAAAACTATACATTACCCACTTGTCTTCATTTCCTCGTAAGCTGTACAAAGTGAGAGAGAGAAAGACATTGTACATGCAATTCTAGTATTGTACGCAAGACGAGATAGCTGAGGCCAAACATAAAGAGTCTGTAAGCACCTGTTACGATCCGGAGCGTTACGTGACAGAAACATCAAAGACGAGCCAATCGATCCTGGGTTTTGAAGCTCCACCATCCGTTGGGTTCAGGCGAAAAAGTACCGTCTGCTTAATACCGAATCCAATAGGATAACAACCACGACTCGAGTCTACAGTCTGCCATCGTGCAAGGCTTTTCTCTCGTACGCAATATACAGACATAACTCTGAGTGCTCCAAAGTAGCGGCGAAACCCGCTCCATTATTCAGATTAAGAAAAAAGTCGGCTGCTCTCCTGCTGTCGGACCAGGCAGTTGTTAGTCTCATAGGAGGAATATACATACATTATAGCTATATAACAAACACAGACGGTCTTACGTTTATTGTAATTAGGTAAGGGCGTGAGTGTTTGTCTCTCTCTCTCTGTCCTCCTCGTCCCCCCTTTGGTCCAACTCAGCCAGTCCCGTGGATGCTGCGGCTTTTGACTTTTTTCCAAGCCCTTATCTTCCTGCATGAAGAACTCCTCCACTAACGACGACAACGTCGACATGAACGCAACGTGGCTGCAGCAAGTGACACCGGCAGACGAGTCGAAGCACGAAACCATGCCAACGCTGGAGCTCACTGCAAGTAGACACCGACTGGCAACCATCATGAATACGGATGAAGTTGCGGCTGCTGCAGTACTGATGGGACAAGCTACAGCAGCCAGCAAGAGCTCGCTTGCCTTCATCTTGGATGGCAATATGGACGAGGACCAGGCCCATTCGACTGGCGCCAGCTTTGGTACGTTACGCTGAACATTGCAGACGAAGGCCTGGATTTGCAGATGGAGATCTCCGTGTTTGCACGGACTGATCACGTGTTTGCTGGCTTCATTCGTCTTAATGCGTTCGCAGCTGATCTCAAGGTTGATTCAAGTGTTTCTGCAACGGAGAACAGGTCTGTAAACGTGCCAACTTTTGCAGGAGCAAAAGGTGCTGTAAAAAAATCGCGTATCTGTAAGTTTGACAATTGCACGCGTTACGTGGTCAACCGTGGGCTTTGTATTGGTCACGGCGTAAGTAGCTTTTGCAGCTTCTTTGTGGCAATTTCATCTTGTTGTACGTTTGGAGCTGTTCATAAGCATGCGTTGTGAACATATATACATACCTGATACAGGGTGGCAAGCGATGCGCTGTCGTTGGGTGCACGAGTAGTGCTAAAAATTTGGGTGTGTGTTGGAAACACGGTAAGCATGACACGATCTCAGATAGGTGGCTTCATGATTTGCTCAAAACTTTGCTCATTAACATGTGTAGGTGGTTCCACCAAGTGCACAATGACTGGATGCGAAAATCGTGCCAAGTCTCGTGGCGTTTGCTGGTCACATGGTGGAGGTAAGGAAGTTGCCGTCGATCCGTTGTAAATAAATTGTTTTTTTCTAACTCGACTGTCATTCACCAGGCCGCAAATGCAGTGACGAAAACTGCACCAAGACGGCAGTCTCTCACGGTCTTTGTTGGGCTCACGGAGGAGGTGGGTGAGCTGCATTGAGTTGATATTTTCTTCTAGAATTTTTCAACAAGTTTTTCTAGGCCGTATGTTTGTTTGCCTGCTGCTTCTCACTCGTTCCAACTACAGGCAAACGATGTGTTGTAGAAGGCTGCCGTAAGCCTGCGTACGAGCGCAATGGCAACGTTTGCTCCCTGCATCAAGCTACTAAAGCTAGTGCTTTGCGACAGTCAGAAGAGCGATGATCGTGATTTCCGCTCAATTCGTAAGCTCGCGCAAAACTAGAGTATCATAGGAGACTTGCGCTAGCTCCATTCACACTAGAGACGCTCGTGGCGGGGATAGATGGAAAGAGTAGGGAGGCGCGTCGAGTATTTATTGTCACGATAACTTTGACGCACTTCGAGCTTGTAAAAAAAGGCAATCCAAATTTTTCTTGCAATCTGTTGCCCAACAACATCTTGGTTTGATACTGCTTTTACAGCGTGACAATCACTGAAAAGACGAGACGAAAGCTGAGTAGGGTATCACAAATGTAGCGCTTCTTCAGCGGTAAAATGACGTCGCCATTACAATTAAAGCGGAATAATATGCGGAATCTGTATTCATCACGGAGATAACGCATTCGTTCCGTCGTTTGTTGCTGTAGAATCGTTCTTCTTCTTCTTCTTCTTTTCTTCTTTTCGTAAGCAACACATTGTGTTATTGTCTTCATAACTCATAGTAGTGTCATCAATAGAGTAGATAAAGCGTCTTCAGCGCCTCGTGAATGCTACTTTCGGACATTATCTCTGTCGCCAAAAGAATCAGCTGTTGCATGATTCATTGTATGCGACAACCACCAAAACAAAAAGAGCATGAACGTATTGCAGGCATTTATGGATTCTGTTGTTCCATTCACGAGACGTAATTGTTCATTCAGAAAATCAGACTCATCCTGTTTTTGTCTTGAATATACATCTTCAGTTTATGGCTACATTGAATCAGTGTCCCACGTTTTTACTGTAGCCATTTATCGGAGGTGGCAGCTGAGTCCCTAACTTACGCATAAACGAATCAGGAAGAATCCGATAAATTTTTTCGTAAAAACCTTTGGCATTTTATGCACTATAATCGATGGCAAATGATTGGAATAGGATGCTCGAGGATTTTTTTATCTTAGGTACAGCCTTTTTTCTTATAAATTTGTCCAGGTTTGATACCTGACACGCTTTTCTGCAACGATATTTACGATTGTAAACACGGTTCCATCCATGGTCGATGGCTAAATAACCTCATACAAAGCAAAGTATCCAATAGCTCCATACAGCACTCTGCTCATACATAAGCTTTGGTAGAGAGAGACCCACTAATGCCAACGTACACTACCCCATTAATCTTTACACGTCGTTCGGTTGAGCGTGATGATGATGTTGTACCAGTCTTTCGCCAATGTTGTTCATAGCTACCAATTGGCCATGACGCTGGCAGCAAGTTTTGTTGTTGGCCACACTTGTGGTCATAAACTTCAGTGCAATGTGTTTCATCTCGATCCAATGACTTATACAGCTTGGACAGCAAGTACGTTGGCATTCTCGTATCTTTGCTAGCATCCGATCAGCAGCCGAACAAACATTGCGTTCAAACTCAATGTTTCTCTCCTTTAACTCTTTGCATTGGGCATAACTGGCGGTTGCTAGACAATCAGTAAAACAAAGTTAGTGAATAAATACTGGGCACAATCTTGCATATCTCTACAAGCACAAACTACCGATTCGCTGTGATCTCTTCAGTTTTGCATTTGCCCGGTCCAAATCGTGCTGAATATGCTCTATCTGTTGTTTGGTTTGCTCTTGCTGCTGTCGAAGGCGCACCAACTTGTTCTCCAGTCTAAACGAATGGCTTGAAGTCAAACGCTGAATCTCATTGACACGATCTAGCTCATCCTTCATCTCTCTCATACGCTCGGGAAGATGCGATACCGTTTGAGTTGTCCTATTGTGACTTGTACAGAGTTCTGCTCTCAAGCTGCCACCTCGATTGCGGTGAAGTTTAGTCACGTGTTCTTCCTCGCGAGCTCCAATGGACAAGTACAAGCGAATCCGGCGGCTAGCTTTGCGTCGACAAACTGGACAAGCTGGACGCCTTACAAGAGCTTGTGTGGCACAAGTGTCATGAAAGACGTGGCCGCACACCAGAGTTGCCAAGTCTTCCTCCATATTTTCGAGACAAATTGCACACGCATTCGCAATGCCTTCATTCTTATCGTCGTCGTTGCTATTTGTCATTGGTGAATGCTCAAACGATAGCGCTATGGATGAACGTCTAAAGTGACCTTAGTTTGAAGTCGGAACGGTGTGATGCCATCATCTTTGATGGGATCCGACGACATGAAGAACATAAGCATCGGATGAACGTCGCGTCCCGTGTAATCTCAAACAATCAATTAAAGTCGTCGATATGCTATTGTACATTTGAGTGTTATATTAACTATATCTACGTTCCTAGATGTGTAGCATGGCTGCAACGTAGGATGCACTGGGGCGTAGCGATGGATCGTATTGAAGACACGCAACTGCAAGCTCCCGAACCGTCACGGGACACCCGGGCGTAAATGCAAACATACTCATGAAGCTTGTGTCATCGTTGTTGTGGGCACCCAACAGAGGAGTGGTACGTCGTCGATTTTCCTCCAGAGTAAAGCTCTGGGAGCTGTGTAACAAGTGGAAGCTATTGGTACTTGGCAAACCTTCAAGCTGAGTGGTGCGCCTCCGCAAGTTATCGGGGTCACTCTCAGCAGTATTTGTCGATACAACCGTGCCGTCGGTGGAAAGAAGGGTGCCATTGTCCATGTCAAAGTCGCCAATGTGTGTACGCATTCTCCATGAGCTTCGAATCATTTCGTCTGCTGTTTGGCATGTGTCAAGATGTGCAAGTAGCACACCGTACGCGTACATGTCCGATGATGCTCGAGAGGGCTCGCCGATCAAAATTTCCGGAGCGAAAAATGCCTTGTTGGTCGAGTCACATCCGCGGTAGAATGACTGGCAGCTATACGGAGATGATCCGCCCGTAGGGAGTGCTGCTTGGACCGGGTTTAACTTGCAGCCCTTTTTAGGATCTACGAACACGCTTCTTCCATTGAGGCCATCATAAGTGACCATGTGCTGGCTGTGCAGGTACATCAGTCCACGCGCTATCTCAGCTGCTGCTTTCATTTTAAAGTTCTTCCAATTGAGCGTAGAGCCGGAACCGCGGAGATATGCTTCTAGCGTTCCCAACGTCATATACTCACACACAGCAGTCATCGCAAGCCGTTCGTCCCAAACAAGTCCAGCAATTGAGAGAAGCTGGGGATGGCACATCTGTGATAGCATAGGAACCATTTCCAAAGCGGCCTCTACGTCGTCGTCGCTAGCCAGAAGTTTAGTTACAAGAACCAGTTGTGTCCGATGCGTTGCCAGGGAAACACTCATGGGGCCAGAAATTGACAACTGGTTCAGTATCACAACATCGGCGGCTGGAATTTCAGTGAATACAGCCTTACGAAGTCCACCGCCAGTATTATACTCGTTCAGTGATACCTTAAAGTCCATAGACTGAGTCCCGTTGGACACCCCCATCAGTGCAAGAAAGCCTTTGAAATTGATTTTACCTTTGCCGCCACCCAACACAAGCGAATCATGTTGATCCTTTGCTGTCTTTTGCTTCCATCTCCGCAGGAGTACAACACCGCCAACCACAGCCAGAACTGCAAAGAGCGTAAGACCTAAAACAACAAATAGCATGACCGAGCTGCCGTTTCTCTCGCTTGCTGTAGAGAAAGTGCTTTCTTCATAACCAGAGCTACTGATCTTGTCGAGACCAACATCGTTTGTGTAGCACACGCTTTTGCCAGCCCATGATGTAGCTTCGTAGCCTTGAGAACAACTTCCAATGACTGTCAGGTTGGCTTCAAACACGGGTAGTTCCTGCAAATACCGAAGCTGAGGTAAAGTAACGTGCGCGTTTGAGATGGCGTTGCTTTGTAAATACAATGCCGATAAGTTGCGCATTTCATAAATAATGGTAGGGATCTCAGACAACTCATTGTCACGAAGGTCTCTGAAATATGAACATGTCGGCATTAGCACCTTATCATGGTAGGATCAAATATCTTCAACAAGTACTTACAATATGGATACCGATGTGAATGCGTGTGGACCACGAGGATCGAACTGAGTGAGCTTTGCTCGTTGAATAATACTACGATAAACGGATCAAAACACGTCAGATCATGCCAACGAGCGTACATGAACACAATAACTTACAGTGACTTGAGAGAGTCCGGAAAGATATTCGTCAGCATATCGCCAATGCTAACGTCTGAAATTACACTGGAAATCAAAGCAACAAAAGACCGTCAGCTTGCATTCATAATGTACCAGAGCTATCTCTCCAATCATACGGACATTTGCTGCAGCGATGTACCGCTACGAAAAGCATTTGATGAAAAAGTGAGGGGGGATAGTAATGTGCGAACTTGTAGTCGCGCCCACAACCGTCCTATAAAAATGACGACAATATCACAAATAGCGTCAAATCAGCTACCACACGTAGTAGTAATAGCAAGTCCATCAAACTCTACGTACAAATTCTGCAAGGTCGAAGGCAACATAAGGTCGTCAATATTCTGGAAGATCGCCGTATCCGCTTTGTCGCTCTGTGGCTGCGCAATAGTCAGCGTCCAGTGTGGATTAATCCAGGTAGCTGTTGTATCTACTAAACACTGAATCTCACATTTACCCGAGGTCACCTTTGTTTTGCATGTAGAAATGTTTGCTGTTGAACAACCCCTATAGAAGAAACTGCTATCAATATTAGACTTGCTTCCGTCCTCTACAATGAAGGAAGCATAGTTCACACAGAGTGACGAGTGGCATGCCCCATAGCAGCTGCTTGAGAGCGTATTCCTTTCTGAAGGGACACAGACGTCGTCCGCAGCATGAACAACAAACGACATTGTTATAAATGCCCCAAGTGTTTGGATACGGTACATTTCGCTAGTTTTTCACGCGTTTTCTGTAGGACGTGGGACTCCCTCAAGTTTTGTGCTTAGGCGAGTCTTCTAGCTTTGTTTCAAGTGGTTGGTTACTATATCGGAAGAATGATGATAGATTATGTGAATATACGATTGGGAAGCTTAATAGCTTACGATGGAGACGTATTAGGTCGAGTGGTAAATAAAATGGAGCGACATACCGGCTGTCCAAGGTCACAAAATGTCTCATCGTGCGGCGGCGGGGCGACTTGCGTGCAGAGACAGGATGTCAAGCCAGTTGATTGAAGTTTGTTACATAAAACGCTAGCTAAAGTCAGTAGAAACAGGTGTAGCAGCTTGTCTGTCTATATAGTTAGTACCTATATTTCTTGAGGGGAAAAGCTTATACGTTTCATAACGTTGAAGCTTTGAATCTCACTATGCTTCCTCAATCACTAACACATGGGGCGTGTGGCGAAATATAACGTCGTGTATTGACGGCAAAAGATAACACCAGGTTTGTGGTACTTTTTGATTTAAAACATTTGCATTAAATACCATTAGCTTCGTTTTTTGCAAGGTTATATTATCATCACGTTTCACTCGCTATAGCATCGGGCTGTCAAGAAATCTTGCCTCAATTTTCATTGCTTCCAGCTGGATACCAACGTGCAAATCCGGTCGGACAAGCGGGTTGCACAGCTGTCTTTCACTTTGACTGTCAATATTGTCAAGGAAATATCTGGCTCAAGCAAAGGTAGGACGCACGTAATGATTTCTAACTCTTGGCTGTAGCCATTATGGCTGCAATAGTCGGACAGTCAAGTCAGTCCCATGGATAAACGCATGACTTAACAATCATTAGCGGAAGCAGTGAACCCGAACAAGGATATTTCTGATGATTTTGTGTGGACCGATTTTGACTTCGGACCGATGTTTAATACAATAATAGATGTCCAAGCCTGATACTTTGTCAGTGTCAATTCGTAACCCAAGCACATGTAAATTCTGAGCGACGTACTATTCCTATGAAGATTTGTAGTACCTTGCTTTTCTTACACGTTACATCCAATGAGCTCCTGGACATGGCATACAACGCAAACAAGACATGATCATGGAATTGAGCTGCTGCATAGAGAAAGTTGATGTTAGCAAAAGACATGCATCATGACTTTATCTTATTTACAAGAATACTTTTCCATTCCAGCACACATGATGACTAAAGAGAGCATAAATAATTTCACAGAGATCTCTGATCAACCTGTTGCTGCACTATCAGACGGTAAGCATCGGCCGCTTTACACACATCTTATTGATAAGCAGAAGAAAACAGATGCTTGTCATACATAACGTTATGAAGCTTACAACCGTTTCAAGATGGCGAATTTTGTATCCACAGTACGATAAACGTTATGTCACGTCCCGTGAGAATAACGCATGGGTTGCGTTGTCTGGTGCCAGCTCTCTTGGCTGTTAAAGTACCGCAAGACCTTGCGAGTCGCTCAATTCGAGCATGTTTTTCATTCTCTTCTGTCATGTGGCAACGTTGTTTTGTGATCAATTTGTCGCTGTCACCTGTACATGATATTGCAAGTGTGGAGACTGGAGCAGACTCGATGATAATGTAGGTCATCAGCCGGTTATGTGTTGTGGAAACCGGACAGCTATTTATCTTCATGCACAAGATCACAAGAAAGAAGGTCTTTTGCAGTATTACCAGACAGTTGTTTGTCAATTCGAATATCTTGTGTGTACAAAAGCTTCAAAACAGTCAAGAGCAGCATACTGGTGTATCAGTTTCCACTCCTGATAGTGGGATCGAGTTGCGAGCACAGCCACCAACATGACCGAGCTTCTCAAGAACCGTGTTAGGGCGTGGGTGACTGAAGGCGTTTTGGAAAACCTAGATACGCGAGACATGGTCGAAGAATGCCAAGCCTTACTGGATATTGCAGGTACATGGCAGTATCTACTTCACCGGTACCCACTCTAGCGTCTAGACCAGAGAGCTCCTGCTTTCTCGACAATCACCCATCTATCTTCGCTTCTTGTTACCCTTCTTTCCTCGACTACAATGGTTTTCCTCCTCTTCCTCCTTCTCCTTTTTTGAGCGGGCACTGCTCATAATCTTCTCTACGTTCTCCTTCTTCTTATTCTTACGCATCGCTTTGCGTTCCTGGCGCTTCTCAGCAGCCTTCTGCTCCTTTTCAAGTCGCACACAATCAGCCGCAACCTTCAAATGCACAGCTCTTTCACTTGCTTCCTGCTGATCGGTATCATTATCCTTGACATCATTCTGCTCAACATCTATGGATGGTTTGACCGACGCATCATCGTCCTCATTTGCCTCACGCTTAACCTTACCAAGAGCGACAAGCTCCTCCTGTAGTTCTCTGTCCATTTCGTCCAAAATGCTAAGATCACTGATAACACCGAGCTCTTTCTCTTTCTCACGATGCTTTTTCGACGTTACGTGGTTCTGCAACTGCTTCATCGACTTAAAAGTCTTACTACAAATGTCACACACAAGTACGTCGGCATCCAGTCTTTTACGGAGCTTTTCGAGCTCCAGTTCAATGTCTCTGTCAGCAACGCGGCTAGTCTCTATACTATTGTTGGCCCAAAGCTTCTCCTGCTGATCCTGGAATGTTCGTCGCTCAGCATCAAACACCGCTTGTTTCTCACGTTTCTTTGCCTCTTCCTCCATGCGTCGCTGTTCCTTCTCTTTCTGCTTTTGCTGCTGGAATGCTCGTACACGCGGGTCCCGACGATATACGAAATCCACTAGCTCACGAACTTCAGTAGTAAACGCCTTTTTAGCTGCATCTCGTAGCTTCTTGTTCTCCTTCTCCATCGCTCGTCGTACTAATCTTGTCGGCGCGTCAGTTGTTTTGTACTCGTCCACCCATGCAAAACCTTGCTGCGTTGTATAACTTTTCCAGTGTTGGTAGAAGAAATTGACATCTTCTGTCATCGAGTTAAAAATTCCAAACTGCGGCGCAACTTCAGACTTTGACCCATCACGAGCGTCGATATCCAATTCATCAATCTATCCACATACAAATCAGTGTTACTATTACAACCACACACTACAGTTATCGCATGAAACTGCAAGACAAGAAACAGTATACCTTTGTAAAGACTTTGCTATACACGGAATAAAAGCTCGTTTCGTCCGTGCCAAAGCCCGAATAAACCGACGCGCTGAAATACCGAAACAAATCTAGCTCATCCTCTTTTCCGTTATCATTATTGTCTCCACCACGTAGAATCTGCTCTCGATGTTCGTCATACCATTTCTTCTCGTGTGGATCACTGAGTACTTCATAGGCGTTCTGAATGGTCTGGAACTTTTCAGTAGATTCCTCTCTCGAAACCCCATTTTTGTGATGCTTGTCTGGATGCCATCGTAGCGCCTGCAATCGAAAGGCTTTCTTGATCTCCGCAGATGATGCGTCGCGCGTAGTGCGTAGTACCTCATAGTAGCATTGCATACTTAAACGGATCATGCAGGAACAAGCTCATTCGAACATTGTCAAGCCATCAATTGTTTGATTGGTCAAAATAAATTGTACAAACTAACACTAGGCTAACGCATCGACCAACGCGTTTCTGCCTTCTGCGCAAAATCCTTCACTGCTCTTGTTCCAAAGCCAACATTTTCGGTAAAGACTTCGGGTATTCTCGCAAGGGCATAGCACGATCGATCTTTTCGCTTGGTTACTGCTCCAATCAAAGACAGTTGTTCCACATCAGATCATGAGGAGTCTCTACGCCGGTCCCCCCACCTTGGTATAGTCCGTACACGTTTGGGAGGACACCATAATCTTCGTCGATAATGTCAGTATGGCTACTCTTGTGGCCATGGACGCGTCAGACCTCAAGTGCTGCTTGACCGCGGCATTATCATTAGCCGTATCTTGTTGAAAGAGCGTAAGATGGTTACGACACACTCTAGTGTTGAATGTGATACTTTTTTCGACGTGTCATCGCTCCTAGTGCTAGTAGCGTCAACAGCAAGGGTTTCTCTTCTATTCGTGTTGCACACCGGTCTTTCGTGACACGAAGCAGGGGCTGCTTCTGCATGCGCACCGTCGCACGCATTGCCCTTGTGCGCAATATCCATTGGGCTCATGATTGATTAAGTGTTTAAACGAACAATAGCAACCAGAGTAGATACACTCAAATGCAAAATAGTGTTATGATATTCCTTACTTCTAGCTAGCCTCAAGCCACCGTTTCTCGACGCAAACACGATAGCCATAGTACCGTATTATTACTTATTCGTCCTGAAGTTTGCCTCCAGCGCCTGCCACAGTGGGTAGGACGCATAAGTAAGAAGTACATAATCTTGGCTACACAACTCCTTCTTGAACTAATGGCGTACAAACTTGAACCGTATACCCGCTTGTTTTGCGCATGATATGCTCTTCTTGGACTCGAGTTGGTTAATCGCGGCTTGGTTATTCATCCATGGGCTTGCATACGCGTAGCTTCAAGCTTCCCAAACATATCTTCAAGCCATCAAGATTTAGTTTGTCTACATTAGGCACTCTCTCTATGACCTTCCCTAAGTCTTGACGAAATAACGTTTGACCATTCTGATTGTTCTACTGAACAACATCAGCTGTGTCGATTTTTGTCTGCAACGCAAAATGAACTCTGCCTCCATCGTGTTAACGTACACCTGGTGTTCTTGCCCACCTCAAACAACTGCACCGTCCAGACAGAGATCCCATTCACTGACAAAACCGATCGGAAGTCTGTGTGGCTCTAACATGTAACTCGAATACCATCCGTCTTTGGACCTACGCCATTGAAGCATAACTTTAGGGTCCTCGGCATCTTCAAGCATCTTACGATACACTTGAGCATCGCTCAATCCTTGGTCGTCGACTTGCGTGTACCTTGTGCACTGTGAAATAAATGTCTGGCCACGTGCGTCTCACATCCATAGTATACTTCCCGCCTTCGACTGAAAAGACTTCGCGCTTGGTTTACTGCTTGTACTGGTAGCAGGAAAATACCTGAAATTGTCTTCGGCTCCTCCTTTTCGTCCTTGATGTGTGCGTTTGGCATATCACATGACATGCCGGTCCATTCCATCGTTATTGAGAGCACAAGGATAAAGTTCACCTTCAGAGCAGCAAACGTGAGCGTGTAGTCGACTTGAGATGCTTATTCGTTTCCGTAGACAACTAGTCGAGCCTTGTACCTATCGCCATCTCTATTTAAATCCATCGTGGTCATGTAGACTTACTTGTTATGCAGTATGTGTGCACCTTTAGGCGGCACCACAATCGTTCAAACATTCTTTGAGTTCAAAGCGTCCAGCTGTTCAGTCATCGTAGTCAACTATTTTTTCGATGCATGCTTCTGACGGCTTTCCCGTAGTGCTTTAAATCTTGCAGAAAAATTTTGCCGACACACCTTCGGTGGAAATGAGGATCGATAAGCTCCATGGAATTTACAGCTCCAACCTAAGTGAAAGTAGACTCGTCATTGAAGCACACTCTATATCCGCGGGTTTCCTTAGGCCGCGCCTTGGACGATTCTAAACAGCTGCATGTTGGTTTACTACTAACGATCGTGCAAACGATGTTCTAATGGCTCAAGCATCACGACAACGACAACAAAACATTGCTCCTTGCAACCATCTTTACTTTTGGACTTCTTGGCTTCTGTATGCTGCTTGACATCGTTCCATATCATTTGCTGGTTGGTACATGCAGATTTAGACCCTTAAGTCTCTTCGATACACGTTTCGTGTGCTTTGGTTTTACTTGAATCCAATCCGAACATCGTTGCATGAGTTCTTCTGATGCTCGGTCGCCTTCAAACGTAACTTGGGCTGTTTATTTATCTCTTTTGATGAATTGGACGTGTTGCGTAACTACAACCACCTTATCTATTGAGACGTACACCTTGTCGGCAAAGTCAGCTTGCGTGTAACCAAGCCGATGCTGATTCACGTTGATAATCAAGCTGCAACCGAGCAAAAACAAGGCACAAACGCGGGACGGGCGAAGCACATCGCTTTACGCCTCAAGCTTATCAAAGATTACAGCAAAAAGGAATTGACTAAGATGGTGTATAATAAGTCGCGTGTTATGCGAGCTAACGTTATCACCAGGACGATCCCCGCGCTGCGATAAATGGAGCTACGAATACCGTTTGGTTAGCCTATCGCCATCTGATTATCCCACGTGGTGACCGTATTTCCTTTTCCGATCGTCATGATATCCTGCTGGTCCGACGTCGTCGCTCATCTGTCAAGCTTTCACACGTATCCGCCAATCAGGTGTGTCGCATCTATAGTTTCTAAAAGTCTCCAAAACATATGGATTACGAAGCTTGAGCCCTAAGGCCCATGTTTCGGCACATCCCGCCAAATTCGACATACTGTCACTGCTCGTCATTTGAAATAAAGAACAGCATATGATGGTGACCTTATGTGCATTGCTTGAAGTCATTTGTGCTGTTCGCTAATGCTTGTGTTTGTGTTAGTCAGCAAAAATGCTGTAGAGCCTTCCAACAACGACAAAGGTATGTTTCCGTATATCGCAGCTTTTTTTACCATAAAGTTTTCTGTCTATGCCTATGAATACTGGCCGTCTGTTTAACTTTATCTGTAACTGACTCACTCATAGGTTACTTGAGGCAGAAAGATTTTGAAAACGGGGTGCAATAGCGAATGAGTTTAAAAAGAGATTGATACACTTGCAATCAGAATCAAAATGGCGGAGACAATCAGGGTATCGAAAAAAGGAGCAGCTGGGAGAAACAAATGATCGCATTTACCCTGCTAAAGGCTAAGATCGCATTAACTCTGATTTCAAAACATCTCGACACCGATCAGCTTCCGGTGATAATTGTATACGACAGAAAGTGAGCGGTATTGGCGGGTTTACCCCCAGAAACAAATGGCGTTGTCGAGTTCGACGAACTATCGTAGCAGGAAGTCACCCACGACTGATCTGTACGTGGAAACTCAGTCTATAAGGATTCAGGTCGGCGCAGATGCGTTGGCCAGCAGCAGCGCTCGCTTGCTGTAGTCTCAACAGCTCAGACTATAGAAATTCCTGCAGCCGCAACAAGTTAGCTTTATAAAAATTTAAAACTAATAGAAATTAGGGCGCCTTGCTCTCTCAACAGGCCAGCCTTCTGAGCGCTCTGCTGTTGCAGCAAGACGAACCGCTTCATCGCCTCTTCAATTTCATGCTGGCTAAAGTTGGCGATGATTTATGCTGCTCCAACTCATGAAATAGAGCAACATGACGCCGACGGCTTCAGCTGTTCGCTGTGCCACCAACATTCCACTCACTAAATAGGCACAAGTCTTACGCCCCGTGTGAAAACTGTTCACATCCGCAAATTCCATAACGGATGTGTCTATCATGGTCGTTGGAAGGGGCTTTTTACACGAAGGTGTGTATTGTACATACATACCTGCCACACCACATGTGGTGTGGCTGTACCTTGCGTACAAAAGTAGGTGATGTGACCGTACCTGAAGCACGAAGGGTCGCATCGTGGCAGAGAGCCACGTGGTCACTTAACTTATTTAAAGTATAGTGACTATGCATGTTTGCATAATAATAATAGAGCCAGTAAATAGTGACTAGCACTAAGTATAGAGCAGGTGCTTCTATATTTAGTGCTAGAAGATAAACATAAATATAAATCAGTTTCAAACCTGCGCTATAAGCATCACTGCTTGAGCGTACTATTCCTCCTGAGGAATTAAGTATCTTGATACTAGTCTCTTTGAGACGCGGTTTCAACAACCAATAGGCACAAGCTTACGAGCTAACCTAGGAGGGTTAAGCACCCTAAGACGTAGAAGCTCTCTGAGCTTGTCTTCCTCTGCACATAGTGCATAAGTAGCGTAGCTACAGCAGCTTGGCTACATCCTCTGCACATAGTGCATAAGTAGCACAACTACAGTAGCTCGGCTACACCTGGTCGCACTTGTAGTCAACCCCGCACCTGGGTCGCGACCACTTCTCTGTGTGAGAATGGACATCAAATAGATGTCAGCCATTGACCTGTTGCAGAAGCTGCTCCCTATTCTTGGCCCTAAAGGCGTGGAGTACCTCATCGCCTAGGGCGAAGAAGAGGTTAACAAGCGTATTTATATGCTTGATGAATATAATAAGCCCTAGTCGAGCATGTAAAGGCGGCACAGATGCCTTCTTCTACGCCTTCGCACATGGCGACTATGGCGCAAGAAGTGGTCCGCAGACCAAAACCCATACAAATGGAAGTCGATAAGCTCGATGGCAATGAAGGTGATAACCTTATGCTTTGGTTCCAACAGGTTGATTCGGCTATGTTTATAGCCGACATCACCTATGAACCGTAACGTGTGGGCTTTGCAACGGGCAAGCTGGGTGGATTAGCGAAACAGTGGGCAGTCACATGTGGATGCATTATTGCAAGATGCTTTTCCCACAATGCCGATCTGAAAGTTCAGATGACGCGGCAGTATGCA